CCCTGTTCTTCCGCGACAGTCTTCTTTCTCGCACCAAGAGGTACACATTTCTATTGCAACCGACCCCCCAAGATGAGAGTACAATTACGTCCATGTGAATTCCTACGAGCCGATTAAAGATAGTCCCTTTTCCGCGAACACAAAATGGCTCCATCGAGCCCAGCGTCACGCATCGCTACGCGTATGCTCACACCCACTTCCTTTTTACGCCACTCCCTGGTCCTACTTTAAAGACACCGAGGAGCCTCGATCGGCTGAACCGGGCGATCGTGGCCGGGGCAAAAAAAAAAAAAGATCGATAGACGGGAAGAGGGCTCCGACGTTGGGAGAAACGATCGAATGGAAGCTACCGGGTTGCGCGCTGCCTCGGCGACGGAAGCTCGAATTCTCCCACAGCGAAAGGGGTCACTGCTACCGGGGTACAGGAGGCACGGGTGGCTCCAGAAGGGACCGAGGGACCAGGAAGCGTTGAATTGGGAATAGAGGCGCGGAGACCAGGCGGTCAGCGTACCGAGCCGAGCCGAGCAGAGAGATGTATCTGGTCACGGCGAATCATAAAGTCCCTCGGGGATTCGCCCACGCTGCGCTCTCTCGGAGATCGCGGAGAGCGTGCACACGGCAAGACCAGAGAGAAAGAGAGAGAGAGGAATAGCGTGAGAGGAGGACGAGAAGGAACGGGGAGCCCGTAGAAGAAGAGAAAGAGCTGGGAGAGCAGGGGAGAGCCGAGGTATTCGCGGTGCAAAAAGCGAGGATGCAAGCAAAAAAGGAAGAGCGCAACGAAGAAACCGGTTTTTTCCAGTTGGGCCAGGTCGGGGCGTCGAACCTACGGACCGCAGCCTCCCTCCGAGAATAACTTGCATGCAGCCAGCAGACGACGACGTTGACGGCCGGCATCTTCTTCTTCGCGGCGTCTCCGCTCAACCGGCTTGAGCTTGTCCCAGGTCCGGGAAGAAAGAAGGACACCCGGGCCTTTGGCCCGTTGAAAACGACCGCCTTGAAAAGAATATCGCCTATCCGAAGAAGAAGAAGAAGGGAAGGACGAGCGTGGGCGGCCGGACGGGTATTATGCGAGAAAAAGGAGAAGCGCGGCCGAGGGAGGAGGGCAAGGACCTTCTCTAAACACCGCGGTTCGTTGACGCCAACCTTTTCGCTGCCCAGGTCGCCTCTGCCGCCTCGTTTTTTCTACCTGGCATCGACCGACGCTGGCTCCCGGCACACGTTTGTCCCGGGTCAAGGAAGTTCGCGCGTCCACGAGAGGAACAACAAGAGCAAGGCGAGAAAAGAAACGGAGCCTTGACGCGTAAAATATACACCGGCGGATAAAAGAAACCGCGAAAACCGGCGACCTCGAGGCTCTGCCGTGACCACGATGATCTCACGACGAGGGACCGAGCGAACTGTCGCGCGAACGATTTCGATCGCTTCGTGGGTACGCGGGGGAACCGAAAAATATTTTATCAGGGATCGATGGCTCGCGCCTATCATCGATAGTTTGCTAAACTTGCTTCGCCCGTTGCGTTCGCAAAGTGTACAGATGGGGGAACGAAAGATCAGTCCTGAAAGGAATCCCACGTTTTAGGCGCCTAAAGGTTTCAGAAAAAGTTGTAAAAGTACTGTAAAAGTTGCTTCTCAAATTGAGTATCATAATAACAATGATAGAGGTAGAATTTAAAGAATTACAGTGTATTTAAATGTTTCGATTATAGTTTTGGACCTCTTTGAATGGTGCAAAAAGAACCAATTGTTTGAAAATACGAATTATTTAATATTCACGCTGCTCTGTTATAACGAATGATGCCAGATGGATCTTGACCCATATTTTCAAAGTATATTATATCTAATAATTTACCTATGCGTCGAACCCTGGACTGATCTTTCTGTCTTCCAACAATACCCATCTATGGCTGCAATAATATTCCAAAAGGAAGAAATTTAAGTCCCAGTGGCTACCATCGAAGATTCGTGATTGTCTTGTTAAATTTTCCTGTACGATTCTTTATTATCCATATCACATATCTTGTAAATAGCATTTGTAGCAAACTTTGAACACACTATGACTATGGATACGAGTACCGAATATGAAGGGTATCGCTCGTGAAACGATGGGTTCTAGTTAATGGGAACAGTTTGGAATTGCACGTCAGGTTGCGTTCAATAACAATAATAATTCGTTTTCATTGTGTGAGGATTATAAAAAAGAAAATAATGTACGGAAGTAAAAGCAAGCATACGTTACGAGGTATAGCTATACGCTCTTATTAACCTAACCTCGTTCGTAAAGAACTAACGACGTTTGTATAGAGCACTATGACTGTCAGACTGTAGCACTTGGTACATGTTCGTGGTGTGTAAACTGTTTGTATATTAAATATTTTTACAACGCAAGATACATGCTATATGCAACAAAAAATTATACTGAAAAATGCATCTGAAAGTTTATACAATAGAATTGATCGCGAAGTCCTATTTTTTCTATAAAATTAATTATTCGAAGAAAAAAAGAATCCAGGGTCGCAGGGACGAAAGACCGTTTGAAATAATATTGTCGCAGGCTAGAATAATGCTACCACGGTGGTGTTTTACCGCCGCGATACTGCTACGAGCTACGAGGGATGCCCCTTTCGTCCATAAAGTTTCACGATAGGCAATTAGTCATTAATGTACGCGATACGAAATCTTGACCAGTAATGAAATAATCCTTTTAAAGGATTATGATCGCTAAATTCCATTCAGGGGCATTCTCTCTAGTGCGTTTGTCAAAGCAACGAGCGAAGCACGATTTCTATTGAAATATATTTTGGTCCTCTGTCTACTTACAAAGTTAACACACGTTGACTGTCATGGCGGCCACTGGTGGCTAGCAATCCAAGATTACAACGTTTACTAAATTCTTTGCAATGAAATGTAACATTTTAAATAACGAAACACACTGTTGTACTATCGAATATAGTTATGACGACAAGATGGCGTGACAATGAACGTGTTAAAATCGGCGCGCGACGCTTGGTACGATCATCGTCGATTCTCTATGAGTTCGGGCTAAAAAGTACTCTAGCTTCGGGTCAGTTAAAGAAAGGCTGTTCGCTAAAAATACACGGGCGAAATTGTTCGCGAAAGGGGAAGAACCACCGCCGGGAGGGGGGGAGTAAACAGAAAGAAGAAGAGGGAATTGGCTGGCCGAAACGTAAGGTCGACGACGTCTGGTCTTATTTTAAACTGGTCTTGCCCGAGATTCGGCTCTCCGTGCGTCGATTGCCTCGAGTCGCGGTTGTCCCAGGTCCGGGAAAAAAGAAGGGTACGGGAGTCGCTGTGGTGGAGATAGGTCGGGAATGGGACAGAGAGCGAGAGATAGAAGGGCGACTCGGCGCGCTGGAAACGGAAAGGAAAAAGGGGGGAAAAAAGGAGAAGAAGGATGCGTTGTATCGGAGTCGGGGGCGGGGAGCAGGCAGGAAGAAAGGAACGAGGCGAGACCCCAAAACTTTGGGGTCATTGCCGTTTGGTCTCGTTTTAGCCTTTCCTTCCTCCCACCTTGTTCGCCTCCTTCTTCTTTCCATCCGCTCCTCGTATTCTTTTTCCGCCGTTTTAAGCACTCTTTCGAGCAAGGTTGGCCACCATGTTTTCCCTCGCCGCGTGCCCCTACCGCCTCCGTGTGCGTATATAACCGACCTTCGCGCGTGTGCGAGAGAGAAAAACCCGAGCGACGAACAAACGGGAGAGAGAAATAAAAAAAAAAAAAAAAAAAGTAACCGATCGGTACCGTATATCGACACGACCGCGAAACTGTTCCTTAACGCGAGGTCACCACCAAATGACGAAGACAGATACTTTACAATGAGGACGTCGAATTTCGTTCATATCACTTCATTTTTTACCTGTTCAAAGTATGGCCTTTGTTGGCACAACCGTCTTGCGTACACAGAAATGAGAAATGCCGTAGATATCGCGCGGATCGATGTTTGAAACACGATGATCGCAACAAAGGCCATCATAATTGTGTCGTAGTAGCTAGTCGTTTGTGATCTATGCTTCGCAATCCCGTTCAATTCTGTGAGGTCTAGCCAGATCGATCGGGGATCCTCGAATTCACGGAACGCGGGTCGTTCGTTTTCGAAGGACCATCGCAAGGAGATATCTTTCATCGCGTCGTCGATCCCGATCGCTCTGCAGACCTCACGCTCTGAAACATCCGTCTGTCTGGGCTTTGCTTTCTCCCTCCTGTCTTCCTCGAACGTCCTCTTTACACTTAACCATTCTACTTACAGAAAACTGAAACCTAAAACAGAAAAAACATGTCATTTATCTCCACACATGATACACGAAAGTTCAAGTCCCTTCCCGAGCCATTAGTCACGAAACCCTCTTCAGCTTCAACGCCAGAGTCCCTGAAAAAGAATCGATCGCGATCAACGCGTCGAACGCCAGAACGATCGCTCAGGATTTATTCAAAATTTAGTTCGTTGCATAAAAATTCTTTCGTTGAAAATAAATATTGAAAAGTTTGAGATTAGATTACTATCCGAGAGTGCACAGTAAATCAAGATACGAATCTTGATTTATCCGAACAGCAGCTCTCTATGAATAACGCAGCGATTCATGTGAGTATCAAATTGGTCAGTGAGAGCAATTTGAAGGAACGACCGTGTCTTTTTGTCCGTAATTCTTTGCGAAAATGGTGATAGAAGGGAAAGTCTGTATCGCGATGTTCGGGAATCGTCTCCTGGCGGTCGACGCGTTCAAAAGAGAGAAAAGGTCCTCCCAGCCTAGTAAAGTCCTTTGCCAGACACTCGAGGTGAATTCCCTTTGCAAAAATAAGTAGTCCGTGGTGGCGGCGGCAAATCGGTGCCCTAACTCTCACTGGTCAATCATTCTGTTCTGTGCGCTGCCTGTCCTGCGCTTCTGGTTCGCGACACTCTGTGGTGGTATTCTGTGGGTCGGCTGCTCTCTACGGTGCGCCGCGTGTGCCTGCTTCCGGTTCCTCTTCTTCCGGCCCCGCAAAAAAGGAGTTGCAACAGCGTGTTGTGTTCCAGCAACACGCCGCCCTGATCGGCGGCCCGAACGCAACCAGCTGTCCCGTCTGCCACAAACTCTTCCTCGGCGGCGAGGCTCTCATGGAGCACATGAAGCACACCCACAAGGACCCGAATGCTTCCGGCGTTGCCAGTAAGTATCTACGGATAATCGAGCACCCTCGATCTCGTCCGTGTCACTCTTTCTTTCTCCTTGCTTATCGTCCTTACGTGTACATTGGGAACACCTGTCTCTACTCTGTTCTCCGCACTAACGCTTACAACACTCTGTCTGTAACACGACTAACGCACGATCAACGCGATATAATCGAATACTTCTGTGCTTCGTCTCCTGGACGCCACGGAGGGGAACGAATCATCGTAGACGACGCGTATGCTGACAAAACTGTTCAGAAGTCGATGCAAAGTACCTGACCTAGACACACATCCGGTGCCGATGTGCCGGCGTGGAGTTTGCTACGATTGGTTCCTTCCCGTGGCCGGCCGACTTTCGCTGGGGATACTCCGTCCATCCTTTCTAACACCTAACAGCTAACGAACGAATAGAGGGTTTCTCGCGCGAATACCTTCGAGGAGAAAGAAAGAACCGAGATAGACGTAACGAGGGTGCCTTAATTGCGAGAGTAAGTCTAAAATGGGAGAGAAAGCGAGAGACAGAGAGGTGGAACTACCGCTCATCGAGAGACACGAACGAGGGGTGGTTCGTCCTTAGTCTTTAAGTACGTTTCACGTCCCCACCCCCACCTAAGAAACTTGCTTTGGCGCGGGCGATATGCACACATTGTCCTGTCACTTCTTCGTACTGTTGTTTCGCTGAAACGGAAAAAGGGGGTGTAGCACACTTAGAGCGCACTCACCGACTAATACTTGCGTTACTACTCGCTAATATAAAACCGGTGCTTCAAAAGGGTGGTGTCTCGTTCTCGTTTTGTGCGTGTTCTGTCAAGTGTGTGGGCGTACATACATATATATATATATATATATATATTTATACATATATCATATAAATACATAGATAGACGTACAGAGAACAATCGACAAAAGCGTGACCGCGCGCGCGCGCGACGATCATACAGAGAATCTCTTTGCGACAAAAAACCGCGGGCGTCCCGTTTTTTCGAGCGCGTCATCTCGTTTCCTCCATCGTTTTTCAAGTAACACGGAAAACGGTGCGTGTGCCAGAGTATCGACCCTGGTGTTGTTGAGCCACGACAGAGAGCGCAAGTTTAGTAAGCCATCTTTCGATCGTGCGGACCAGATCCGATCTCTACGGTGAGAACGAAAGAACAGAGAAAAGAGTCTGGAAGAGACACGTAGAGACGGAGGGAGACAAGCGAAAGAGAAACGAAAAAAAAAAGGAGGAAGAAACTTAGAGAAAAAAAAAAAAAAAAAAAAAAGTGAGGGGAGGAAAACTGCGACTCGAAAGACAAGTTAGAGATAAAATAATATAAAGTAAAATAAACACGAAGTAAAATAAAATAGAATAAAACGAAATAAAATATATGATTTAAAAAAAAAATAAAATAAAAAAAAAAGAGGGAAAGAGAGAGATTCGTCGTCGAACTTTTCTTTGTGCGTCTATGAGCGTGCGTGCGTGCGCGCGCGCGCGCGTACGTGCGTGTGCATCTTGGTTTTTGGGCCGACGACCTCGCTCGTGAAAGGGAGCCAGCAACGGCATGAAGCAGCTCGCGGTGCGTCCGAGGTCAGTGCTCTCCTCTGGTCCTCGGTTATCCGTGTCTGCAAGGATTCTCCCTTCGCCTTCGAGGTCGACCGGAATGTCGACGTACGTACACGCGCGTGTGTACACGCGAATGCGTGAGAAATAAGGTGGAGGAGGAGGAGGAGGCGAAAGATGATTATAATGATGAAGATGATGATGATGAGGATGAGGAAAAGAGAACGAAGAAGGATGATAATGAGATGATGATAGTGATAACAATGGTGATGATGATATGATATGATATGGAGGAGGTGGCTTTCATTCCTTGGGAAGCTTTATCCTGCTTAGCATTGACCTTGAAATTGTGTCGCCCTATTGTTCCCTCCGCTGACTGCACAACCTCCGTTGCCGGGGTTTACCTAGCGAAGCGACGGACCGCCAACCACCCGTGTCCTGTGTGCGGAAAACACTACGTCAACGAGGGTAGTCTTAGGAAGCACCTGGCCTGTCATCCTGAGACCAATCAGCTTAGCACAAGCCTCAGGATGTGGCCGTGCTCGGTGTGCCAAGCCGTCTTCACCCATGAGAGCGGTAAGTATAATTCTTGCTGAAACAAACCTACCGAATACAAATCGAATACAATTTTTTTTTTTTCGTTCTAACCGGGGTTCTGTGGTACTTTTTACTCTTTTCGTTTTGAAACGCATTTTACCGTGCTTCGTTTATACATCCAAGCGTGTCGACACCGAACAACGAAACTCTATCGAGGCTGCTCTGTTTTTGCTGTTAAGGTTTGTTGAGTCACATGGAGCACATGAGAATGGACCCGAAACATCAGTTCGCTGCGCAGTACGTTTTGAGCCGCGCGGCCGCTGAGAGGCGGGAGAGAGAAATCCTCGCGTCTTCGAGTTTAGGTAACAGAAAGTTGTCGCAACCTAGTCCCTTTTTTCTAACGTGTACGTGTCGCCTGTGAGAGGAAATATCGTAACGATACACATACGTTATTCTCGTGTCCAGGTACGGGATTGGGTGTGTTGGGAAGTCAAACAGGCGGACCTCAAAATTTGCAACAACCACCGATGTGTCCATCGCCGTCGGCTCACTCGGACAGCAGCAGCGGAAATGGAAGACTATCGTCGGCCGGTAGTGAACCTGGTACGCTCCGATCTTGTTCCTCCGTCTTCTTGCAAACGGTCGTCTGGAATGATCGTTAGAGTGTCCGTGAATAATAATCTTAAAGTAACGCCTGTTTTAACACCACCTTAAGAAGCGACCTTTCAATCTTACGTTAACAACACGTTCGCTGAAATGTATCAATATGTCGTACACACCGAGCTTCGAAACGCAGCGACAGTTATTGTAGTAAACATATATATTACACACTTGATATACCTGAGAGTAAAATAAAGTACCTACGAATTCTTGTGTGAGTAATTTCCGTATCATACGAGCGTTCTTTTATAATCGTCTTTTCTACCGACTGTTAGACCATAGTTACTTAGTAGCGCTACTTTACACTCGGCTACGTGCTCGTAAGCCGTGTATATTAACGAGAGCAGACTTCTGCGCAGGTACCGGTCTGCTGAATAACAACAATAACAACAATAATAACAATATGGCGTCGCCGGGACCCAGTGGCAACAAGCTCAGCGAGATGCTCCGAACGGGAAGTCAGTCCGGCTCCGCGCAACAGTACCACGACGAGATGCAGTCGCAGCAACAACGCATGGCAGTGATGGCCGCCGTGTCAGCGGGTAAGAATCCTCTTCCATACCGCTATTCTCGAATCGATTGGTCGTTTGAATTCTCCGCGATACTCGCTTGGCCCGTACAAGGACGGTCGATACCGCTTATCTGGTCGCGCGACTCCGCTCCAAAGAAGAGATACGACGCACTCGTGTTCCAATTATTCCCGATAAAGTTTGATTCGCAATCGTTGCTTTTTCCACGGCAACAATACTCTTTCTTATCCGGGCCACTTTGTTCGCGAATATTCAAACAAATTTCAATCCTCGATCGAAGATAAATCTCGATTGGTGGTTAACAGGTTTGCAAAATTCGGTGTCGCCGAATCTGTCGCCGGTGGACATGGCGTCTCTGGCGGCGGCCATGAGAATGGGCAACAACGGTGACATGAGCGGCGGCGCGCAAGGATCGACGGGGCCCCAACAACAAGGTGTGCAAACAACCGGACCAGAACAGACTCTGAGGATGCACCAGGCGGAAGCTTTGTTGCGCTCTCAGGCCGAAGCCGCGCTCAGACTGGCTGTAAGTGCATTACGTGCAACTATTATTTACCGGTCGAACATAGTCCAGACTGTTAACGACGCGTCCCGAAACGTTCTGACTGCATGTTTAACGTTTTGCGACAGGTATCGCAGGCAGCAGCAGCAGCGGCAAGTTCCGCGGTCGGCGGGGACGTCAGACATCATTTAGGACAGCATAATGGAGGTAGCACTTCCGGCATGCCTGGACATCATACGAATCAACAGATGTCGCAGCAGGACACCTTACCGCCTGACCTTGGTAAGCTCATTTTTACCAAACTAGTTCAAATACCAAAGTCTGCACGATTATACCCTGTCGGTTGTACAAGAGGGTTGGAAAAACATTGTTCACAGACTTTGGAGATAAACAGGATATTCGACCACTTCTGGCAAAAATTTTAATGAGAAATTCTAGAGGGTAAAAATTATTTTTGGTTGCAGGGGTCAATTACAATCATTTTTGGTCAATACACAAAAAGATAGAGAAAAAGATTAGAATCTCCCATTCAAAATTTTCCCAGGACTGAACAGCCTGTATATCCTCAAAGTTTGAAAATATCAGGAACTATATCATTCCCTACCTGAAGGTCCCATGATCTGAACGATTGAACTCTTCACAGGGGAAGCGTTGCGCTTGCAAGAACAGCGATTAGAACAGGCGTTGAGGCTTCACGGCGATCCGCGCGCGTTGAGTTTTACTCTCCAGCACGTGGTCAACCAACAGAACAATCAGCAACCCTGAAAATTCAGTTACTACTGAGACGAGTGGACCCCTTGGACGTCGGAGCAGACGAGCCTGCAGCAGCAAGCTGAACGCCTTAACCAGCAATCCCTTCAAGCCGCCGACGCTCGCCCAGCGTCGCTCGGCGATCAGCAGCAGCAAGCTTCGTCCAGCATTGGTCTTCACCATCATCAACAGCAGCAGCAGCAACAGCAACAGCACCAGCAACAGCAGCAGCAGCATCCCGAAGACCGCGGCGTCAAGAGGAAAGCCGACGACATGCTCGGTAACTCTGACACCGTGTAAAGAACGACGTACACAGGCGACAAACCATTGAAAACGTTTGTCGTCCTCTGCGTCGGTTCGAAACACAGGCGTCCAAGTGTGGTCACCCGCGAAATCACTAGTGTCTCAGCAGTGCAAGCTAGAATTGTTCCAAAACGCGACGCCCCCGGGTAGCGTCGGCTCCCGGGGCCTTCGCGAAATCCTATCATCATCGACGCGACGACGTTTGGGTCGGAGCGTCGTGATCGATACAACTGTGAAAAATTCCTTCTCTCCCCGGAGCAGAGAGGAGAGAAACGTCATACGTATCTAGAAATCCGTTAGACGGTGCGTGACGACGGCCGGCGGTGACAATGGTCTTCTAGCAGCGCGTCTATTACGTCGCGCTGATCACGTTGTTCCTACTTGGGTCCTGAATCCAGAGTTCCTAGAACGACACGGCTAGCCGGATCGGGCTACCCTCGTTCGCTGCTCGAGCCAGCGACCGACGGTTCTCCGTTTCGCGCGGAATCGCCATTTGCTTCGTAGAGTTGCTCTATCAGAATTCTCAGGACGCGTTGTCATCGTTGCTGGCCGGATTCACCCCTGAAACGTGCCATAATATTATTTGAAAGAAACTGCTTAACTGACGCGTACCTGGTCGTCCGACTGCTCGGACAATCGAGGTTCCACGCGAGGTACTATGGTTTTTTTTAGTACAAGAGCCGTACACACGGTCCGGATCAGGCTGGGATAGTGGGGCATGAAGAACCACGGAAAACCAGCATGTCCGTCCGAGGCTCAACAAACTAAACTATATATATATATATAAATATATATATATATACATACTTAAAAACCAGTTTAAGGTTCCCTTAATCTTAGCTCCCGTAACGTTTAAGGCAAAACACACACGTCTGAGACGTGCGTAAACGCGATCAGGCGTATCATCAAACTGCATACGTACCGCAGCCCCCTTCCCGTTTATCGGACGAACGCGGAAATGACGGACGGTCTGAATTCGCGATCGCGCGACGTTTCGTCGCCGGTCGTTGCATTAGTGATACATTGTACACAGGGAACACAAGAGAACACAAGACACGTATTTACAAGAACACAAACAGACACACAACCCATACACGTATACAGAGATACATACGGCGAAACTTACTTGAGACGTAAGGATATATAAAAAAATGCGCGCAACTTGTGCTGGTCGGCAGCACGAAAACTATTAGCTCGTAAGCGGACAAACAAAATATAATTATTACAAACAGTTATATTATATATATTATATATACATACAGAGAGTCTGGAGTGTATGATGGAGACAGAAAATGAAAAACGAAAGAACGGGGGCCGTAAGGATGGCCCGCCGCGAACCTCCTACTGTACACGTTGCACATTTTCAAGAGATTCGTCAGAGTGTACGAGCATTTTTCGCAAGCATGCACACGCCAGAGACGAGGAGGGAAAAAAATATGAAGAGGAGATGATGAAAATGCTGATGAAAAATGACGTTGCAGAAAGAGAGAGAGAGAAATAAAAAACTAAATGCTAAATATTATATATATTATATATATATATAAATATTATAAATAATAAATATAGGGTCTATGAGACTAGGATATAAAATAGGCGAAAGAGATATTCGAGAGTGCATGGAGCCGCGTGCCCGGGCAGTTGTACACGATCCCAGTGTCGACGAGAGAATGGGAAGAGAAAAAGATGGCAGAAGCCCTGAACACGAGAGACAGAGTGATGGAGGAAGAGAGAGATAGAGAGAGAAAGAGAGGGAGAGGAAGAGAGAGAGAGTGAGTGTGAGTGAGTACGAGAGCACGTGCAAGATATTTCGTGAATGAACGACCTTGGGATTGTCGCGTACGTGCACGGGCACACGATCGAGCGAACGGGAAGCTGTGCGAATGGGAATGCTTCGTGAGCATCAAGGAAGGAGAGAATGCGAGAATGGAGCGAGCGAAAGAGATTTTAGAGTGGCGTGCTTCAGGTAATCTGAGGTCCTGTGATCGTTATAAGCGAAATATTTTTTTATTTCCGGGTATAATAATCTGAACGCGTAAAGATAATTGCGTCGTTTCGAACTTTTACTTGCAATATACCGTTACGTTCTCGCAATACTTAGAAAGAAGAATAAGACGAAGAAGAAGGAGAAGCAGAACAGAGGTGGATCAATTAAAGAGCTACGAAGATGAGGATGACGAGGGAGAGGAGAGGAAGAAGAACATAGAAAATCCGTAGGTTTCACCACGTTGGAGCGAACTTTAGAAACTCGGGCCAGTCCCTTATCCACCCCCGAACGAAAAAAAAAACCCCCATCATTCTCGACCCTTTTCCAAAACCTTTTTCTAAAACTCCTGGACAGTCCGTATTTTCGATGGGGTTTCATTCGACGAGACCGAACGAGATGGAACGAAAACGTTTACGGTGACACCGCGCTTTATCTCTTGGAACTCGAATTCTTAGCCGGAAACAGAACGGAAACACGGTGATCCGAAAAAAAATACTCGAGGCACAAAACGAAAACGTAAAAATGTAAACGTTGAACGGTGACGTCGGAGGCGGTCTCGAACCAAAGAAAAACAAAAATGGCCAGCAAAAGTATCGTTGAAAAAATAATAATAATGATAAACATTTTACCTACGACACGTTCGATTTCTTCGTTTCCTCGACTGGCAATCGCGAACATGAAGTGTGCGGAAATTGAAAATGGTAGCGTGCCGAATTTTTTCTTCCCCGTGACAAACATATCTCACATCGATCGCGTTGTTGTTGTTGTTGTTCCCTTCGGAGATTCTCGACGAAATTCTTTCATCCCCATTCCCGGATACCTTACGATTGCCCCCGTTTTACCACATTCTGTCCCGAGATGAAATTTTTAGATCCCGGCCTTCGTACAACGAGCATATTTATTTCGAAAGAGAAACATCGAAACACCCGGGAGAGAGGACGTGGCAGAAAAGAAAATTCGCAATTTCTCGGGAAGTCGTTGTACCCCGACTTCTCCGTTCCTTTTTCAGGGGATCTCTCCCTTCAATCCTTTTGTTCGCCAATTAAAAAAATTAGCCTGACGTCGTCATCTTCGTTGAACGTAAAAGACACGCGCCAAGAAACCGCCGGATAGACAGGCTTTTTCACCATCTGGAACGAGAGAAGAAAAGTTTGCTAAAGGATTCATCGTCAAAGCTACATTTAACGATTGCACCCGCCTCGCGACCGGAACTCGGAACGACTCGATCGCAATAATTTAATTCTTCGTGCATCCGCCGCGTTCGACGAACTCAACCGAAGAAAATAAAAGAACGACTGTAACTTGGCGTCGAAAATTTTAATTTTAACGTACGAACCGGTGACGGGGAAACGAAATCGTGCAACTTTGGCGAACGGAAAACAGAGACGCGTTTCGGGTTCCGGTGATGCGCAACGCGGGTCGATCATTGGTCGTTCTTATTATAACAAGTTTTTGCGTTACAGGGCGTTTTTTCCTCGGATTAAGTAGTATGTAAATACACCTTGATATCACAAGCATAAACTGAGAATTTACTGATAAACTTAAATCGAGTACATAATGCGAAATAGGGTTAGTTTCTATGTAAATACCTAAAGCTGGACGAGTGCATACACCTCGTCCACGCAACCAACGATAATCGTTTTTATCGAACCAGTGCTTCTGTTCGTCGTCGGTGCACGCCCGGTCCGTTGGCGATCGTCCTTATGCGACCCGTTCGCCGTCATTCATTGCGGCAAAAAAAACACGCGTACGATCATCGTGGAGCATTTTGGGGTCTCCGCGCATAAGAGCGTTCACCAAGAAATGGGCGTCGCTGATCGGGAAGTTTTTTTTTCTCGACACTGATACACAACCACACGATTACACATACACGCTCACGTACACACAGCATTGCGATGGATTGTACAGCTACGATAGAATAGATAAATAATAAGCCTAAAGACACAGTCTTCACACACTCGCACCACCGGCACCGACTAGCCTCCAAATTAGGACAGGGACCAAAAAAGAAAAAAAAAAAAAGAAACAAAGTAACACGTTCGGCGATCACACAATTTTTCCGAGATTTTGTCTTTCGGGTAGACGCGCACACGCGAGATTCGGCTACGTTCCAGGTATATACGTACAAGAACACGGGAACAGAATTTCTTTTCTTTCGTTTGTTTCGGTAAAGTTGCGGGGCGTGATTATCGAGCTCGAAATTTCTTTTTAAAAGTAGAACAGACACACCGATGGTCAGACGTTACTCGAGCGCTTATTGAGATTCGATCCGTAGGAGAGAGGTGCGTTGAGTGAAAGAGGATGACTGAGCGAGTAACTGTGAAATCGGTACGGAGATCAGGTTCGTTTCGATAATACGCGTGCCGCAAGCACAGAAAAGTAATTTAACGAAAAAAAACTAAAAGGAAAGCAGAAACGAATACGCGAAAGTTAAAGCAACACATTGGCAAGATGATAATTTGTAATGTACTTTCCAAGACAAACGAAGAGGCAAAAGATTGTCCACGGTCCCTTGACAAATCGCATGCAGAAAAGTAATAATATACGTACAAAGTAACAAAAAAGAAAATCATCAAAAAACAAAATGGTGCACGAATGTAGGAGCGGAGAAGAAGAAACGAGAAAGATTTTTTCTTTAAAAAAAAAATATAAAAAGCAACAACATCACCATCCACTTTTCACCGTCACTATCGCCGTTATTAGCAACAAAATAAAAAAAAAAAAAATAATAATAAATTAACAACAACAACAATACAATTAAACACTAAAACGCCAGCACAATGTCGAGATCATTCGCGACGCGGTCGTGAAACGATCCCGAGACGACAAGCTTTTCACCGGTGCATCCTGCCGTGCGCCGAGGGTTGCTTTTTTATCGCAGCGCGAAACCGAAAGGAACGAGGATAGACGGACGGGCGAGAAGAAGAACGACGTATAATGGAAGGAACAAAAAATGAAAAAGCAAAAAAAAAAAATAAAGAAAAAAAAGCGATCCAATAATCGGCCGGCCCGTGCCCCGCGAACGTGTACCATAATTAATAAAAAAAAAAATTAAACGAAACACACAATCAAACAATTACAATAGCTCTAGTAGTGTATGTTCTGTAATCGAAGAATGATAAGCAAAGGTTACGAGATAAATAACTACATAAATAAACAGAAAAAAAAAAAAATGTGGCGAGCGCGCCCGTCGCAGCTGGCGCGCCGACAGAAAAAAAGCACAAAAAAATAATTTACAAATATATTGATTTACATATGCCCGTAACTCGTAAGCGGGCCGGTGGCGCAGCGCGTCCTACCTTCGTCGGATCATCGAAAAACGATTTGCCAGACCCGCTGTGGACGCGACGAAATGGGGACGATACACGTCGGGACACGGAACAACGAGGGTAAACGCAAGCGCTCGTCGTACGAAGCTCTGCTCTCTCGACACGCGAGACAAGCTCGAATCCACGTGGAACGAAATATGGCGTATCCCGTTCGCGGACAAATGGAGAATCCGAAGTGAATCGCAAGATGAAGAGGCGAGCGACGCGGCGAGTGGCCGAGCCGACTTCGACGGATTGATCGGGACACAGAGGGGAGCACGCGTTCTGCAAAACCAGCCCTTACTACTTACCCATAATCTTAATCTCTTTCATGTAAATTTGCTAAATGTTTAAATAATCTAAAAAAATGCCATAGCCCGGATGCGCTGGTGTATACTCCCAGCGCATACACACTCACAAATACGACTCGACCTCACGAATTAAACGCAAAATCCGCACGGTATCCGCTCGAACGGCGGCGTGCGGTAGAATTGGTATTCTCGCCAAGGAGCAAACAGTTTACAACAATGCACAACGACAGATATCACAGACAAAGCACACACAGTGAATGAAAACGAAACCGTGGATCGCGTCTCGCCGCGGCGCCAGTGGGAAGAAGACGTGAAACCCCCGTCGGGCGAGACAGGCCGCGATCTCGGTCAACGTACAATGTCAAAGCGAAGTTGCCCTAGTTCTCGAGCGTGCAACCCCGCGCGCTCACACACATCTCAATACACAGGCGTACGCGAGTACTTACGCGTACGCGCGTTCGCCTACACATCTACACCCACGTACATACACACTATTTACACTCGATTACACTCGAATACACACGCTACGGATATGTAAAGCCAATTGATTTTGTAAATTGTCGTTTAAAGAAAGCAGCGGACTTTTAAAAAGAAATTATCAAAACAATAATAGAATTCCAGAACGATTAGATTCGGCCTCACACTGGTACCTTTTCACGTTAACGTTCAAGATCGTTATTGCGGTAATCGTTTACCATCTGTTCGGTTTTGGGCAGGTCCGCGCGCGATCTCGCGCGTCGATCGCGTCTAGAACCGGACGAACGAAAGCGATCGATCCAAAGGAGGAAAAGCACAAAATTTGATGATTACGAAAACAAAACGAAAAAACGAGCAAAATTCGCGGCCTTTGGCATACGTTTGGATGCAGAACCGATGACGAAAACGACGCCAATGGCGTCCCCATGCATCCCGGACTTGACGCCCACACGAACCCGACAGTAACGGGACATTCTCTTCGTCGAAGGGTGTCCACACCACGTAGTGGCAGGTTTGCTCGAGGTGCGGAAATCAACCGTTCCAGAGACGGAACGCGGCACAACAACGAACACCGAAAGAACGAGCAATTGCGATACCACCTCGACGCATAAAATAAAAAAAATAATAAGAGAGACACGAACGCAACCTGTCACGCGCGATGAAAAATAACCAAACGAACCAACCATCATCCTAAGCAGTTAAGCAACGGCGTTAGAAGAGAGCCGTTGTTCGAATTCGCGGCTTTACAAGCAAAAACCGTTGATTTGTTTTCGATCGGGTTTTAATTTTTTAATGAAATAATCTCACGACGAATATACCACGTACGGTCGCGCGCTCTGATCGATCCCCGAGAGTGAGAGAGAGAAGAGAGAGATAAACGAGGCATAAGACGAGACACGTATGTGGATATTCGTGGCAGTGTGTATCATAAGTGCGCAGCATATGATAAAACCGACAGTCTAGCAGTGCGAGCGCCTCGGCGGCATTCGCGTCTTCACGCGGTGTCTCTGACCGAGCCTCCGTGATTAAAAACCGGAATAAGTTGTTTCAATGTTCACTATATAAATGAAGAGGCATAGTTGGCGTGGCGATGGGGCGCGCGTTCGCCGTCGTCGTTCATGGCCGATCACGAACGCGAGCATTCCCCGCGAACGCGATAATTTTCATCGAGTCGAGCGTTTTCAACAGAGATCGTCCACCGCGCGACGTATCCTGGCTATTCCACATGCTCAAACATTCCCAAGTGTGTTCACCGGAACGACAAATTGTTCGCGTTCCGTTCCGCGGCTATTCGCGCAAACTTCGGTTTAGAACGGAACGACTAAATTCTTCGAAATTCCTCGATCTTCTTTTCGGCACTTTCGGCGAACGGTTGAAAGAGAAAAAAATGTCGCGAACGATCCCGACGCTTTGACAGAGTAGTAACCGTGCCGTAAATTCGATCGAAACGCGTCTGATCGGCGAATTGATGGCGACGAACGAGCGAACCCACCGCGCTGGCTCGTTGCTGAAACTCGCGGGGGCCGCTCGGAACCCTCGGTTTTCGCGACGAGTCGATACTCTTTTCAAAATATTCTCCAAATTTTTCGTTTACGGGAATGTGTTTTCTTTACCCTGGACCCCTTTTACCAACCCCCCGTATGCGTGTCCGAGGTAAAAAACCGAGTCCGAACATCTTTGATATGGAAGTAAAAAAAAGAGAAAACAATAATCTAATACGAGTCCAGCTTCGAACAATATACATATATATATCGGGTCTTGCGATTTGAAAACGTTTAAAAATGATTACGAAACATGCGAAATGGAGTTATTCGCAGCGATCACAAATTGGTTTGAGAGAAAACGACAAACACGGTGGAAAATACGAGGGAAAAATGTAATACGACAGAGTCCGTTGAGTGGGTGCCTTCGTCAGGGTTTTCCGTTACAGTTAAACGAACGTTCTCAAGTATAACTCACAACTAGTAGTACTATGGTAGAGCAGTAATTACAGTGTACCGCAGTAAACAGTTAACTAAGTAAGTATACAGAAAGCACGTGGTCTTTTTCAGTGTTTACAGTCTCGTCAGCCGTGCACCACACGCGAATCGCGTAGTGGAACGGCTGGAAGTAACGGATTCATTTCGTATCTCCTTCACGACACACCAATAAATCCCTGGATCATTCGAGATTTTCGAATACACTTCCTTGGCCCACGAACTGGCGGTCTAGACTTAATCCAGCAAATCAACGATCAAAATTCACTTCGAAACGAAAAAGGAAACCCAACACCCCCGTCCACGAGATCCGACCGCCGTTCTTAACCTGCCCCCGACCCCCATAATTTCCATATCCAAATCCCATTTTCAGTATTTAACAGAATAAATATGCTAATAAGTGTAATAAGTGTCCGTAGTTTAGGCAACGTGTGTACGTTGTATACTCCGCATAGGCGAGCGAGAAGGAGGGATCGTGAGAGGGAGATTGGCTAGAGGTAGAGATGATTGGACGGTGGAGTCAGTCGCATATTTAAACTAACAGATAATAATTAATTAACTACAGTACCGTAACCGTTTGTCAAGTCAAGTTAATTAACAGTTAACCGTAACCACGCATACACACATAATTATTAATTAAACGTACTCGACACATTCTATTGTAAGGACAGAAGCGATAGCGACACCCATTCCCCCAAAGCGTCGCGTTTTATTCAATAAATCGCGGAGGCACTCACTACGGAGACAAACCAAAGGGCTATGGGACTCGGACGCGGATCGGAGGGTGCCTGAACGAGCGTCGCGACGCTCTGGCCGTTACCGGCGAGACACTTCTAACACGAATTTCCCGGCGAACATCACCTCGAACGTCGGCACGAGGGAGACGCGCGGCGACGCGCGTTCAGGTTTCCCATCCCCCCGGTTTTTCATTAGTCTTTCGAGTACAGCGTTCAGTTATTTCACTTATGACGTTGTTTTCAACACAATACAAAAATACCCCGCCACCCGTCCCTACAGATCAAACCATCCACCATATCCTTATCCCGCGGGTAATCCTCTCAAAGCCCAATCCCCCAAAGTTTCACGTGTACGCATTGTTTCCAATTTGTTCGCGAGATCTCAATTATGGGTTTCGCGTCCGACGTCGATCGTGTCCCTCTCTCCACGAATCAAAAAGTTGCCTGAAATTCATCATCGATCCGAACACGAACGATCCACGCTGGAAATTTGAATGAACATTCTTGGAATTGTTTGGTAATCGAATGAAAATCGTATTTGAAGAGGTGGATGTTCGGAAATTATTTGAGAAACGGGGGACGAGCGACGTCGAGCATTGAAAAAAAAAAAATAAGGCGATGTTGAGTTTTCAGATTTAAAACGTTTTACGTACGGTTAATTACCGAGTATAACACACAGCGCAGATTATCGTTAATTTTCGGCGCCCGTTTTCGTCGCGTTTTCCATCGTCTCCGATGAAGAAGAACCCCATTAAATATCAAACGCAATTGAGAGAAACCGCGAAGCAATTGGTGGCAAAATCGACCACAATGCGACGAAAATGTGCGTGCACAGGTTTAATGGTATCGATTGAGTTTGGTCGAAGTCCCCTTTTGGGCACATTATACCGACGCACTTCCGACACCCGCAGTCCCGTTGCCGAATTCATGCCGAAAGTGGAGCGCAGAGACGCACGGACCGTCCATTCCGAAATTCAATTCTAGTCAGAAAAGGGTACAAAGCTCGTACGACAAAATCGGTACTTATTCGTCTTTGAAAAGGACGGTTCGAGCGCGAGCAAAAAGAAAGTCGAACATCGAGATCGATCGGGCGCGACGCGGCCACGATCGATCGAAAATTGGTGATAGTGATTGCTAAAAACGGACGGTCCGTGGCGGGCTCTCGAGTGAAATGGGCCGGCGGGAACGTGCGCGAGAAAAATATTCGCGTTGTTGACAAAACACAAGTAGCCTCTTTTCGTTGTATCAAAAAAAAAACAATCGGCCAAAGTCCGGTCGATCCTTGTATGAGCAAAAACGACACTCTTTCTAAATCGAAAAAAAAAAAAAGTATATGGATGTACGGTACGAATGAATCTTCCGAAAGCTTCGATGATAATATTGTTGTTGTTTCGTCGAATTCTTTGTTTTTTTTGTGTATTTTGTAAAATTCCTGCCCATCCACGCTTTCTGGCGAGGGCGCCGGTCGGATCCTTGTTCGCGGTTCGAACACGAATTTTGGAATTTTTTCGAAGGAAGAAGAAGGAAAAAAACTTTGCTTTTTGATCGATAGACAGAAATGGAGAAGAATGCCGCGCGATTCGAGGATCCGACGGCCCAGCGTTTCGACATCGCAGTTAATCCATTATTATTACTATTATTATTATTACTACTACTACTATTATCATCATTATTGCTATTATTATCGCTATTAGTTATTAATGATTAGTTAATCATACAGAAATTGCTAGAGGGCAATTGGAGGCGTATTTTTTAGAGAGAAAATGCAAGAGAAAGAACGAAAGAGAACAAGCCATAAAATCGTTCTGTCATCGAACGAGATCGCGATCTTTGATAAAAAAAAAGAGAAAATGAAAATCGATAGTAAAAGCGTAGTAGCCACGTTTCGAGATTCTCCTTTTTTCCTGTTTAGTCTTTTCCTTTTTTTTTTTTTATATATATATCAATAAATACTTGTATGTATACACCAACACGCACATATAGATTTATATATATGTATACATAGTTATACTCGTTAAATATTATATATTATTTGAACACTTATTTATACAAGAGCGAAGCCGGTACGCAAACGTTGAACGTAGAAGAAGCGCGTTTCGAACAATTTGCCAATGTTCTCGGTCCCCCTATTCGTTATATTATTCGCAATTTCGCTCAAAGTGCAAGGATACCTAATCGGTACGAAAATTGTCGCGCGACCCTTTATCGTTTTCGATGTCTTCCCTTTACTTTTAACATTACGTGTAGCATCGACTGAGAGTTATATTATATACGCCAACTGACACTCGCGTCGTTTGTTAAGCTTTACTTTTATCATTGTATATTACTATTATTAATATTATTATTATTTTATCGTGGAAGAAATCCTCGCTTTTTTTCCTCTTTCGAACAAAAATCGCGCGCGCGCCGATCGATCGAAGGAATCGGACGAAAATGAATGAAAAATTATCGCGTTACACGTTCCTCTTTGTCCCTTTTGTGTATACCATTTATATCCTCGTTCGAGTTAGAAGAGTGCCGGCAATGTTGAAAACGAACGCGATCTCGGTGCTTCCGTTTAGCAAATTCAAAACAACGCGCCATTTCGTCGCCATTCGTCCACGCATCAACGACCTATTTTTCGTGAAACGAAATAAAAAAGCGCGGATCATTTGTTCAATCGTTCTCGAACAAGGTTCGGTTGTTTTGTTGCTTCGAAAAAAAAACGAAAAAAATTAGAAAATTTAAAAGATATATATTGAACGTTCTCCCGTGCACTCTTCGATCGCACCTCGCAACGTTTTTGTTCGCCGATCGTCGCGCGACGAATCGATCCCTGTTTCGATCGATTCCTATTTCTGAATTTAAGGCAAAATAAATAGAGAAATTGTTAAAGAAACGGCGTCGATCGGCGGATACAGAACCGCGTCGAGTTACGTTTGCTAGTCAGAATTGGTTAAAAACGAAGGATGAAGCGACAAGCTAGGGATTTTACGATTAGTTACTGCCTTATTAATTAATCGATCGTTTATATCGTGTAATTAGCGTTTTAGTTGCGCGGCTCGTGGGTGTTAATTAAGGTAGAAAGACGGGAAACGTGCACGCGCAGCAGCACGTATAAACGTATACAACAAAACTACGGTTCTTTAGTTACTATTCACGTAGAAAATGGCGCGCCGGGTCGCCGGATTTATGCAAATTTACATCGCGAGTTTTTTTATCGTTTACACGCGTCGGGTCTGCTCAAAGGTCGACGTTTTACTACTACTTTCGTGACTTTCGTGACCGGTTCCATACAACTCTCGTTCTATTTTTTCTGTTCGAACGTCTCAACGGTGGACAGGACACTTTTGTTCCGATTTATTGTAACCGGCGTACTGCACGCAGACGCGCTAAGTTCTCATTACTTGTTACTATTACTGTCGTTAGAAACCATACACGCAACACCCATACACACACGTTTATTCGTTTTTATTACTTTTAATAACCGTACTATATTAGTTGCTGCTACTATTATTATTACGTCTAGTTATTATCATTACCGTCGTCATCGTCACAATGTCATACACTTCGTCGATGCGCAATCGAAGTTATCCGCTTCTTTTTTCATGGCAGTATCGCCGCCGTTAGTTTCTTTCCTTTGATTACTATTACTATTACTATTATTATTATTATTATTATTAACGTTTAGAATAATTTGTCTCGTATAAAGTGGTTCCTTGACGTCGAGGTTCGCTATCGACGATCCCAACTATAGAGCACCGATTATAGAAGTGCGTATCGTGAGCAACAAATCTCTGAAATACGCTGACGATTGTCACACGAAATTTAGAACATGTGCATTTATTAAATATTATCGTTACCTATTATTGCACCGCCGATGAGACGGCGAAAATGCAGAATCCGGTCGATCCGGGCACGATCGGACGACAAAACCTCGAAAAAAAGTTTATCGAACATCTACGAATTGATTTGGAGAAGTTTTCGATCGCGTTCAAGGCATCCTGAATGGCCGATCGTGTCCTAGCATCGAACTGGACCGCGCTTCACGCCTGTTCTCGACATTATTAGTTATCGCTATTAATTATCATTAGTTAACTCTATTGCTACTATTACCACTATTATTAGTTATCGCTATCGATTCTTGATGCGAGCCTACTGTCGATCGGCGAGAGATGTAACTGCTTCGATCGTTCCTCGTCCCGTTTCGTAATTGATGATCGTTGACGATCGCTTTCTAAACATCCAGAGTCCAGGATCAGAAATCACGATCCAGAGGAATCGGGACGGGGAGCGGGCGATCGAAAGCGTTTCGAAGAATGGTTTACCATCCGAATTGCGATAACGAGCCGAAGATACAAAGTTTCTTTGCGATCCGCGACGACGTCGTCGAATACGTGCGTGCACGCGACGTCGTCCCGGAAACGAGTGTACACGTTCGAACAAAACCGTATATACACGATAATCCTCGAAGCGCCGCGTACGTAGTGAGCAGCGTTTACAAATTTTTCGAATTTTGGAAATGGTCGACGCGCAAAAGAAAAGAAAAAAATATATGAAAAATATATCGAATCCAGAGAACAAGCGAAAAGAGAATAAAGCGGGAGGAATAATATAGATGATGAACGATAGGAGCAAAATGTAACAAAAAAAAAAAAACAAAAAAAAAACAAAAAAAAAAAATGAAGACGAAACGATAAATTCACCAGTCTCTTTCGGTTACGAGCGAGTTCCGCATTGTGTAGGATTTATCTCATTAATGGTTCTATGTATGATGATACACGTGATACAATATCTAGGAGAAAGAGCTAAACGTTTTCGATGATTGCGAGAAACGGTGAAATGTACACGAGCAGAAATTTTTTCGATAATCGCGAATAGCCTTTTTGCGTGACTCGATTCAAAACGCATAATTATCTAGGATCTAAACGACGAGCGTTTATTTTCATTTTTTACGATCGTCACACGTACGTTCGTCACCGGGTGCTTCCGTGCGACGGAACGACTTCCGGGCGCGCGCGCGCGCGCTGCCGGAACGATTTTAAATTCGAGAATCTTTCGCTGGGCAGTGTTCGATGAGATTAACTACTCGGGTATCGGAAAATTGAAATTTATCACGGCCAATTTATCGCGACGAATGTTCTCGGAGAGGCTCCACCGTCTCGTCTTCAACGCGCGAATAAATTGCGATCGACGAGCGGTGGAGCGCCTCCGAAATTAGTCAGAAATTTGTTTCGACTATCGTTTGTACTCGTTTGTATCGGAGCCCCGTTTCGACTCGGTTTCCTCTCAAATGATATTTGTTACGGAAGAAGAGAGCAAAATTCGACGGTCATTGAACATGAAAAATAACATCGCGTGGAAACGCTTAAATTTAATTTTGATACTTTGCGGAAACCAGTGGGGAAACTTGGCTACCGATTCTTCGTTGAGACATATCAAAACGATGTAACTCGATACCGTTGAGAGAAAAATAAAAGCGATTATTTTCAAGTATTTAGGAATAAGGGAATGGGTATTCTACAAAATGGCGTCGAACGATTGTTAGATCCGAGCGCAGTGTTTCAGATACTCAAAACGTAGATACCATTGAACACTGTAGATCAATATTTCGCAATGTAATCGCGGATCCAAAACAAGTATTGTGTATAAAGCGTCTTTCGGGCTTCCTATCGACAGCGTGGGGCTCGTTCCAGCTAAAGTTTCGCGGGACCGGATCGGTTTCGCGTTGCGCAATAATTTTTATCGTAAAATACACGAAAGCTAACGATCTCGGATAAATCGATGTCGCGGAACCGAGCGTCAAAACGCGTTGGAACGGAATTCTTTCAGCGGTCTATAATGTAACGAAATTCTCCGGTGTCCACGTTCCTTTCGATCGAACGAGCCTGCACGCGAGCCGAGTCAGAATTAAAAGTCGTTCGAAATTCGAGTTTCGAGTGGTTCGAATGAACGGGAACGACGAGAAACTCGGAGCTGCCGTCGAACGCGGGTTGTAAATATTCTAACGCGCGTGACGTAGTGTAGAGTATTGAATATACTTTCGCGGTGGCGTAGTAATTTCTGGTTTTTGCGAGCGCCGTTGGAAGATTGCTCGTCGATTCTGGAAGCACGCGATTGACCGGCCGAAAATTTTCAAAGTCTTTTCGAACACCGATGGCAAAAATAAAGGCTGATATGTGTCGCGAGACGGCGATTATTGTCGCTGAAATTTTTGTGCGAATGTTGTATGGTGCGAGTGTCGAGCAAAAAAATATAAAGGATAGAAAAAATTACGGGAATGAGTTTTAAGCGAATAAAAAAAAGTCGAGAGCGCGTGTGCAAGAGTGTGCGTTGTACGAATGGATTCGCGTGAATATGAAGAGCGGGTCGGGACGGAGCGAATGCGTGTAAAAGTAGCGTGAACGAAAACTAAAAACAAAATTTTACTACCAAGTGGACTAGAATCGCAACCGATGGGCATTATTAAGCGAAAATGAAATTTTCGGAACGTTTTTTCGACGAAGAAAAGCGTCCAAAATTGTACCTATTTTCATTTTATAAATTATATATATATATATGTATATGTATATGTATATGTATAGATATACGACGACCTAAGCGATCATTATATTGCAAGATGTAATGTGAGAGAAAGGGCGATAAGAAACGTTGATGAAGATTAAGAAAATGAAGCGAAAGACGATGAAGGTGAAGAAAAAAATTATTGTATCTATATTCGGAGGTGAATCGATGATGTATTCGAGTCGTGATTATTATTATTATTATTATTATTATTATTATTATATATTATGATTATTGTGTATAGTTAAGGCGAAAATGGGATTTTAGACGAAATTATCGAACTCGAAGTATATAGGGAACGAATATAGTGAGAGTATAAGAGAGAGAGAGTAAGAAAGCGAGAGTACAAGAAGAGAGAATGCGAGAGTTGCGAGAAAAATTTTTTGACGGTGATTGCACACTGTAATGTCGGCAGGCAACAAAAAAAAGTCCCCCTCCCCTCGAGCAACAAAAAAAAAAAAAACGGCAAAAATGAAATATAGTCATAGCCAAAAATGGAAAGGAAAAAAAAAAGAACGAAATGGTAGAGAGCACATGCGACGTAATGAAACAAAAGTTTAAAAACCAAAAACGATAAAAAAAATGATATCAATAACGCATTTCGAGACAATACAAAACACGCGCATAGAAGTAACACCACAACGTAGCAGGCAATAGAGTTTGGGTTCGCTGGAATGATTTTTTTTCTTCCCGGTAAATATATAACGATACAAAAGTTTTTCGTAACGCAAAGGAAAAAGCAAAAAAATATAATAAAGGAGACGACTCAGTCCTTGTTTCTGTTTGTACGACGACCACAACACGAAGATGAAATAGCCGATGATAATAACGAGAACAAAAAAAATACAATTTTATCACTATATCTATATATAAAAGTATACATATATGTATGTATGTACGCGCGCATACGTACATCCGGTGCAAAAGAACGCGAACGCGTACGCGATGTGCTTCCTCGTTCGTGACAATGTGGCCCACGTTTAAATTTCTATTCCCGACGTAATCCATCGCGATCGTTAACGGAGCATTTCCGGTTTTCATTTCAGAACCTTCTATACCCTTCGAACCGCCAAACGAACGTACAAAACTGAACACGATTCGGACTTAGTAAAGGGCACATTGTCGCGTTCCGGGACGAGCAGAGGAGGAGAGGCGACAATAGAGGCAAAAATAGAAAAAAAAATATATAAGTGAAACTCGGGCAAAGAGATGAGAACGAAAATTTCGATGAAAACGCGTAGAGACGAGCGCGACAAAAATCGCGGAAACGAGGCAGTATACTTTTTTCCCCCCCGATCGCCATCGAACCTTGATCAAACTTCGGTTTCACCCTCGCGATCGTAGGCGACTGTTATCGATTTTCGACGCTCTCGGCACCGCGGAAAATGTCCCTCGGTCGACGAATACATCGAATCACGCAAACGAGCCTGTTCGGGAAACAAAAATTCAACTTTCGGTACGCGGAGAACTCAATTTTTAGATTGCTAAATATATCTCTGGATCCCAGAAGATCGAAATTCTGAATCGTGAAATACATGTAATTTTTTAATCGCGGTAAATTTAACTGTACAAATCGTAGAAAAGAACTGTAATTGTAATTACTATAGAACTTGAATTTTGGATCGTGAGAAAATTTACTTTAAATCGTGAAAAGTATAGTTTTTGGCTCGTAGAAAGCTACCTTGTTGATATGTTGGGGGTTCTCTCAGAAAAAGAAAAGTATACACTTGAAAGTGAATTGGCGATCGAAAAAGTAAAAGAAAAAAATGGTACCGTTGACCGGAGGGGCCAAAGTCTCCTAACGCCTTCTGTTTTCACCGTAGCATATCCATTTTCCTCGTAAATGTTCCTAATTAATATACACCCTTCGCAGATCCTTGCACTCTGTTCCCATTTCCAACATGCACCGAAACTATTCACCTCACCCTTCACCACACATGTTCCCACATCTTTTACCAACGGCACAGCCCCTCACGTTTCCAATCCACAACCACCGAAACCCCCCAGTCCCTCCACTAGCAAACCGATCAACCAATGTGAGTGATTGTGTCAACACGTGTTACAAAAGGGAAAAAATAGCAGATTTTAAAAGAGAGGATCGAGAGAAAAAAAAGAAAAAACGGAAGATAGATAATCGCAAAAGAGCATACTTACGACCTGGCGGGAGAAAAAAATCGATCGATCGGAAAACAAAAAAAAAAAAAAATGAAACGTACACACACACACATTCGTCGGACTGTGCAGGGACATTTTGCATCAATTGCGTAAACACGAGACAGAGGGAGAAAGTGTGCGTGTGTGTGAGAGAAAGAATTACGAGTTAAAGAAAAAAAAAAGAAAAAAAAAGGGAGTCGAGAGTGAGAGAGAATGCGCGTGTGGAAGAGAGCGAGAGAGCGAGACAGGCAAGAGATGTGACTAAAAAGACGAAGCAGAAAAAAGTAAAGAAAAGCACGAGCGAGATGAATAATAGACGACGGAAGCTAAAAGAACAAAAGATAAAAAAAAAAAAATGATACAAAATGTACGAACGAACAATTGATACTGTCTTCGTTTTTTAATGGTCGTTTCTCCGTTCGACACGCTACTATATGAAATATTGACGTTTGTCATTGGGATTATTACCGACGACGATGAATTGTCATTATTATTACGAAACTATTGCTATTATTACGACGACGAATGATGATTATTATTATTATTATTAGTTATTATTATTAACATTTATTATTGACATTATTATCACGATTTATTATTGCGATGATGATTATTGCGATTATTACTATTATCTTTATTATTATTATTATTATTATTAATTATTATTACGTGGTACAATAAAAATTTAATAAGCATTCGGTCTGTTTCGGTCTCGTGATCACTATGCCCCACTGACCAATTATATCACGAGCGTGAACAACATTTACGAGAATTTTTCTATCTTATCGCGCTTTCAACTTTAACGGCATGCTGACCCCTCTTACGTATTAAAATAACGATAGCTTATGCTCGTAGCTTCCCATGGCATGAGAAAATATCTCTATGTATCGCGAGAGAGAGAGGCTTTCCTTTGTCATTTTCTCAATACAGTAATATTTGTATTGCAGCCTTGAATCGCGGTGGCATAAATTAAAATTAATTTGTACGCAAACAAAAAATATCCCAAACATGATTCGATCGCTTCTTTTTTTATTTAAATAAAGAGAAACATTTCGAAATGATTTCCACTTTCGATTCAAGCAATAGTATCATCATCCCTTCAATTTAATGGTAGAATATTAATTGATGTTTACGAAATATAAAAAGAAAAATACGACAATCGTTGTCACATTTTCCACATCGTATTTAAGGGCAACGATACTCTCGATTCAACTTAGCTCCAAGTACACGTAATTTTCTTTTTGGTACCTTCAAAGCTACCTGAGTCTGTTTCCAACATTACGATTCAAAAACCATGCACCCAAGTTACAATATTTAGATTCAACACACCGTTTTAAGGTATCTACGGATTGATTCTGCAAAGCAACAACTTTTGTTCGCGTTTGTTAGCTAACAGCTTTTAATTCAGTGTACAGACGATTTTCGATAGTAAATCCGAGTCTGAACGACGTCTGGTGTCAACGAGGTCATCGAAAGAGGGATTAAGAGCAATAAAAACCGGCACTCTTGAATCAGTACATTACGAATCGACGGGAAGGAAGTACGATGTTTCGTTTCGGTTTACGCGGCAAATTGATCGCCGTCGATAGCTTCGAAAAGTGCATCGAAACGTTGAATATAAGGGAATCGTCGGGATTTACGACGATTACGAAGGTAAACTCGAGCCGCGGCGCTACGGGGCCGCGTTCGAGATGTTTGATCGATTCCGAACCGCGGACGAACGGGAGCGAAGGTTGTCGTTCGTTGTCGACACAAACGCCGGCGCCAGAGCCAAGGAAGACTTGCCTGTACGACCTTCACGTGGAAAATCGAGGTAAATCCATTCTACAATCCGATGACACGCTATCCTTTGATTAAACCTAACACTCTACACTTGTTAATAAAAACCCGATATACAACTGAGCAGGTAGAACGGTAAGATTGGATTAAAACGATTTTATTTTATGTTTCTATTATGGTATTTTATAACACTATAGTCCACTAGAAACGGGGTAACTTTCTAATTAAGTAATCCTATAAATTTGTGACGTTCCTTTCTTTTTAAGTTAACAAGGATAGAATTCGTAGCTTGGTACAAGGAGAGCAAAATTTCTTGATCAAAACAATCTGCAAAACGTTTGGAATTATTTGGTTGAAACAAAGTAATTTTTCATGACCACGAGTTTAGACCATATGTGATAAAAAATATCGACAAAATTTGTATAAAATTCGAAAATATTAACACACTGAAAAGCACTATTGAACAACATTTTGATGAACAATGAAACAAGTTTTATACTAGCAGGGTAAAAAGGATGAATTACAATATATATTTCGTAAAATTCGATAGTATGTTTGAAATATTGGCTTCAAGTTCTGGTAGACTTCTGCACAGACTAATGAGATGGTCTAATATTTTCTACATTTTAAATATTGCTAATAAAAGCTGTATGACTTTGTGAAATTATAATACAATGATAATGATTTGTTTTTTGAATGGTGACTTAATGAAGAGTTGAAGGTCAAGTTGAAGGTTTTTCTACAACAGAATTAAATATGATATCGAATACAAAAATCGAACAACTGTTAATTTACAAAATATTCATAATAATAAATCTCATCGCTTCGAATATCATGAACCAGTGATCTAACGTTATTATGGAAGTTGTATACCTGAGGAAATGTTCTGTTCGAAGGATAAGTTCGATGACATGTGGTTCAAGATCATTCGAGGCCAATCAAGGTCAAATATTAATACTTTACTAGCTGAATATCTCGTAAAATGTTAGATTTAGCCTTTGCCAGTGGAATTTAGCTCGACGAAAGCTGGGTACAAATGGTAGGCGTCAACGAGTGGTAAACAGACCGCACTTATGCTAAACTGCTTCGTAACAGAGATTATAAGAATCGTGACCAACTCTTGTGGCGTACTGATAGTAACTAAAACTCGAGCACGATCGTTATTTGCTGTCCGCTTAGCTCGCGATGTTTACGTTTTGGGCCGACCTTCTGTTCGCGCGAGTCTGGGCTCGTGATATTTATGTTTGGGCCAAAATCTTCGTCACGAGTCAGGCTCGTTATAGTACGGGAATATCACAATAGCCTTTCACACAGAATTCATTGCTCTATCGAATTTTACAATTAAAATTAGCAATTCTATTTAAGAAAACATGACCTTTAAACACGCCATCTCTTATTTCAAAGTAATTTTTCTAAACTCAACAATGAAATTATAATAATGCACCTTGACTATAATAATGATAATAAAGGAAAGGGTGAAATCGTGGCCATGTTGTAAAAATCAGCTTTCTGTAATTCTTCCTTTTTCTATTATCGTTTCTTGACACAATTTCAAATAGGGTACACTTTGCTTTTAGTTATTTTAACATATAAAAAAATTTTAGGGTGGTTTTGTAGTTGATTGATCCTCCTTCGACAGGTAAGATCGTCAACTTTGCCGGATGGCTACTCCCAGTTCAGTATCAAGATGCAATAGCAGCGTCCCATCAGCACACGAGGACGTACGCTTCGTTGTTCGACGTTGGTCACATGATGCAGACGCGAGTTTCCGGTAGTAACGCTACCGAGTTTTTGGAGTCCCTGACCACCAGCGACCTGAAGAATTTGGAAAAAGGTTGCGCGGTACTGACAGTGTTCACCAACGAAAACGGAGGCATTCAGGACGATCTAATTATTACGAAGGACGATGACAACAAGTACTTCGTAGTGTCTAATGCTGGAAGAAGGGACCAGGACTCGCAGTTGCTCTTACAACAGCAGGTACAGCGAAGAACAAATTTCTTTGCACAGTTACAGGATAATTATCAAAATTCTTTGACCCCTAAACACTCACATCCACTCGTTCTTGCATGAAAACAATGGTATCTTATATTAAGGCAAATATGCTACCTTCTTAACACTATCCTTTATGCATTAAATAAACGAATAGGGATAATATCCACAACTTTTATCGTCATCTCTTATACGTTTCTTCAGTCTTTAAGTAACCAACGTTCAGTAAACATCAATTGTCAAAAATACAACTTCATTACTATTCGCGTACAACACATAATTCAACGTCATATCGCATGGATCATAATTAGACTAGGTCTTAGGACATTAATTTATATTAAACTACATCTAAAACTGCTATTATCTAGCTCTCAACTTCTCCATCATTTCAGAAAGACTTCGAGTCCCAAGGGAAGTCCGTGTACCTTGAGTTCCTGGATCCTTTGGAGCAAGGCCTCGTTGCGCTGCAAGGGCCCACTGCAACGGGAGTTCTTCAATCGTTGATAAAGATCAACCTGAAAGATCTGAGATTCATGAACAGCGTGGAAACCGATCTATTCGGGAGTCGAATCAGAGTGTCTCGTTGTGGATACACGGGAGAGGATGGTTTCGAGATCTCTATGCCAGCTGGGATCGCTAAGAGCCTGACTCAGAAGCTCATGGAGACGGGTGACACGAAATTAGCGGGTCTTGGCGCAAGGGATAGTTTGAGGTAACATTAACGCTAAACCTACCGCGACAGATCGAATCGTCGTTTTTACAACTTTGTTTAAAATTTGTATAAAATTTTAGCGCCATTTGTCTTCGCGACTTTTCACGAATTGTTCCAAAACTACTAGCATTTTGTAATATATTTCTCTATATTATTCTCAAGAATATAGACTTTTAAAATGCATACTTTAAGAAAAGACATGTGCCTTGTAAAAGAGAAAAAGAAAGATTTGTCATTTGATCGGTTTTAGTAAGAATGGATGTACATAGAGTGTCGGTAGGTTTAGTTTGAAAAATGGCGATTTATCGATCTGAATCACCATTTCGCGCGAATTCTCGCAGGCTAGAAGCTGGTCTTTGCCTGTATGGACAAGACATCGACGAGGATACCACTCCGGTTGAGGCGGGACTTACTTGGTTAGTGGGTGAGTGAAATATTTAAGGAATTTCAAAATTTATGTCGAACAAATCGTTATACAGGATATTTTAATGTTTCAAAAGGCAAACAACGCGTATTTTAGTCAAGAATATCTAGAAATTCTAACACTATTTGAAAAGCTGTTCCTTAAACCCGTAAAGTGGGAAAAAAACCCAATAAAATTGGTCCAATTTTCAAACGGCCATAACTCCTACAATAGTGAACGTATCTCATTGAAATTTAGTATGGAAGTAGAGCTCGTAGATACCTACAAAAAAGTATTAAACAACTTTTCTGTAGAGCGTCAAACAAAATTACGAAAAATGAACGTCAGTCAAGCGCTTGCGAGAGAACAACCCCTCTGGCGGCGAGATCGGGAGATAACGACATAGTCCGTCTCGTACAGCCAACAAATATCTGAATACCCGAAAATTCTCAAGTTTCGTAAATGTATCTGTCCACCTCGCCGAGTGGAACGCGTTACGCACGAACTATGTCGCGTGGAGGACCAAACGGTCTTGCTCGATGGCACGCCTGATTCGATCGACAGTGGCGATAACCTCTGGGATCGCCCTCAATGTGGAGCGACCCTTTCGGAAGCCGTACTGCCGATCCGACAGGTCCCCGGCAGCCTGAATGGCCGCGGGCAATCTCGCCCTCAGCATCATCTCCATCACCTTGCCTGCAGTGTCTAACGTACACAGCCGGACGATACGGTGACGGAGAGTCAGGGTTTCGGTTTCCCTTCCCCTTGTTAATAAGCGCAAGACGCTTCCAAGGCGACGCGAAGGCGTCCGTTAACAGGCAGGCGTTACAATTAAGTTCATTGACCATTGTATCATAGGCTCCCTTTAATATCACGCGGGTCATTCCACGTCAAATCGATCTTTCGTCACCTTCTGTACTCCAAGTTAGGATTTGGGGTTCCAATGAAATTAAAATACGTTGTGATTCGCGCGAGTGGGATCATAATTTTGCTAATTTCAAATTTGTTTAAAATGTACAGGATTGTTCGGTCACCCCTTCTGAGAAAAATTTTAATGGGAGATTCTGGGGGTAAAAATAAGACGAAAATCAAGAACACCAATTTGTTAATAGAGGCTTCGTTAAAAAGTTATTAACGTTTAAAGATCCGCCTGTAGAGCGTCAATCTGCGAACAGCTGCGTGTGTGGAACTTTAGGCGTTAATAACTTTTTAACGAAGCCTCGATCGACAAATTGATAGTCTTGATTTTCGTCTTATTTTGGTCCCGAGAATCGTACAGAATGCATAAAAAAAGTTTAAAACGAACATTGAACAACATGGATGTCGATAAACATATTTCGAAATGAGTAACCAAATACATGTTCTATCATCTTCATTTCAGGTAAAAGAAGAAGGGCTGAGGCAAACTTTCCTGGCGCTGACACGATATTGTCACAGATCAAATCAGGTATCAAGAAGAAACGAATAGGTTTGATGCTAGGACAAACTCCGTCGGTCAGAGCAGGAGCGGCTATAATGACGCCTGGAGGTGAACGTGTGGGAAAAATCACTTCCGGTGGACCCAGCCCGACCCTTGGACGACCCATTGCCATGGGGTACGTGCCCCCAGAATTGGCCCACAGCGGTGACGGGGTACTGGTCGAGATTCGAGGGAAGACTTACAAAGCTACAGTGACGAAGATGCCTTTCGTGAAGACGAACTATTACACAGCAAAATAATAAATGACCTTCGATAACCTTCGAATGACCTTGAACGCCAAAAGTTTAATGAAATCGAATGACAATATTAAAATGCTATGTAAACACACTGGTTATGTTATAAACGAATAATCAGGCATGAATTTTTGTCATACCTCAGGCATGTATTGTGTCCAAGCGAGGTCCTTAGTTTTAATGTAATACAGGATGGGTGGAAAATCGTAGTACAACCGACTAGGGAGCAATTCTGCCTAAAAAATAAGGAAAAAATTTAGTATATAGTTTTTTTCCCCATACGAGGCTTTATTTTTAAGAAAATTGAATTTGAAGTTTGCTCAACTACGCAATGCGATTTATTTATTGTGTTTTCTATTACCGATTATCATCGAAGTCGATTCCTCGTCTTATTTTAATCAAAAGGGATCGACATTCTTTGAAAAACTGTTTTCTAAACCTTATAATTACATTCGTGACATAGAAATAATAAATAAATTTTTATTTCATCTATTTTATTTCAAAATATAAACTTTTATCTTTTGAGAAAGTCACAATCAGTTCCCTTAGAGAATCATTAGTAAAATGCAGCATTCATGTTGATTTCGAAACGCAACGCGATCTATTTTACGTAAGAGATCGCAAAACGAACGGTATTTTTACAGATTTTTTTTACAGGATATGTGTGCGTTCAGTCGAAATTACAAATAATTTCTTGAACTATTGGAAACAATTTTTTTTAATGTCTATATTTATTTATAACGAAAAAAATAGCGTTATTACGAACCACGTAGCGGCGTGTACGACACGCTGGTGTACATGATAACACACAAAAATCGTTCAACATATTCTCGATAACATTCTCTATCGGTCGATGTGTGGATTTTATTTTTTAATCATTTCTCAAAATATATAAGCTGTTATAATTTTATTAGCTTATTAGTTAACTTATTTTGTAGCTAGAACATAACAAAATTCAAATATCGTTTTTAGTTTCAAAACACCTTAACTCCCGAGAGGATTTCGTGAAACAAAAACTTGTATATTTGAAAATATATATTAAATATATATCATCGTATCAAATGAAAATAAATCGTATCTTTGAAAATTAATATGAAAAACTTCCTTCGCGGCGGTCAATATATCGACGTCATATTCCGCCATTTTTTTTCTACGCTATACGCGGTACCGTAACATCAACAACTTCCAATAAGATTCGTCGCTAGGTAATCGTTTCGTTGTTACAATGGAGATAATGGTCGTTTCGACGACTTAGAAAAGAATAGCAACGCGCGTAGCAAAGGACAAGACACGGCACGAGTCAGTGCTCGAATAGGATTGGCTAAGAGATACCTAGCTTGAAAAATGGGCAACATCGTCGCTGCAACTGCCTACCTCTCAGGGCTCAACCTAATGTAGCCTTAGGATACCTAGGCACGAGCACTATGCTAGTTCCCGCAATAAATGATCTGGTGTTGTCATCTAGCGGCGCCGAGGCGTATCAGAGCCGGAACGTATACGAGCAGACCTTAGACCTTATGAATTTTCGTGGCCCAATCTGACTGCTATACCGACCTGAAAATTCAGAAGTGATTTTAACGACCTCTTCTCATGGGTGGCGGTCAGTTGAGAAACTATTCACTGAATTAGTATTGATAAACAAGTGTAGCATGTGTGTGTGTAAATACATGTGTAATGAGTGCTAATGAGTCCTGCACTACCTCACCCCCCCCCTCCCCTTGCTCAGGGACCTCGAGATATCCATAAGGATTTCTCCACATTGGAAAAAAATACTAAGCTTTTCCTCCCTCCTGCACTGGTGACTAGCTTCTCACATATGCCCCAAATAATTATTAGGAATTACTCGCATCTCTTCCGACCGAAAGCAACGTTCGATCAGTCGAACACCCTCGTGCTTGGTGTACGGGTGACCCATCAGTAATGGTGTCACCTGACCACTACTCGACACCATTAGCCCTACCGATACTTACAATTAGGTTAGTTGTAAGTATACCTATTGGGCATAGTTATCCCGGTCCGTATCCTACGATCTAATGTGGTCTATTGCATAAATAACAGTTAGACATCAATGTAATGTATTCCGTTTTGCAAAAATGAATTCAGAGGGGAATAATGAAAGAAACTACCTTCCCGTGATCTCCAATTTTCGAAATTTCTTTCTCATTATGGTACTTTCTTTATACCTACATAGGCTGGAAGGGAAAATGCTCAGGCAGTCGAGACTCGAAATTGTCGAATTGAAGGTTAGATTTCAGTTGGTGCAAGGTCGAGAAGAAAAGGCTCGCGCTCGCCTTCCTTCGTGATTTCTCAAAGTTGAACAAAGTACTGAACTCACAAACACGCGATCCGTGCGGTAGCATGTTTTCCGTTTTCCCCACCACTCTGTTACGCGTTAAAGAAAGTTCGTCGTTAGTAATGTCGTCGTCGATGTCCACAATCACACCAAATATGGCTACATTGCTTTCTCATCGCTCCGCTAGGCGCTATAGTAAATTCATCGTCGCTAGTGTCGTTCTTTCTACACTCATTCTGTCAAATCTGGATACACTGATCACATTAATACTGTCACCAACATATCAACAAAAATTTGAAACTTTGAGTAATTCGAATTTATCTAAATTTTCCAAAATATTTATTCAATTGCGCAGTAAATATTATTGATCCTAGCGGTGAGTGTTATTAATATTTCTCTCAATTTTGATTAATTTTTGTCTGTAGATCGTTCCATAACCTCTACAAATTATACTTTTAAACAAATTTCTCTCAATTTCGACTAATTCATATTTAGATCGTTTCACTATCTCTGGAAATTTTACTTTTGAACAGAAATGGAGTCCGTTTTACAGCAAAAAATGATCGACGCGACGCATTGCGTCGAAAAGCAATTGGACACCGAATTAGAAAAATTGGACAATTTGGATATCGGCGATATCGAAAAACTGCGTGAAAATCGCCTGAAACAGTTGAAAACACTTCAACAACAGAAGCAAAACTGGCTGTCCTTGGTAATTTCTATTTATTTAATCATATTTGCATACAAGGGAATCCTATAACAAATGACTACTTCATATAGCCCGTGTCGCAAGCATAATCATACATAAAATCTCGAACTTCTGTAACAGGATATAGTTAGAGGTCAATAGGACATGGATTGCTCTTATTGTCTGTATAAAATAAGAGATGAACCCTGTTGCATACAGACAAAATAGTTGTGGCTGACCAAACAAACCTAACACTTCTATAATTAAGTTTAATTGTATTTAAAAAGGAATCACTCATTCAATATAAACATTCACAGTTTTAATATCACCGATAGACAGAAGATTAAAATCTTGACACACTTTCATATTGCACATCTCAATAAAGCTTACCCCTCTAGTTAATATTTTCTTAGTCCTGCATACATTGGTCATTCACACAGAACATACTCTAATGATTCCTCAACTGAAAGATTACAGACCAAGCAGGTTTGAATCTCATGTATCCTATACCAATTCCTTTTGTATAAAATATTAATCTCCTTGTGACCAGTCAATCTGACCTCAGCTATTAGTCTGATAAAGGGTAGAGGCAGATCCAGTGTGAGACACTCTTTTGGTCCCAACATATAGGAATTCTCAAGGTCAAGTTTTAGCTTGATATATAAATCATATATTTTAAGGCCTTCAACATATCAGGAATTTCCGAATCAATCGTTACTGGGCCCTTCTGCCCTTTGAAATTTCATAAAATTTGTATTTGACAGATTCACATCCAGCTTCTTCTTAAAGCAGTTTGTGTTTCAGATCTATGATCCCTCTCAAACGAAACCAGATCGTCGGCAAAAAGTAAAACGTCCACCAGGTCGTCGATCCTCTCAAGACCCCCTTCTTCTTCTCTAAGAAATAGAGAAAACTTTTCTATCCCTTCTTTTGAAATGGGGCATGAATCAGTCTTCAGTTTTCTGAGTTTCTTCGCTATGATCCAGAATGTACCTAGATTCTTAATCATGGCCAGGTTGATGAACTCCTTCCTAACTTTAAGAAATGCTTCTTTTAGTCTCCAGTTTTTGGTTCTTTGCCAGCTCCTGAGTAAACGTTTCATTTCTACCCAAACCACATGATAGTTCTCATCAAACCAAAGCTTATCTCTGTCCCACAGTTGGAAGTTTGGGGAGAGTCTGTACAATCCAATATTTATAGTCTCCCTTGGAATGACTCAGCTGTTTTTCTATCTACAGTAGTACCCTACTTAAATGACCATGCTCGGGACCGCAAAAATGCGGTCACTTATGTGGGCACTACTGTAATTGTTCACTGTCATTTATGAGCGATGGTGGACATTCCAAAAGACAATTGTAATAGCCCTCTCCCAGTACACCATCCTAGCTTAGTATAACTACGCTATCCTCGGAGGTCTTAGACCCAAATCGACATTGGAAGGTGATCAGAAAGCCCCATCTACCAACAGGGTCAGGCAACCTGCTAGATTAGTCCAAACCAAGTCTATTACAGTAAACCCTTTGGCCCCCACAAACATAAAGGCTCCAATCCTATCAGAGATATTCCTACCATTCAATACTATCAGATCAAGGTTCTCAAGTCTATCTAGCAGCAAAATTCCACTGTAATTCCTATTCACCTAACCGTTTTTATGATTTAAGAGACAACAAATGTAAGCTTCAGAGCAAAAATGTTAAGAAGAGTAAAAAAAACTCAACATTGGTCAATTTATGAAAACAAATTGAAAAAAACTGGTCAAATTAAGAAATTTTTTAGCTCCTTTGTCTCTGCTTATCATTGTTTGGTTGAAACTGCTGCAATTTAGATGATGATCCAAGCAATGATCTGTTCAAACAGTACCCTAATGAACCAATCTTTAAAGCAGGATCGTGGTTAATTCTAGGGCCATGGAGAATATTCTGAGGTGTATGATGAAAAAGAATTTTTCGAAGTGTCGAAAAAGTCAGAAAATATAGTCTGTCTGTTTTACAAAGACGATTCGCCAAGATGCAAAATAGCGGATCATCATCTAAAAATTCTTGCGAAAAAACACGTGGAAGCAAAGTTTTGCAAACTAAACGTCCACCGATGTCCATTTTTAACTGGTAATTTCCAACCATTATTATTGAAATTTTGATCAATCAAAAATCAATAGAAACGATATATTGTTTTTGTTTCCAATGGATTTATTTAAAGTAGAGCATGAATTAGAAAAAAAAATAATGTTTCGTTTCTTGAACAGAAGCATCAACATTAATATTTATCGTTTCCAGAACGTCTGAAAATCAAAATTATTCCAACAATCGCTCTGATTTTAAACAGCAAGACCACAGACTATATCGTGGGATTCACTGACTTGGGAAATCGTGATGACTTTTCTACGGAAACCTTAGAATACAGAATTTCCCTTTCAGGTGTGATAAAAATGGACGATAATGTTTATTTAGAAAACAAGAAAACACCATGGTTGTCGCAGGTTTCGAAACCAAAAACTATCAGATCCGCGAGTTCCTTAAATTCTGATGATTCCGACATTGAGTAAAGATATTTTCAACAATTGTTTGTACAAATTTGACATATTATTGTTTAAATTTGTATTCAATCGACTAATCTCGTTTAGAATTAAATCTAAGTCCACTTGTAACGATTTCGATTTTGATTAATAAAAAAAGGGTCACAATTATTAATTGAGGGATTGTATTTTAGTATATAAAATATATATGGTTGTTGTTTAGTGCTAATTATAAAATATTGTCAATTACAAAATATTATTTTGCTTGCTCTTTCTTATATATATCTATATACATATATAGATTTCTTTGTTAACAATTTACTTAGTGGTAGAATAATACTAAATCAATTTCAAATATTTCTTCGCAACGAAATTCGAGAAAATAAAAATATACAAACTTTTTTAAATTGTAACAAAAAAAAATTTTTTTTTTTTTTTTTTTTCAAAACTAATAATTTATATCATTTATATTATTTATTTGTCAACGTTATATGAACATTAAAAAAATATTAAAATAGTAAACAATGTGAAATAAAAATAATGATTTTAGATAAGAATCTTTTAATTTTAAATTATTTGATAGCGAAATATTGAAAAATAAAAACTTCTATTTTACTGAAGTTTAATGACTGTGTTATTAATTTTTGATATTATTAGAGCTAGAAAATGTTCGATAAAACAATAGATAACTCGTTACATTGCTTTATTTTACAGTAAGGTTCGATATATGGCGTTTAACAACATTATTTTCTTCAAATTCTCGCTTTAATCTCAAGATAATATGACCGAGAATATGTTTTAATGTTATTACACTAATTATCCTAACTGTATACGTAAATAATTTCTTGCATATAAAGGATATCGCCATTAAAATAGGTCGTCCGAACAATTTGTTCATTTTTTACGATAGAACGGAATTTGTTATATAAAATAAATAACTTTCGTTATTGTAAAATGATTTTAAACTCAAGTTTTTCCCAAAATGTCTGATTTTATATTGAAATGTTTTTTCCATTATAAATGATTTTAAAATAAGTAGATATGACGGTCACCGGTGACCACCATGTTTACAGGTTATGTTGTCCTACATCTCGATCTGTATTAAACATAATGATTTAAAAATATTTAGTTCCATTTTAAACGAAAATTGTTTTTGTTTCATATTAGTCTATTAAGGTAGACAATAAATATAATAATTGATTTTCTATCGTCGCAAGCAGGCAAATTATTCAAACGACCTTCATCCTTCATGTATATACAAGAAATTAGTGTTTTTTTTTAGTTTTAGAACGAATTTAGTGAGAAAATATTCTGTTTCTTACAATAGTATACATTTAATATCTAACCTTTGATAATTATAATTATGCAATGTATCACAGAGATAATTTTGCATACATTAATAATTGTCATATATATGTACACGTCGAAATAAGAATAACATTTATACTATAGCTAACGCACTATTTAATGTGCATTCATTATTATTATTATTACATTAAAACGTAAATTAATTGGAGGTATGGAAATAGTCTAGAAAAAAAGTCTTCAAAAAATTATTTAAATCATATTATAATGCCCCTTGCCTAATGTTTATTTAATTATTCGTGAAAGCCTTTCATCGAATTAAAAAAAAAAATCGTTTGCACGAAAGTATAAAGATTCATCCACAAATAATAATTAATTGCAAGCACATGACACAATTCGTATTGATTTAAATGAAATTTGATTAGAAAAAAAAACATAAAATAAAAAAAAAAAAAACTGTGTTCCATTAGGCATTTATTAATAAAATATAATTAAAGAAATAAATGAGGTGATGAAGAAAAGTAAAAAAAGAGAAAAAGATTATGTTTTATTTGGTGTTCGTTGATAAAATTTAATTGAAAATTGAATAATGTGATAAAGAAATATATAAAAATAATTCGATTTGATTAGAAAAAAATAGGAAGAAAAACTATATTTCATTAGGAATTTATTTATTAATTTAAAAATTGGATAAGGCGGTGTAGAAGCATAATATTCTTCGATCGAATTCGAAGAATTTTCTTGTTAATAATACTTTGAATTGTTCGTGAATGGTATTTGTAAACTTTGAAAATGGTGAGATTGCTTAAGCTTAAAAAAAATTACTTTAAGCTGTTAGTATAATCGTTGCACGATTAGAAGGATTCCATAAAAATTTTATAGATCTTAAACGTGTATAATTAATAAAACAGAACGTTGTTAATTACACTTTGTACATATATATCCGGTTTCTTTTTTTATTATTATTATTAAAATGTCAAGCTTCAGCTTAATCAGGTTCAAAAAGGAAAACTATTAAAATATTTTCACATCTATGTAACTGAGCTAATAAAAAATTTCTGAGAGTCCGAGAACCATGATTTAAATAGTAAACTAACTTAAGACTTTGATTTGTTTCTCTTAATCTCTAAGTTGAATTGATAAAATGAATAGCTTTCGAAAGATTATAACCAATATATTCACATTATTTTAACAACTTACACATATATATGTCTCTCTCTCTCTCTCGCTCTCTCTTTCATTCTGCGCGTGCGCGCGCGTGTGTTCTCTCTAGTTATTTAAGTATTATGTTAATTTAACTCACTATACATGCGTTTTGATGGTCGATAAAGTCATAGAAGCATATGTCTTCTACCTTTTATGCGATTCACCAAATTGCAGATTTTCAATGCTGGACCGAGCTTCAATCCCATATATTTCATCATCATATCCGAATTTAGTAGCAGCAAGGCTTTTCCATCGATTTCCTGAAAATCACACACCATTATAAACGATACAACAATCGATAGTTCGATTGTTCATTGCAAAAACAGACGCTTACAAATTTAAAATAGGGCACAACAGTCCAATGAGGCTTATTTTAAAGAATGAAACCTCTACTTTCCCATACCAGAATTCAACTTCCTCGAAGACGCTTCCCGGAAAGCTGACCTCTGGTGTGAGAAAGTAGAATCTGACTTTTAAATTAACCCCCATTGACTGCCGTACAATTTTCTTTCTCAAAGTTACAAAGGTTATAAGATGGAGAATTCTGGCATTCGATTTTTGAATTTTTATAAAAAGTGTAAAATTCTTTTGTCAATGTTAATATTGGGTTGAACAAACATTATTTTTGTTACTGATATGTATGCTTACGTGCTTTCTAAATAAATCTGCATGCTGTCCCAATGCGGGATCGGTCACACCGATATAATGAATCACGTCTTCGATGGTCCACTCCGCTGGCTCAACGGAAGCTGTTCGGTTCATGGAACTTTCTGACTGTGTTGTGCTTGTTGCAGCTTCCAGTTCTGTTTATAATAGTAGTGTAATGATATTTAGTTAACTAATGACAAAAACTATTTACGATACTTAATTCTTATTAGCGTTGTTTTTATGGTTGATATATTTTTCTAGAGTTCTTACTCTATAGCACATTAAGGAATCCAAAAATTGTTAATTTTCGAACTATTGTAATTTTGTTAAAAATCATTTTAGAATGGCGATTCTTTTTTCTTTTTTAATTAAATCTCATTTGCTTTACCTGGAACAGATTTCCTGGGTTGTTTCGGTGCGGTGGCCGCGGAAATCGTAGAATTATTCAAACCGGTCACAGTATTTTGTTGTATCTGTTGCTGTTGGATACTAGATGACAACGTTTGCTGATTCTGGCACCCCCATCTTCTTTTCTCGGCCGTGGTATTATTAATCACCACAGAACCGTTAACTGATTCTTCGGTATTCGTGGACTGTGGTTGCTGAGCATTCGGGCATTTATTGCACGGCTCTTTCCTTCTGAACAAGAGATGCTCGCATGCACAAAGGTCCTCCAGTTGTCGCCTAACGTATATATAAAAATCCTCTTCCTCCATAAATATTGGTAACCTAACAGAAGTAGGTTTACTCTCTAAAATTAAGCTCACGGTTTCTCCTTCACCACGTTTTAATAAGCTTAGCATTTGTCTTGGACTCATTGCTGCCATCAGGAAAGCTTGAAATATATCTCTGGTTACATTTAATATGGGACCGGTGCCGAACTGTGCTGGCATTGCTTTTACTTTACGAGGATCAAAGTAAGGACCACATGTGCAATTATGGTTTACATAAATTGTAACTGTAATACAACAGAAGTAATGAGTCAAAAAACAATAAGTAAGCAACAAAGATATGTGACTTGGTATATATATGGTTGAAATAAATGCATACCATTCTCTATGGAATGTGGTTTCGTGTTGGACGTACTGGTGTCTGGTTCGGTGGCTGGCTGCGGCGGAGCACTGGAACCTGCAGGGCTTACCAGTGCCACAGCTGGCTCTCCGTTACTTCCTCCGCCTGATATCGCCATCACTGGGAGTACGTTACTGGTCCGCGACTTAAATCTATTGGGCCCTGTCGCTGAGAAATATTGAAATACATTAAATGTTTTATTCTTTAGTAGCTACACCTTTAAAATTTTATTTGCAAATAACCAATAATATATACAATAATAATACTAATAAGTGGAAGTAGTTTTGTTGCTTTGTTTGTACGGGAATATTTTTATTGACGAGTATTGTGAAACCCAATTAAAACAACACTATAATTCAATACTCACATTTCTGCCTTGGCGGTTGCAATGGATGACCACTCTTGAAGCACCATCCAGCAGGAAAGATATCCCTAGAGTCAAATCGACACCAGTAATCAAATGCTCCTCTCCAACCATCAAACGTAATATGAATCATATCATCCTTCACTGCCCCAACAGTTGCTGTACAAATCAACTGTGGATTTTTTTTATCGATAGCCTCCAATTTATGCCCGACTTCGAACATGTTTGATCGTGGTATTTTAGGTTCTCGCTTAAAAACCTTAGCAGGCGCCATTTCAGCACCATTTAGAGTTTTTAAAAGAAACATTGGCCAACTGGAAGCATTCATACGAAAGCCCAACGGAGGCTGCAACATTCCACCGGACTTTTCGCAATGGCCAATCGGGTGGATCTCGTTACTGTCGACCAATCTCCAAAAATCATTTTTGTTATCCGATCCATCCAATCTTAGTCTCAATCTTGGTCCTAGGACACCAACAACCGTTGCAATGCAAGTCGAAGTCAAATTTCTGGGATCCAATGCTTCCAATTTCATTCCCATCTTAAACTCATTGATCGATGGAACTTCATGCTGGAGAAATTTCAATATTAAAATTGGTTACAATTAAAATTTTTTTGAATCATTATCTTTGTTAACTTTAATTTAACCTGTTTGAAACACTCGATCGGAGCAGCTTGACTGTTTGTTTCCTTTAAATAGAGGTCCCAGTCGAAGGTTTGGTATGTTTCGTACTGGAATGGACCACTGGAGGTGGACGGAGGATGCGAAACAGTTGAATGGTTGGAAAACTGAGTCGTGGAGGGAACATTGTTCCCAGCAAGCAATCCTGACGGTGAAAGGGAAGGCGCAGGCGAAGACTGGTCCCTGTTGCCTACAAAAACAAAGAGAATTTCTCAAAAAACTTGATTTCTTTGAATAATAAACTTCATTAAAGTTTTTTCTACTAACTCTTTTTCGTGTCTGTTTGGACCTCCTTCTTCTGGTGCTTGTTCAAGCAGAACGACGAGCAAAAATCTTTTGTAGGCCCATCCTTCTGTTCCAATCTGACCGGCGCACCTCTGATCACATTATCGCACTGGACACATGCACCACGCACGTATGCTTTGCGGAATTCTGACAGACAGGTCTCCGAACAAAATTCTTTTTTACCATGCTGGGTCGGGAGAACGTATTTCAAGGGTTGCTTGGTCTCTCCGCACCAGGTGCAAGAGTTTTTTGATTTTGGTGGTCTTCCTGGACATATTTTCAAAAATTTACATTGGTTTTAAAATTAATATAAGTGGATTGGATGAATAATCTGTTTGGGGAGAAAATGAATTGTGAGAATTAGAATTAGAATCGAGCGGGAAAAGGTTGGGAATATTTAGGATCGTTCTATACCTCGCATTTTGCTTTGCGTGGACGACATAGTACTTCATAGAAAGACGATAGTTTAGTATCGATATTTACTGCATAACGATTATTTTAGTTTCGTAAAATAATGGAGGACATCTGAGCGTCTATTACTGAAATCGATTTAGAAAACATTATCCGACTTTCGTTCGACAAAAGTTTAACTTTCCGCGCTCCGTTTTACACATCACACGTATATTCGTTAAAGTTATTATGTCAAGCCGCCATATTGGTTTGATTTGACCGCGCAATCCTTCGATTATGATAGTAATGATAGAAAGGAATCATTCAATAAAATTTTTGTACGAAATATGAGCAGTTTAATATTTATAAACGAAGAATTGATGAGTAGATGGAATGTTTGTTTAACAATTGTTTGAAAATTTGTATAAATAGAAATAAACAGTGAATATTTAATATTAACTTTTTAACAATTTAGACAAAATTTCGATTTTTGGGTATTGTTGTTGCAATATCAAATTTTAAAAACGGTGCTTTGGAATTTGTACTAATAATCGACCCATGCTATTGCGTATGTTAAAAACACACCATATTTGTTTAATGCGCATAACGACTGCGCAGAATTCTTTTACCGCGTAAAACCAACCACTAAAAAAATAATTATGATGAAGCTTTTCCTAAAAAAAATGTCGTCAAATTTATGTTTTTAATCACGTATTGTAAGAAATTTGACTTTTATTACAAGTAAAATACAATTTGTTCTTTGAAAATTATCTATTCAAAAATTTGTATTGTAAATAAAATTAAATCGAATTTCAAACATTCGATTCTTGCGTTCGATGTTCCTAATCTATTTTTGCAACAAAATTTTCTAATAATTACTAGAAATAGTAAATGCATACAAAATATTATATTATATCGATGTTTCACGCGAGATTGCATAGTGTTCGTTGTGAACGAAGCTTCAACTCGTTATCTCTTCCTTGAAGATTATGTCGAAAATTGGTATCGTAAATAAACTCGAATCGACTTTCGAACACTCGATTTTTACGTTTCCATGTTTGTAACCTATTTCTGCAACGAAAATTTGTAAGAATTACTAGAAGTATTGAATACGAACAAAATATTGTACTATATCGATGTTTCAGACGATTGTAGCTTGAACAGTGATCGTTGTGGACGAACCTTAAACTCATTATAGTCAAAGATTTCAGTTCGAGCAAATGGTATCTCGCGGGTGGAGGTCGTTGCGTCAAATTTCACAAATCATGAATGAATTCTAACTTTTGTCGCGTAATTGTCACGAATTCGGCCCGTTTTCCATCCTGGTAAGTCCTGGACATTTAATTATCAACTTTTCGACCATTTTTTAGATCCATTGCGTCTTGGAAAATCGCAAATATCTCGAACCTTTCCGCACCATGTAAACAAACACCGAAATTCCAAATGTTTACACAGAGTTTCTCTTTATTCGCGTTTTTAAACTTAATGGAACATTTTCAAACGAAATTAACTTCTGCGATTTATTTAGCGTTTTACAAACGTATACCTAAAGCACGCGAAAACACTATTTCCCAGAGCGAAAGGAAAACGTTTTCCCCTAATGATACTGGAATATTTCGTCTTGACTAACGACAGACACTAAATTATTCAATCGAAACTATATTTTTGTCAACGAATAAGAATGCAAGCTTCTACACAGCATGTTTCTCATCCAACACACACAAAATTTTATATATCAATAGAACAATTTGATACCATTAAATTTTCCAATTCATTTAATGTTTTGCAAACATGCAAAAACAGTATTCCCCAAATTGAAAGGAAAACGTTTTTTCTTGGTGATCCTGGAATATTTTTTATTGTCCAATGACAGAAACCAAATTATTCGACCGAAACTGTGTCTGTATTGATAAATAAGAATGTAAGGTTGTGCGCAGCGTGTTTCCACTTAACACACACTGAACGATGAACGAGGTCAGCGGAGGGAAACAAGATATTGCTAATGCCCCCACGTGGGAAACATTATCCGGACAATCTGCATCTTCTTTCTCTGCTATGCACCATCACCATCAATCGTTGCAGCAAGATGCGACTCCCACAGTTGCACAAGTGATAGTTCCTACTCCTGTCAAGCTTCAAGCTTCTATGTTAAGCTCCCCGCAGACTATAGACCACTGTTCGCAACTGGGTCATGTGCAACAGTCAACTTTGCTCGCGCAGGTAATAATTTGTTGAAACAGCGTGAGATAGTGAATTAGAATCGGAATTAGCATATAGCTGAAACTAACTATTCATTGAAAAAGTGTGCAATATTAAATCAGAATCAGAATTGAAATTGGATTTGACATATGATTTTCATTAGTGTTCTTTTGTTTGTGGTTGAAGGGTACACCTCCAGGAAGTTTTGCGGAATCAGAACTTTCGCCGGAGTTGCAGCAGCAAGGATGGAAGAAGTTTTGGAGCAAACGAGAGAATCGACCGTACTTTTGGAATAAGTTGACTGGAGAGTCACTGTGGGTCGTTCCACCTTTGAAACCGCAGGTATTTAAAAACTTAGTACATAGTTGTGTATGTAATTATAGTACTGAGTAAAATTTTTGATATTTTGAAGTTTTGAATAGGGTTCTTAGTGTGATTGATGAGTTTGTTAGCTTTAAAATTATCGAGAAAAGTATTTAAGGCCATCCCCTTACAATTTATAGCAAAATTAAAGTGTTAATAATGATGGGATCAATACCAGTATCAATTTTATCCAAAATACCTGCTATCGAGTACTTTGGTATCAAATTAATCGAATTATCATCAATAGTATCGGAATCGGTCCTAACACTAAGTGTTAATATAGAAACTGAATTCAGAGAATACAAAAGAAATAATTTTAAAGTTAAGAGTTTACTGTCTCATTTGACCCTCGATTATGTATGAGATGGTATGAAAGATCTAGATAGCTTAATTAAGTTGTAAAGTTAACATTGACTTGTATATGTCATATATATCTTGATTTAAGTTCGATCCGATTACGGATCCGCTTGGCATCTGCAGTATACAACCAGTTTCTGGGAACGGAGCTATTCCTTCAACGGGGACAGTGAAACGTAGAGCATCGGAGGACAGCATCGTTCCACCTGCGAAAAAATTTGTCCTGGCGTAAGTTTGAGAATCTTGATACCCGTGATTATTTATACAGACTGATTCTCTCGTCAGTAGGCTCGAAAGAAATTGGGGGGGAGAATTCTCATGATCATTTGATGCTGTAATCAAGCTTCAGTAACTTTTTAAATTCAATCTTTCCTGGTAGAAATAGTATAATTCTCTTTTAACAGAGGACCCTGGGACCTAGAGATACCAACAAACGTGATAATCTACGAGCGATCACCCTCAAATCTGCCCCACGTGCACCCAGAAGCGGAAGCCCTGCGATGCGGTCTGCTTTCCAAACTCAGACAATGCTACCAAGAACTATGCCACACTCGTGAATCAATAGATGCCCCTAAAGACTCTTTCAACCGATGGTTAATGGAACGAAAAGTGATCGACTGTGGCTCTGACCCTCTTCTTCCTAGCCAATGTTTCCCAGAAATTTCTATGTCCATGTACAGGGAAATAATGAACGACATCCCAATAAAATTAGTTCGTCCAAAATTCACCGGGGACGCCAGAAAACAGCTCTCCAGGTATGCAGAAGCGGCGAAGAAGATGATAGAATCCCGGGCAGCCTCTTCAGAAAGTAGAAAAGTGGTGAAATGGAACGCCGAGGACACTTTTCAGTGGCTCAGACGAACTGTGGGCGCGACTTTCGATGATTTCCAAGATCGTTTAGCTCATTTGAAACGCCAATGTCAACCACACCTCACCGAAACGGTCAAAGCAAGCGTGGAGGGTATCTGTTTAAAAATTTACCACCTGTCCACGGAGTATGCAAAGAAGGTGAAAGACAAAAACACCCAAATTCTAAAAGACAACAGCTTGGAAAACGTAATACCCTTGGGAGGGCCAGTTAGTACTCAGAGAAAAGTCTGGTGTTACCCTGTGCAATTTTCTTTACCAACCCCCAGACTTCCACAATTGGATTATCTACCGGAACGGGAGCAGACCTTGCTCCGTTTCCATGGGGACACCGTGTGTATTAACAACATGCACCTGGCTAAACTGGAACATCTTTATAGATATAATTGTTTCGATGACAAGAAGTTCGAGATGTTTCTGCCCAGAGTATGGTGCGTTTTGAAAAGGTATCAAACCTATCTGGGGATAAACGAGGGCCAAGCGACCCAGATGGCGCTGCCTGTCACGGTTTTCGAATGTTTGCAAAGGTCATTTGGGGTCACTTTCGAGTGTTTCGCCTCGCCTTTGAATTGCTATTTCAGGCAATATTGCTCGGCATTTGCGGACGTGGACTGTTATTTCGGGTCCAGGGGCCCGTTTCTGGACTTCAGGCCCGTCAGTGGGTCTTTCCAGGCCAATCCGCCATATTGCGAAGAACTGATGGAGGCTATGGTGAATCATTTTGAGAGATTGTTGGCCGATTCGACGGAACCCTTGTCGTTTGTGGTTTTCTTGCCGGAGTGGAGGGACCCGGCACCTAACGCACTTATCAAATTGGAAGGGAGCCATTTTAAGCGGAAACAGGTCGTCGTGCCAGCCATGGAGCACGAGTACCGGCACGGGTTTCAGCATATATTACCCAAGTATGTTTATTTACATGGTTTATAAGGGGAATGTATTTTCTGGCAAAGTGGAAAAGAAAGAATTATGAGACTATAAATTAAAGAAATTTTAAGAAATTAATTTTTATTTCAGAGGCGAAGTTAATATCAGAGCAGCTCACGGGACATTGGTCGTATGGCTTCAAAATGCAGCTGGTGCAGCGCGATGGGGACCTACGGAGGAGAGGGTGGAAGCGTTGCTGGAAGCATGGCGTCCCGGGAAAGAGAGAGAACGAGACAGACAAGAACTTCTATCACCGCCCAGACAGACTCATCAACCGATACCTTCCACGCCTATTCCTGCCCTAACCACGCCCACGACTCCCACGGTACAGTTACAAACACTGTCCACGCATCCTATGTAACTATCATAAAACGTCTCGAGACTGGAAAGAATTATAATAAGTCCCGTACTTTGATTTCCAAACTCTTTCCTATAAGAAAATCGAATTTTCTATCCCCGAAGAAAAATTGTTAGATATACCGTCCAGAGACGACTTGTTGGCTAGGCACTGGTAAGCTGAACAGCACAGGAGCGAGGGGAGTAAAGTCGCTTGCCCACCAAAAAACCTCACTTCTAGCTTCTTAGCAGTCACGCTACTATTCATCGTTAATATTCCGAGCTTACGACTACGCCAATGTCGTTCAATATGTCAAAATCAATATTTATCACGCAATGCAATTGTAGTTGCGATTGACTCAGCCAATAATAACAATGCATGTATGGACAATCATCACTATTGCGCTATAATTAACGTGGCTAGTCAAAAAGTCATCTCTCCATGGTACAAATTGTCAAATCACTTCCTGAGGGCAAGTTTGAACATCGATTTTAGGTAGATCGAGCACGCCTTAATATATACTTTCGTACTGTATTCTATAGATTGTATCGATCAACGAATTGATTTCGAACACAATGTTTGGATAAATTGCGTAGTTTTTAACGATGGGGGAAAAAGTTCGTCGGAACCAATCTTGTTTTGATTCGGGGGTGGAAATGAATTATGGTAGAGAGAGAATTCTCTAAAGGTAAAATTTTTCAGTAATTCAAGGGCACCGATATTATTTAAAACGAGATTACATATTTTTATGTATGAAATGTTAAAATGAAAACCGTAATATATTGCAACGTTGAACCTTCGAATGACCTTGAATATAAAACAAATATTATAAGTTGTTCGAAAATCATTGACAATTTTATGATCGGATATAATAGTGGAAATCGGGGGAAAATTGGGACTTGAAATATTTCGGTTGCTTTTAATGTGAGAAAATAATATTAGAGGAAAGTATTATTTGTTTGGAAAGTTAGAATTTTCTCGAGGTCATATTTTTTGATGTCCCCGACCTTAAAATCTCAAAGAGCATGACCTAGATAAAAATTGTTATAATATTTATCCCCTCCCGGACAAATAATATTTTCTCTCGGCATTTTAAAAAGAACTATATTAAATCAATACAAATATAATAATTATAACAAACTAACCTTCGGATGACCTTGAATATAAAAAATAGTAAAGATCATCCGAAGGTCATGTGATCTATCGTTGGATTGGCCTCAGTCTCCTTTACACGATAAAAGCATGAAGTTCTATTTAGAAAAAAAAAAAAAAAAAACATTTACGTGTTAAAATAATCGTGTTACGTGATTTTTTTTTTCTCGAATGCCAAAATTCTCTAATTTATTCAAACGGCCTGTTTCGTACGCCCCCGTCCTGTAAATACGTTTGCAAGTTATAACGTTCAAGCATTATGATAATTTTAACACGCGCATAAATCTCGTACGCATTACTCGTTTTATTCAAAATGAAACGAACCGTAGTATTTACAAATCGATAAATTCTTTTTCTTTTGTGATGTTTATTCGTAGAGTGCAATTCCATTAATTATTTCCATAAGAAACGTGAAAAAAATTATGTAAAATGTGCGATGATGATGTATCTATTATATAGGTATGAAGAAAGAAGAAGAAAATAACATCATTTGATATAATTAATACGAAAAAAAAAAAAAAATCACGTTGCGTGGAGTCTAATCTTTGTAATAGTGTTAATTGTTGTTAATTGATAAGGAGACTTTGTGGGACGTGATACCTTAGATAGTAGAGGTGCTTGCAATGCAAGTAAAAAATTGGTACTATCAGTGAAGAGTTATAAAACGAATCGTATGTGTGTGTATGTGTGTACGCGCGCGCGTGTGTGTGCAATGTGTGAGCTCGAGCGTGTAAATAGTGAAATAATACTATATTTACTTGTTTTTAATCGGAAGAATCGCTTCGTATATAATTTCAAGTAATATTCCTTTTTATACCTTGTATCCATGACAATCTTTTCTTCTTTTATATATAACGAAAGAAATGCGACGGACGTTTCATTTTTTCTCGGCATATATATATATATATATATATATTCAGCAGTGCAATATTTTATATAAATCTTCGAATAGAATATTTACAAAGGCTAACGTTGTACAGAAATATACAGTGTCACTCCACTGAAATCGGCCCACACGAATGTTTCGCCAATGCAAGGACATACGAATGTCAACTTTATTTTCTTAAATAAATTCATATATTTGTTGAACCGCATATGGCGAAAAATCATTAATTTAGAAGATATTTTAATTTTAATAATATTATACTTGTAATGGCACGGCCCACAATTTTAAAATTAAAATTATTTTTTAATCGTAACCATGCATCTATTTATGAACAATTTTACTAACATCGGGTTACATGTTCTCCTAAGTCGTTCGACTACTTCCCGAAACAATTTTTAAAATTATCAACAGTTTCGAAGATATTCGAGTTTGTCGATTCAAGTGGGTCATTCTGTGTATTATATTATTTACACGACGAGTTTTTCTTATTTTTCCCGTGTTAATTTTCACTATTTTACACCCGTTTTCGATGAAACATGAATTTACACAATATACTTTGTTGCAAATTCATAATTATTACGTTTATCTTGTATTAAAAATAAAAAAAATTTCAGTTTCTTTCGTAGCATTGTCAACATACAATTGTTCGTTTTCTCAAACTAATTTTCGATCAACCTCACACATAAAAATTGATCTCACATTGGACATCGTAATAAAATTAATAATTATTTAAGACCATCCTGTATGAATACCGTCGCATTATAATATGTATGAATAGCAATATATGCGGGTAAATTTACTTTACTGATAGAAATTACAAAAAGAATTCGAAACAATTATGTCCAGTAATTTAAAAGAAATTTTTTTCGTTAAGATAAATATTCGTAACAATATCTATACATATCTACATATAGATTTTGTATATATATTTAGACAGCAAAGAACTCACTATTGTCCGAATAGAAATATATTTGCCTTTTTTGTACATATATATGTATATAAGTATACATACGTATATAGGGTGAGACATAGAAAAAAAATATTACGTAAAACGATTCGCGCATTTCACCGGAGAATGGTGAAAATGTTTCAAAATTATTTAATATGGATGCGTGTGGCGATTTTTTACCCTATTTACATTCTCCGACACCATGTTATACTTTTATATTTATATTGTGTTGACGAACCGTTGAGACATTTTTCAATAAAACGTAACAGTAAACCGGAGTACGATTACTGCGGAACAGAAACTAGAAAATGGCTGGCTAGATATTTATAACAGGATTTCCGTCGTTATTATCAAAATTGCCGAAGAATCTTTAGTTTTATCATTCGTCGCATTAGAAATAGATTAATTTTCTTATGGTTTAATTTTAAACGGAAAACAATTTTAATACGATTATGACATTTACAATTAAAGATCGTTTATTTATTACTATTATCGTTTGACCAGAATTTTGAGTTTGCGTTTTTATTCACCTTTTATATTATATTTGTGTACAGTATTTACAATATAAAATATTTACATTACGATATTAGGATTTTGTGTACATAGTAATAATAAAACAGAAAAATTGAATTCGTTATAACTAAGAATTCACGACAGTGAATTCCCTGGCATTACAAAACATAATTATAATGAGAAGTTCAAAAAATTAGTTTCCTTTAAAATACTATATCTGATCACTGTGTTTGCGTAAATACATGCGAGTTGACTATGAAAGGGATTCAAATTCATTTCTGAATCTGTTGGTAACGTTGCGAACGACACGAAAATGGTAATGGGGTTTCGAGACCCCATAAAAATGGGCCGAAAAAATACATTGGGTGAAAGGTCTGCTCGTATATCTCGTCTGTGATAAAAGTATTAAATACGTATCGATTCTTTTGTAAAGTATCGAATAAACATCGATACATTCATAAAATTATCAAACAGGTATCGATACTTTCATGAGGTACCAAGCAGGTATCGATAGTTCCGTGAAGTTCATTCAAGTATCAAATAAGTATCGATTCATGAAGTATCGTTATCGAAAATTGATATCAAGTACTGAAAATTTTGATATATTCCTTTATTTTCCATTTTTACAATTTGATTTCACTTTCGTATATATTTACGCAACAACTGAAAATTACTTTTTTCCAAATCTTCTAGAATTTCAATTATAAATGCAGAAAGGTGGATTATGCAATATGGATCATCCTACAACAGTTTCTTAAAAATCACGTACAACTACTAAAAAGTAATATTAAAAAATTATATTTTATTATTGCATAAGTAAATGATCACAATGAAAATCTACTCCAGTTTCTACTCCATAGAATCTTGCTTATTTTACGTGAAATCCAATTAGAAATTTTTTTGGATCACACCAGATATCCCTAAGTATCCATTTACTTTATTTACATTGAAACTATCATATTATTAAACAATTAAAAATGCATCTTAGAATTAGTTATTTCCAATTGTATAAAAACTTATCTATATTGTTTACAGAAATTGTACATGGTAATTAGAAACTATCAATCTCATCACATTTCATCTTCGCTTTGAACGTCAATATTCTTTATAATCGTTGGTTGATCCTCGCTATTGTATGTTTGTAGAAGCAAAACAATTTTGTTTAATAATTTGTGGCCTTGTTTCCTTTCACAAATTAAATCGTAGATAGATTTCTCCTCCGCGTCGTTGATAAAGTCGATTAAAATTAATCTTATGGCGTCCAGATCGAACAGACAATGATTTACTCCAAATTCGTATTTGTTGAAGCTTATTACTTTCTCTTTCTTCAAGATCATGTTCAAACGTCGCTTTGCTATGAAGACTATGAAGTCGAAGAACAGATAATAATCCATTCCATAAGTAGATTTCAATATTAATTGGCACTGTTCTGCCCAATTGTTCATATCTTGACAATCTGTGACCTCCTTCATCACCAAACTCAATTCTTTCTTTAATCCGCGCCACACATCTACTATGTTGCATCCATTGATCCAATTATGATTTATGGAAATCGAGTCTTCCTATTTAAAAATCGTACCATAAAACATTAACAAATAAATGAAGTAGAAAAGAACAACTAAGAAACAAAAAAAATAATGAACAAAATTATTCTAAATGTTCTTCTATTCATTAGAGATTGAATCTTACCAGATTCCAAACTTGGTGGTGCCATCCGGATGGTACAAATATAATTTCACCCTGGTTCTGGATCACATCAATGCACTTCAAAGCTCGTTTGTCGTAAGCTCTGTACTTTTTGTAATCATTCAACTCATCAGAAGTTGCATCATATATTAATTGACCATTGATGTCTCGTAGAAAGTCTTCTTGATGAGGAGGAAAAAGTAACCACCGTTTCTTGCCAACTATATTTGCAGACCAGCTATACGATCCAAACACATCTGCATGCAATGGAGTCCTAAATAAAACAAAGTTTTTATTTTGTAGCATGTTTCACTTAATTATTTATACATATTTATAACATTTATTCGATAAACAATTTTCTTTTACCATGTTCCATTAGGCCCCATGTAAACGAATCTATAGTCATCGTTTAGACTAGGATTGGAAATGTAATATTCATTAAGCCAATCAGAGGCAAAGTACTGGGGAACATTATACATCGGAGCATTGGGAAATAGTCTTGGACAGTGCCAATCTTTTAAATATAAAAGCGACATAGAATTGGAAGAGTTGCTTCTGGTATAGTCCATCCAATAATTTAAATAGTCGCTCATTCTCATGTCATCTTTTTGCTGAGAATTGTAATACTTTTTGTTGCAATCCGCAACTGGCACCACACAATTTCCTGTTAGGAGAAAATAAAAAATAATTTCTTTTACAATAATATAACAGAACTTAAATTAGTGAAGCATGCAAGAAACGAAGATTGTGTTATATTGTTTTATAAATAATTATTGGTACAATATTCAGTAGTGCCCGCTTAAGTGTCCACGTTCGGGACCGGCCGCGGTCGCTTAAGTGGGCATGATTACATCTCAGAATTCAATGGAGATACGGAAAGAGGATAAGTGCGAGTGAGATACAATAGCTGACACTAATTGGTGGGGATAACCGCGGACATTTAAGTGGGCAAAAGTGCGGACATTTAAGTGGGCAAACATGTGGTCACTTAAGTGGGCAAACGTGCGGTCACTTAAGTGGGCAAAAGTACGGTCACTTAAGTGGACACTACTGTAGTACTGTAAAATTGTAGACTAGTTACGAATAACTATTATCAACAAACAGAATTTTATATTGATTACGAATAATCATTATCGACAATCAAAATCTTATATTGGTTTCAAATAATTATTATAATTGATGAAAACATAAAAAATATAAAATTCTAGTCAGTAACAATTTTATAGGTTAGAATATAGTAGTTAGTCCAAAGAGGGAAAAATCGTAAATAAACGATACGTTTAAATAATAAAAATATTGATAAGTAAATTGAACACGAATTTTAAATCTGGCAAAAGATGGTTAAAAAATATTAGATATTTTGCCCTCCTTTTAAACTTTTTTAAATCTACCGTTGTTTTCAAGAAAAATCAATTTTGTAGGTTATGGTAGTATTTACCGAATAATAAATCGAGTACGTCGAAATCTGGAGCATTGTCGTCGTTCCATTGTCTTCTGCACGACCAATTCTCTGTGATTTTCGTATTAAAGATGCACGGTTTGTTCGGAATTAAATATTTCGTAAAAAATTCATCGTAGGTCATGGACGGCGCGACACGATCGATCCAATCGACAATGGCGGCGTCTTTATCAATGGATAACCTCTTAGTTTTAATCTCCAGCAGTTCCAACATCATGAACCTTCCTATTTCATTAAACTGACTAATAGCCAGTTGCCGATCGATTTTTATACGATTTAGAGTAGTGTGGAAATCACAATGATGTACAGCTGGTTTTCGAGGAGATACTATTTAAAAATCACCTTGAAATTTTACGAACTTGTACTCGCGCATGATTTGTGCAATATTATATTTTCGACCGTCATTCATCGATGCAGTCATTACCACATACAATGAATTAACTATAAAAAATTATTGTCTGCTATTTATTTCTTTTTGCAATAGTATGGCGAATCTGAAAATCAGCACGCCATTATATTTCTTAACTAGAGTTCGTTCAGTAAAGATCTATTTAATTTGATCTAAATTTTGTTCTTGTGTTCTAATTTCCTTGAATGTTGATTTTTGTCATAAACTTTAATTCACTATAAATCCGCGTAACAGTATATATTTCTATGAATGTATCGATATCTGTTTGATACGGGATATTTCTATCTTGAAGCTCCCCATAATAATAAATGTCAATAGAGTCAAATTATTTTTCACATTCGAATAATATTTTTAATTTCTGATAGTTATTAAATTATTTTCTTTTCATTTTCTATCAATACCTAAGTATTTTTTCTCCATACTATCAGATCTCCATAAGATCAGAGATGCCAGATTCAGCACCTGGTGCCCTACTCTCCATGCCAGATCACGCGTACTTACGTGAGCTCGTGAAGTTTCGGAAAGTAGACAAAGACAAACTGACGCCGTGCCCTCTCTCTCGCTTCTCCGAAGTTGCCCGAAGTAATTTCGGTCCGCCTCTACGCCGTAGATTCTGTCAGCATAGTACGATTTACCACGGTGTTTACATTGCCCTTTACAAATACGAAAATCCTTATTAATTTTCATGTTATCCTTTCCTTCGTTCATACGAAAAGATCAGGGACACGATAATCATGTGCATTTCAATCACTGGTATCTTTAATTATACTTCGTAAGAGATGGAGACGTCGAGTGATTCGAGTCTGTATAGGTTAGAAGGATCGGAGAAAAATCAAACTGGAGGTTTGATTATTCGCAAAAAACCCTCTGATCATACGTTTAAAAAGCCCCAGATATCGATTTTGGGGCTTGATAAACTCGCGAAACGGAAGAGGTTAGAAAACTCACTGGAATTCGGTTCGTCGAAATCTCCATCGAGTTCGCCAAGATTGGAAGTCAAAGAGAGGAAATACAGGTCATACGCCGAGGAAACACCAACTCATACTGGTGGAGTCAATTCGGAAGCCCAGCAGAGGTTAGAGTCACGTTTAAAGCGTCAGAGTCTAAGTGCACAGGATAAGAATCGCAGACACAGAGATAACGATGCCAGACGTGACAGAAACAGAGAAAGCGAGCGGAGCAGGAACAGACTTAGCAGTAGACAAACTCCGTTAAGATTCAAAGATGAACCACAAACTCCTGTATTTAAGACAAAGGTAATTAATATGTTAAAAAACAGGTACATATACCTCCCATAAATATCAATGGTTGTTTCTTTTAAAATGAATAAAGTTTGAGATTTGAATGAATGATTGCAATGGTAAGACTAATAGTTTTTTAACTATTGCAGGATCCAACATCTAAGAGTAATTGGGATGATGATGACGACGAGGAGCCAAGGAAATCAAGTTGGGATCATCCCACACCAAATCTTTACAGCAGCAGAGATGGTAGAGATAGCATCAGAAGTGAATTTACACCTTCGTATAAATATAATTCATGGAATAAAGACAAAGCTAGTGGCGCTACGCCAATGGTAGATGGAGAAGAGAAAGAATTATGGGAAGAAGAACAACAAAGGTACTTACTAATATAATATTAAAACAGTTGTTATTCTATTACGTTTCTAAATGTTGTATTTTTTTACAAGTGAAACTGAATTGTAACAGTCTAGAAGCAATTTATCAGGAAGTCTCAAGATTTCATTGACAAAGTTTCACACATTCCTAAAAATTTAAAAATATCTATTTCAGGCTAGATAGAGAGTGGTATGCATTAGACGATGGAGAAAATCACGCATTCGCTGATGTCTCTGAAGAGTACACGCGTAAAAAGGAAATGGAACTGGAAGCTAAACGTCAGAAGCGTCTCTCTGCCCAACAACGACAGATAAATAAGGATAATGAACTGTGGGAACGTAATAGAATGCTAACGTCTGGAGTTGTGAGTTCTTTAGACCATGACGATGATCCCGACGAGGAAGGGGAGACTAGGGTGCATCTTTTAGTTCACAATGTTGTTCCGCCTTTTTTGGACGGTAATATATGTTTTATTATACCACTGTATTCATTTTCTAAAGCTAAAGAAATAAAAGGAAACGTTCTAGTCGCTTAGTTCTAAATTTAAGCTGAACTACTTGTCGACGAATAAACGACGCGTGTAAAAAATACGGTAACTTGAAAATTGTAGGTCGAATCGTGTTCACGAAACAGCCAGAGCCTGTAGTGCCAGTTCGTGATCCTACTTCGGACATGGCTCTGGTAGCCAGGAAAGGATCAGCTTTGGTTCGAGCGTATCGCGAACAAAAGGAGCGTCGAAGAGCTCAGAAGAAGCACTGGGAGCTAGCGGGAACTCACATAGGGAATATAATGGGTGTTCGTGACAGAAACAAAGAGGACAAAGAAGAACCCGGGCAAGAAACTGATTTTAAGGCTGGTCAAAAGTATGCTCGACATATTGGAGCTGATGAAGTAACTGGAGAAGCCAAGTATAGACTGATTCAATACCAAAGAAGAAGTCTTCCAGTGTTTGCTGTTCGTCAAGAATTATTAAACGTTATTCGAGAAAATAGTGTGGTGGTTATAATTGGAGAAACTGGAAGCGGGAAAACCACACAGTTAACGCAATATCTCCATGAAGACGGTTATAGTCGTTATGGGATAATAGGATGCACGCAACCGAGAAGAGTGGCCGCCATGTCAGTGGCTAAAAGAGTTTCTGACGAAATGGCGACCACTCTGGGCGATAAAGTTGGATACGCTATTCGTTTCGAAGATTGTACTTCGAAAGATGTAGGTAATTTAAATTATTCTTTTTTTTTTTATATGGAATTAAGACTGAGAGAATGGAAGATTTGAAATGATTGGTTTTGTTTTATAGACTGTTATTAAATATATGACCGATGGTATTTTACTGAGGGAGAGCTTGAGAGAAGGAGATTTGGATCGATATAGTGTTATTATTATGGACGAAGCTCATGAGAGATCTTTGTCGACTGACGTCCTGTTTGGGTTACTCAGAGAGGTAAGATTTGGGTCTAGTTTAAGTGTTAGTGAATTTAATAAGTGGATGAGATTTTGAATCAGAAACAAATTTCTCTAGGTAGTAGCCAGACGCCACGATCTGAAACTAATCGTAACTTCCGCTACGATGGACTCTAGCAAGTTTTCCGCATTCTTCGGAAACGCAGCTACTTTTCAGATCCCAGGACGTACGTTCCCTGTCGAAATACTGCACGCAAAGAACCCAGTAGAAGATTACGTGGACGCAGCGGTGAAACAGGTCTTACAAATTCACTTGCAGCCTCGTTCCGGCGACGTATTGGTTTTCATGCCTGGCCAGGAAGACATCGAAGTCACCTGCGAAGCTCTGAAAGAACGTTTAGCGGAAATCGAATCCGCTCCCATGCTTTCAATTTTACCGATTTATTCGCAATTGCCGTCAGACTTGCAGGCGAAGATCTTCCAGAGATCAGAGGGGGGTCTTCGAAAATGTGTTGTGGCAACTAATATCGCGGAAACCTCATTAACTGTCGATGGTATTGTGTTCGTCGTAGACTCTGGTTATTGCAAACTGAAGGTTTACAATCCAAGAATCGGAATGGACGCTTTGCAAGTCTATCCAGTGTCTAGGGCCAACGCTGACCAAAGAGCTGGAAGAGCTGGACGTACAGGTCCTGGAACCTGCTTCAGGTTATACACCAGAAGACAATATTTGGACGAACTGCTTTTAACCGGAGTTCCAGAAATCCAGCGAACCAATCTTGCAAACACTGTGCTGTTATTGAAGTCTTTGGGTGTCCAAGATTTGCTAGCTTTCCATTTCATGGATCCTCCGCCACAGGATAATATTCTGAATTCTCTGTATCAATTGTGGATTCTGGGAGCTCTGGATCACACCGGACGGCTTACTCCGTTGGGAAGACAGATGGCGGAGTTCCCACTGGATCCTCCGCAGTGCCAAATGCTGATCGTCGCTTCGCAGCTCGGTTGCACTGCTGATATACTTATTATTGGTACGTAGAGAAAATTTATGGTAGATTTTAATTAGAACTTCTCCAGAAAATCTCCACTTTCGAAGCATTAAACTGAATCTGTTTTGTAGTTTCGATGTTGTCGGTGCCTTCCATATTCTACAGGCCGAAAGGTCGCGAAGAGGATTCCGACTCGGCCAGAGAAAAATTCCAAGTGCCCGAGTCTGATCACTTAACATACCTGAACGTCTACAATCAGTGGAAAGCGAACGGTTACTCGAGTTCTTGGTGCAACGATCATTTCATTCACGCGAAAGCCATGAGGAAAGTGAGAGAGGTTCGTCAGCAGCTAGAAGAGATATTGAAGCAACAGAAGATGGAAGTTGTGAGCTGTGGAACGGACTGGGATGTCGTGAGAAAGTGCATTTGCTCGGCGTATTTCCACCAGGCGGCTCGTTTGAAAGGAATTGGAGAATACGTGAACTGCCGAACAGGAATGCCCTGCCATCTTCATCCGACTTCAGCTTTGTTCGGAATGGGTTTCACGCCGGATTATGTGGTCTATCACGAACTGGTCATGACCGCCAAAGAGTATATGCAGTGCGTGACCGCGGTGGATGGCCATTGGCTTGCGGAATTGGGACCCATGTTCTTCAGTGTAAAAGAAACTGGGAGGAGCGGACGAGTGAAAAGAAGGAAAGCCATGCAACATTTGCACGAAATGGAGGGTCAAATGAAAGAGGCTGAGGAGGAAATGAAGGCTCGGGCTCAGGAACAACTTGAAAGGGAGCAGGCTTCTATTAGGAAGTATGTTTTCAATTTAAATGTTTCAATTCTTTAACAGGTTAATTTGTTGAGTTGTAAATTGTAATAGCAAATCTTCAAAACGTAATCCGATTACATTCTACCTAATTCTGGTTCAACTAAACTGTAGAATAATCTTTCTTGGTTTGCAGGAAGGAAATACTGACACCAGGTATCAGAGAACCAGGAACACCGGCCCCCTATCGTAAGACCCCTGGGAGATTAGGGTTGTAATTAATTATATAGCGGATTCTTACTTATTCTTTTGTTTTTAAATGGTTTTAAATAATCAGATTCTTATTCAAGTGGTTCGTTTTATATATTTAATAATTACAAATTTAACGACACCTTTCACCATCCCAGTCGCTTTAAAGTATGAAAACCTATTTTTTAACGCATTGTGTAAATAAGTCATCCGTATTTTTTACTAGGGACGAACGATGCGAAAATACGTGATTGAGATTTTCATGTATTTATCTTAAAATAAATTTAAAAAAACTATGAATCAAGTTCCCTGCGTAAATACTAAAATAGAAGCAGAAAAAACTAATTTTTGCAATTGCATTTTACAAGCAACGCGATTTTCCCTTTTTTGTACATTCTTTAGCTTATTAAACGGATGTTTCAGGAAATGAAATTTGGAAATGCGAAACTAAAAGGTTCAGCTTTTAAAATGATAAAGCTACGGTTCATATCAATGTAAATATATTCTTCCATTCATACAGACTCATTTATATTATTCCAATTTTATTAGCGACGTCCAGAGCATCGTAGTCGCGAGTTAAGCGAACGTACGCCTTCTTTTTTCCATCAGGCCTAATTAATGTGTTCACTTTGGCCACGTCCACGTCATAGAGCTTCTTTATAGATGCTTTGATGTGGTATTTGTTGGCACGAGTGTGCACTATGAAAACTAACGTGTTGTTGTCTTCGATCTTCTTCATGGCCGCTTCGGTGGTCAATGGAAACTTTATTATATTAAACGCATCCATTCTGAAAAATAACGAAAACCATTTACAAATTTTTTATTCATATGAACATGAAACAGACAATCGTAGAATATATAGAAATTTTCTATACTGAGATAACAACAGAGTTTTTCTATCATTAGGAACTATTATTTATGTTTTATACAAATCATCAACAAACATTTAATTCCCATTAATTCCTCGTTTCACGGCTTAATGATAAGCCAAGTTAAAAAACCGTCAATTATCCAATTAGAATCGTAAAAGACGCAGAATCAAAGAGTTCCAATTTCTTAAAACAAAATTATACTGTATTCATTACCTGTTTCTGTTTGGCACAGATTTCCTTGCATATTTGGGATTTCTCGGCGGCCTGAATGTTTTCGGTCGATGAAAGTGTACCGAAGTCCTTATTTTCCTTACTCTTGATCCATGAACACCTTTCAATATCTACATGATAGAAATACATTGCTTTCCAGTACATCATTAGTTGCAAAACAATTATTTTTTTTTTTATCTTATAGTGTCAGTATTATAGTACAAGTACAAGTTATCACAGATTTTCATAGAGATTCCCTAACTTATTTCATCATGGAAAAACAAATTATGCAAAATAGAAACATATTTCTTATCCAGTCTTCTACTAACCCAGGTAAAAAAAAAATCAGTCAATTAACTTTTCTTTAGCATAGCAAGCTTGGGACCGACTGTGGTCATTTATGTGGGCAGTACTGTACATTTGGTGCAATAAAAAAATTTGCAAAGTTTCTTTTTTGACTGGATTGATAGAAGATACCATCTTAATTTAACACTGAACACATATTTACCTTTTTCTGCGCTTTAAGTGCTTTTTGCAGAGGTGTAGATGGTTTACCACCTTTGGGCGTTTTCTTTGTAGCTTGGACATTCTTTTTAGGTTTGCTGACCAAACGCTTTACAGCAACTTTGGGCACAGGTTTTGCTGCTGGCTTTACCGCAGGTTTTGCTGCAGGCTTTGCTGCAGTAGTCGACTTGGCAGCCGCAGGTTTCTTAGCAGCAGCTGGCTTTGCAGTTGCTTTTGTCACTTTGGACGTTGTAGAAGCTACGGCTGGTTTCTTCTCAGTTTTCTTTTCGGTTTTCTTAGCAGCCGGCTTGCTGGCTGAAGAGAAATAAGAAGGAGCGAGTAATGAATATGTATAATTATTAGCTGGATAAAATATATTGATATTAAATCATAAAAATGACGAAAAGCTTTGAAACTTCGAATTTCGACGCATTTTTAATTTGAATAAGTTTCGAGGTGCTGAACGTAACTTTTAACTGAAATCTGTAAATTAATACAATTCAAAGATAGAATCTTAATCTAAATGTAACGTATAGTTTTTAGGTTATATCGAACTTGAAATCGTATTTTTGTTAAACGCTTTGTTTGTTCCGTAAATTATTGAAATTTCTATAACGATTATTTTTTAACATTAACGAAACAAAATAAATACGTTTTAACACTTCTTTTTTGTTTTCCCTTCAACAAATAAACATTCGACCACATGGCTCATATTTAAATCAAAAACACAGTGGTTAAACAAAGTTCCACGAATATGTTTCTATCTATCGTTTGCCACAAATTCACAAAGTGCTTTTCGTAGACTTTTATGAAAAATTTAATTCGCACTAACAGTTAAAAAAACGTACCTGCTTTGTCCGTGGGTTTTGGTTTTGGAGCCATTTTGCTAAAAGGAACGAGAAATTCGTACCGGAAATAGGGACGAAGAAAATCACTACGATGATCATTGATGTATAAAATAATGAAATTTGTAATTTCAATCCTTGAAAGTTTATTTATTTGAAAAATATTTTTTCATGAAATAATTCTATGATATAATAGTAGATATTTATAAGTTCAAATTTTACAAATTGTAATATAGTTGCAGTTATATCAAATACACCCGCGAACAAATTTTATTCGATATTAACAGTGAAACAATTCGGAAAAGTGTATTAAAAATGTGATAATAATTCAATATCATAGAAACTGTGGATCTAAATTTTATTACATTTGTAAAATATTTTTTTCGTTTGAAATTGGAGAAAAGATGGTGAATGCACACCTGCCACAGCAACCAATGTTTTCAATTCAGAACAAATTGTGTTACAGTCGAACATGGACTATAACGAGTGTTAATATCGCCCTAAACGCATAGCCTACTACCATAATTGTTTATAAAAATTTGGAGGAACTTAGTCGACAATTGTCTAAAATTCTATGAAGTATTAAAACTTCCAGTGATTTTAATTAAACAATAATAATTTAATATATAAAACTGAATTTCATTAATTATTCTACAATTAATTATAGTCGAATTATGTGCATCGTATAATACGAAACCAATGTTGGAAACTCGATCAGCTATTTACAAAATGATGGAAGCGACTCGAGATGAAAGAAAAGTATGATTTTAAGTTTAACGAAATATATGAGAAATATGTGGGTATATATAATTTTTCAAATTTAAATTCTATCGTCCACCGACGAAATAGTTTAATTTAAACAATTTCTCAATAGAATTTGTTACCGACCGTGATAATTCGATCGATAAAATCGGCCAGGACCGTACTCAAGTCATTGAGTACGCTAATATAAAATTACTTAATTAGGAAATCAATTCGTAGTGTTTTCGTTTATATACACATAATTTGAAACAATCGTATTAAAACGAAACATAGTTGTATGGGACAGCAACGAAATAGTTTTTATAATAAATAAAAAATCAATACAATATTGTACTGAAAACGAATTAATATTCACTTCTAATAGAATATTTGATAACGAAGTTTTTGGTTTTAAATGAATTTGTTGTCGATGGAAATAATTTCATGAATAAAATGGGCTAAGATTTTTATTACAATTTTTTAAAATTATTCGACCAAGTATAAATATATTTACTAATAAAATACAATTCTTCATTTATAATATTTATATAAATCTGATTTAAAATTGATTTATTAAGTTTGCATATTTGGTACAAATTTGATATAGATCAATAAATGGCCGCCACCGTTCTCCTCAGAAATCACACCTAATAACGAAAAGAACTTCGACGCGATTGTCAGATGTTCCTGTAAAACAAGTAACTTATCTCCGCGGATTGCCAAAACAATAATAATTGGAGACGTTTCTGTTGGAAAATCGTGTCTAGTGAATCGGTAATTATACCGAGTCTACAAACATTTACAGTACCACTAAAATTCACAATTTATATTCCAGATTCTGTCACAAAGTATTTGACAATAATTACAAAGCAACAATTGGTGTGGATTTTGAAGTAGAAAGATTTGAAATTCTTGGTGTACCATTCCACCTACAGATGTAAGTTTTGTTCATTCAGCATCAGCAATTCTCTCCATTTTGTTATTCAAATAAATCCTTAACAATATTTACAAATATATATAAAATTTTTAAATTATATAAAATTGTTTCAGATGGGATACGGCTGGTCAAGAAAGATTTAAATCCATCGCTGCATCCTATTACAGAGGATCCAATGGTAAAAATAATTTTCCTGGGTCTAATCACGTTTCTAAAGCTTATTTAATGGTATTTTTCAGCAATCATCGTTGTGTTTGACCTGACAAATTTAATATCCTTGGGAAATTGCGAACAATGGCTCTTGGAAGCTTCCAAAAGTAATCCAAACCAGTTTCAGGTGTTTTTAGTAGCTACAAAGCGAGATCTTCTGGTAAACCACAATTTTCCCATAATAATTGAAAGTCAGATGAAATAGATTCTGAATTTCCAGTTACTTTAAATTGTACTTTGTAATAATATAGTCGAAAGATGTCTAGGAAAGGAACAGAATACTATTTACATTATAATTGTCGTACAAGCATTAAGAGAAAAAAATTGATTTCCAGTCAGATCGAGTATACGAAATAATAGAAAAACGTGCCACGAGAGTGGCACAGAAAATGAATGCTGAATTCTGGGCCGTTTCTTCCAGAACCGGAGACAGAGTATCAGAATTATTTGCAAGAGTTGCTGCACTCACTTTTCAAACTACAATTCTGCACGAATTGGAAAATAAGAGTCCACAATCCATTAGTATAGGTTTAGATCTAATAAGTATGTAAAGTTACTAAGCTAGAATATTTTACAATCGTTGATTATAATAGTATTTATTAAGTATGACTTTTTCCAGCATTAAATGATAGAACAAGAAGAGTTGAGAAAAAAAAGATAAAGAACAAATGTTTCAATTGTGAACATTAATTTCGGAGAAAATTGAATGTCAAGATCATCGAAAAATACACAAATTTGTTTACGAATGCAAAAATTGTGGACAATTGGTTTGATTTTCCGTGTTACTTTCGAGTGTGGCGTTTCAGAATCAGTTTAAATATGGCGCTCTAGAGACGAACTTCCGTCAACGTATTACGAACTTACCAATCCAATAATCTCTCTCCGTTCTTTATAGTCTTCCGTCCTCCTTGAACTTGGGATTCGGCTATGGCATTCGCATAACCGGAAAACAACTTCTGTTCCGTGTCCACGGACAGTCGAGGATTGCAGAGGGACGAAATCGTTCGTGTTCGACCCTAACGCCTCTATTATGTGCGCGAATATTTCGATAACTTTGTGTCATCCGTGTATTTAGTATCCTCTCGACTCTAGTGCAGTGCTTCTAACCAAAACTAACAAATAATACGGAAAGTGCAATCACGTGCAGCTGTCCTCAATTATTGACGAAACCATTTTCCACGAACAGAATATAACGACACTTCGTTGCTAAAGTCAGGCTTGGGAAACGTTCTTTCAGGTAAATGCAAACGCTCATTTCATCAACAGGTGGCTGTGTGGTACACATACCTCCGCATGCGTGTGGTTTGTGTGTGTGCACGCGCGCGCGTTGTATGCGTGCGTGTATGTGTATGTGATCACCGTCCACAGAGAAACACTTTGGGACAAAATAAAAGAACATTCCAAACGCGATAACAAGTATGATTGTTTATTAAATCTTTCGAATGTTTCGTTAATTACGAATAATTTACAGAATAAAAATTAATCGATTACAGAAAGTGTTATTACAACTAGCGTGTTTAATTTCGTTGATTTAGATGTTTTTCTTTCTAAAATCATTCGCATTCCAGCGGATTCCAGCTACTTACGTAACAATCGAAGTTCGATCAGTCAATCGATATTATGGATGACAGAATAAAGAAATTCTATAGATCCACTACAACAGCGATGAATTCACAACTGAACTAAATACACAGCATCTGCTGTGTTCGTTCACTTCAACGCGAAAAATTTTCACCGCCGCTGCGAATTTTGTAGCGTCTTTTTATTTGCTTTCCAAGGCGTTTCTTTCACTGTAATTCTGAAATTGCTATGTTCGGTATTGCTTCTTCGTGTTTTCATCAGCATTTGCTGAAAATTTCGCCATCGTTGTTGTTGCAAATATTTTGCTACCTCTGTCATGATACGAATATTTCGCGTTAGCCTGTGGGATCTTTAAGTATCTTAATGCATAAGTAAGTTTGATACGAAACTTCATTAGTCCCGTAAATGGTTTTTTTTTGTTCATGTACCGGAGAATTTATTACGTTGTAAATGTTAAAAAAAATAATCCGCGCGATATGATAAAGAAATAAATTTATACCGAAGGAATGCGAGAATAATACAAAAATAAAATCACGAAACAAAATCCATAGAAGAAAGTGTTATATGAGAAAGTATAGAATAAATAATATTTATTTTTTATGCGTTTTTATTTATGAGTTTATGTAACAATCCATTTGATTAAAGCAAGGAGGATGTAATGATGGCTCGCTAGGACAATTATTGCGAAAGATTGTACCGTGAAATTTTACTATTAAAATTTCGTGCACGTTATCTTTGTAATTAGAAACGCGGTATCTTCTCGCCGGATTTCAAAATCAGATTCGACCTTAGTATTTTACTAGCTTCTAAAAAATAATAAAAATGTTATAACAGAGCAGTTTATAACGTCGTAACTCTTACGCTAGTGCCTAAATAATAATGTTAGGTGTAGGAAAAATGATTGCAAAGTAAATAGTCTTGGTTTGGGTTTACGACGATCGTAAAAGTGTTAATCATTTTTTATGTTGATGAATTACTAGCACGCATGTATTGCACAACAAATATAACGTGCTAGATGTATTATGATCGTGATACACGCATATCGTTATGCAGATACAGACGTCAAGAGCTGGTTACGATGCAACTTGAATCGCACCAACTATTATGTACAGTCATTTAAAAAATCTATCGCACGTGTTCGACTATTTCATACAGAATTATATAGGATTTTTGCCAGAGAGTAAATAAATATATTATACTTTACGGGCACATCGCGCGCGAACACGTGAGCATGAATGAATCGATGCCTTGCTATCTGTTTTTTTTTTTTTGTTTACAAACCCTGCAACTTCAGAATCTTTCTATTGCTTTGATGCCTCGTGGCCCCCCCACTCCCACACGCGATTCGAATCAGGCTAAACATTATCTTTAAGACTGGATTTTATCTTCGTAAGATAAAGAATAAATGCGTTTTATTGAATAGTATCAAATAACGTTAGATATTAGACAACAATTGCCTTTATCTTAAAATCTGATAAATATCAAGAACAATAATATTACCTAATAACAATTACTGTAATAATATAAAAATAGATCTACAATTGCTTCGATACGTAATCGGCATTTTTTGCGGTTTTTCATTTGTTATAACAGACTCTGAAATATTAAATTTGTGCTTTTCCAAACTATAGACTTTTATATAAAGTAAATAAAGTTTATGCGACAATGTTCCACGATTAATGATGTAATCAATTAAGGTTTTTGTTTTAACACGCGCGCTGAATTATACATAATGAAGCGGAAGGGATTTCACAAGTGATTTGGTAGTTGAAAGTTAAGTTCGCTACTCGACTAGGAGGACTTTGATTCGAATCTTCGTGGGGGGAGATCATTTTTATATTTTTATTCCCATGGTTGATTATATTGTTAAAGTACCATGTCTATAAAATTATTTTCTTTAATTTTATTTTAATCGTCCACCTGTACCTTAAATGTCACATCGGCCAAATGTACATTATTAAGTTGCATTCGACGATACAAAATTAATTATCTTCACCCGTTTTTGTCCCGATGATCCGATGTGTCTGGTACACGTCAAATATTTACTACTATTTCCTCAGAAAAACAAGAAGTTTCTCACAATGTAAACGAATATGTGTTTCCCAATTGATATTCACAGTAAGAAGTGTATATACGAAATACAGACATTTGTAGCGTATAATTGGTAAAGTACCACTTCGCTTCCAATGACAGCAATCATGGAATCACGTGTAAGGAAGTTACATTGGCGCAGAGGAGTGATATCTTAAAAATATTGTATACAGGGTGTACAGCCACCCCCCGGGAAAAATTTTAATGGGAGATTCTGGAGGCCAAAATAAGACGAAAATCAAGAATATCAATTTCTTGACTGAGGCTTCATTAAAAAGTTACTAAAAAAAAATAAATTTAAAAATTTCATATCATTCTGAAAAAATTATATTTAGTTACAGGGGTCAGTTACAATAATTTTTGGTGAATACACATACCCCCGAAATACAACCCACATTCGAGAAAAAAATTCGAGTAGATATTGAAATTTTTGGACGAAAAAAAAATTTCAAATTGCTCTGAAAAAATTATTATCGGTTGCGGGGGTCAATTACAATCATTTTTGGTGAATATACCTACCCCCGAAATCCAACCCACATTCGAGAAAAAAATTCGAGTAGGTATTGAAATTTTTGGACGAAAAAAAAATTCAAATCGTTCTGAAAAAATTATTATCGGTTGCGGGGGTCAATTGCAATCATTTTTGGTGAATACACATAACCCCGAAATCCAACCCACTTTCGAGAAAAAAATTCGAGTAACTATTGAAATTTTTAGACGAAAAAAAAAATTTCAAATCGTCTTGGAAAAATTATTATCGATTGCGGGGGTCAATTACAATAATTTTTGGTGAATATACCTACCCCCGAAATCCAACCCACATTCGAGAAAAAAATTCGAGTAGGGGCGGAACTTTAAACGTTAATAACTTTTTAACGAAGCCTCCATCAACAAATTAATATTCTTGATTTTCGTCTTATTTTGGCCTCTAGAATCTCTCATTAAAATTTTTCACAGGGTTAGCCTGGAGTACATATTTTACACATTGTACATTACCATTGTGAATAAACAAACGCAAATAAAACAATTTAAAGTTTGTTGATGCTTGAATAAAAAATTAGGGAACACAATTTAACAAATAAAACTGGATTGAAAATAGTTCTGCAGGAATACAATAAATATAGAACTTTAATATACATAAAAAAATTAGTTCATTTAATGTACCGAAGTCTAAAAGAAGTCTTTAAAAGGGAAGGACGTCCAACAAATAATAAACAAAAGTATTGTCTTTTTTTTATGATCGTCTTTTAACCATGAAGAACAGACCAAGCATCGAGAATTGAGAATGATAGCAAAAAACGCTTTAGTAATTTAATAAAATTCGCCGCGGAAAAATACGTAAAAAAATTGCCTATAGTAGAGAAAATTTTTGCACGTTGCACCGTGTATTTAGTCAGTTGCGAGTTCATCGTTGTGGGAATCCCCTAACTTGTAATTATTCTCCTATTACTAGATAGCATGATATTAAAAAACAACATAAGTCACATTAATCTTTGTTAATTATTTGATAATAGAGTAAAATATAAAGAAAAATTTGACGTAAGTTTTACGTTTAACGGTGATGTATTGTTAAACTATTTTTATATCGAATTCTGGGCAAAAAGTAGTCCTATCTTTCGATTTGCACAAAACCCACCGACTTCAATATCATTGCTCGGCCAAGTAAATGGAAAATTACTTGCCGTGACGATCGATTTTTTGACTATACTTATGAAACATTCATGAGCAAGAATAGTAATTAAAACTGATCATTTATTCTTGTGCCCTCTAACGGTTTTGCCATTCTAGGCGGTTCAAATTACAATATATAATATTGATACGTTCGATAGCAAAATTTTGTTGCTTCTAATAATACGGACGAACAATATTATGCAAAAGAAAATCGTTAATAGTACATTTTCATGCATCGACGCGTACACGTGTACGTATTTAACAGCGTAAGCGTGAGACAAAGACTTAACTAGCATTAACCACTGTCCCGAATCTTATCTTAATGAGTTTTTTTTATGCACACTTGACGAAGTTTAATCTTGCATTACATTCACGAAATAATATATCGTCCCGGGGTCTAAATGAAGTCAACTATGATTCAATTAAAAATCTATCTATAAAATACAAATTAATTCTTTTAGATATTTACGACCAAACGTATTCCACTAGCGACTATTCTTTTCACGTATTTCTGTGTACTCTTCGAAGTATTAGTAAAAAAACAGATTGTAGTGGTGGCTTGAGTATAATAATGCACTACTGTGTACAATTACATTTTACATAATAAATTTTTTCACATAATTAAATTATCGTGAGTCATTTAGCGTTCTCCTCAATTTTGAAAATTCGAAAGTTGATGTAACAACAGACACTTGTATCTTTAAAATTAAAAAAATATATAATGAATTTGAACTAATATCTTCGAATAATAACGAAATAGAATTTTTCTGGATACCTTCGCATATAGGCATAGAAGGGAACGAAGAAGTCGACGCACCAGCTAAAATTGTGGCTTTGGAGATTGTCGATAATCGCATTCTTATTACATTTTCCGATTTTCGAGAATTATTTAAATTTGAACGTAAGTTAAACACCGAAGAATTTGTAAGAGGTCAAGAGGTATCAAAAGGCAAGGAATACTTCTTATACTACTTTAAAAATAACAAAAAACCATAGTTTACAAATAAAAATGTCGCACGAGAGACCTATCATTACAATTAATTGTTGCAGATCGGATCACTACAAATCTCGTGGCGTCTCGCGCCGCTACAATCGCGCATAGCCATTACAAACGATGTAAAATAGAATTGTAACGCTGAAAAATATGATCATAATGACATAGTTTGGCAATGCCCACTATTTAACACTCGTTAAGTCGAAACCACGTGAAAGGATTGAGAACATGTGGACCGAACCTTCCACTGACAAGGAACCATCGCGAACGGTCCGGCTTCGATTTTGATGAAACTTTGTACACTTATAAAGCAGCCAAAAATAATCGACACGTATTTTTTTTTAGCTGCGGTAACTCGAGTTTAAGGGGTGAAACCACCCCTTGAAGTTTTGGCTCGAGACGGCTATCTCGAAAACGGAAAGCGATACAAAAAAATTGTTAATGGGCGAGGTTAATGGTTTCTTATGTACAATAACATGGTGTTAAAAAATTTTTAAAAATACAATTTGTTTATAACAAAAAAAAATTTATTAACTTAATTTTTCATTTTATTGAAATTTTCATAATGACAAAAAATGACGAGCATTTTATTCCAAATCCATTGGTATGCGATTTTTTAAAATTGCCTCTTACAGTTTTGCAGATTTTGATGATTTACATCTTGCGCGCACATTCATTATGGTAGTAGCCGTTCTAACTTTGATTTTAATGAAGCACTGTAGGCTTGCACTACTTCTAGAGGACAAAATCGGGAAAAATACAAGAATACCAATTTGTTGATGGAGGCTTCGTTAAGAAATTATTAACGTTTAAAGTTCCGCCCGTACTGAATTTTTTTCTCCGAAATGCCCAAAATTTCGGGGGAATGTGTAATGACCAAAAATGATTGTAATCGACCCCTGCAACCGAAAATAATTTTTTCAGAATGGTTTGAAATTTTTTAATTTTGTTGAAAAATTTCACACATTCTCGAATTTTTTTCTCAAAAGTGCGTAGGATTTCGGGGGTATATATATTGACCAAAAATGATTGAAATTGACTCCCGCAACTGAAAATAATTTTTTTAGAACGATTTGAAATTTTTTTTTTTCGCTGAAAAATTTAGGCACCTACGCCCTGTCGAAATTCTTAAAAATTCGTTTTTCATTTTTAATAATTTTGTTTGACGCCCTACAAAAGAGTTGGCCAATACTTTTTTGTAGGTTCCTATGAGCTCTACTTCAGAAAAAAGTTTCATTGAAATATGTTCACTATTGTAGGAATTTTGGCTGTTTGAAGATTGGACCATTTTTATGGGGTTTTTTCTCATTTTGCGGGGTCAAGGATCAACTTTTTGCATATTTTTGCGATTTCTACGTATTCTTGATTAAAATACGCGTCGTTTGCATTTTTGAAAATTAAAATCCTTCAATCCGTTCAGAAGTTATGACATTTTAAAGATCCGCATGAAATTTTCGGACAACATTTCTGGCCATAAATTACATTTTCGATTAAGAATTTTTTTCTCGAAAGTGGGTAGGATTTCGGGGGTATATGTATTCACCAAAAATGATTGTAATTGACCCCCGCAACCAAAAATAATTTTTCGAGAACGATTTGAAATTTTTTAATTTTGTCGACAATGTCCACCTACTCGAATTTTTTTCTCGAAAGTGGGTAGGATTTCGGGGGTATGTGTATTCACCAAAAATGATTGTAATTGACCCCCGCAACCAAAAATAATTTTTCGAGAACGATTTGAAATTTTTTTTTCCGTCGAAAAATTTCACACCTTCTCGAATTTTTTTCTCGAAAGTGGGTAGGATTTCGGGGGTATATGTATTCACCAAAAATGATTGTAATTAACCCCCTCAACCAAAAATAATTTTTTCGTGAATGATTTGAAATTTTTTAATTTAATTTTTTAATAACTTTTCAAACTCGAATTTCTCGGAAACTAATGCCCATTTTGGAAAACGCTCTTGGGGTTCTGTCACACTAGATATGCAGTACATATACTACAGCTTCCATCTACTTTTATTTAAAAAATGATGATGAAAGTTTGGCAGACAACGTGTTAAATATTGTATATTATATTGAGAAATAAATTCAAGCAGTGATGAGGCTTTGGTCTAAAATTTTTGTTCCGTTCTGGATAACGTTATTACGTCTATGTCTGCATTTGTGTCGCAAAAGTCAAGATGCACATAACTAAGTAGTAAAACAGAACGGCAAAGCAGTTATGTTTTATCCTATCGTTATTGTGCATATGTATTTTAAACGTATTCGTAAACGCATATCGCGAGCGAACACTGTTCCGCGTGGCCGCGAGCACAAATTCGCTTGGCCGATGACTTGCTTTTCTTCCTCACCGTGACGTCTGTCGCACGAACCGCTCTGCCACACGTTTCCGACTCGTCGCTAGTGTAACATTTTTCCCATTGCCTGCAGTAACATTCCAAATTTACTCGGCGTGAATGTATCTTAAGAAAATCTCTCAAATTTGACTACACGAACAACCCTTACCGATCCTGCGCACTCACCTCATCCGTACAGAATGGATTTCCCGGTAAGAATTGGAATTATCTACGGTCAACATTTCCATCAAACCGAAAATCTTTTTTTTTTCATTCGACAGAATAGTTCTACTACACTTTTGAGGCGATCTATGTTTTGATGCCAAGTTTTTAGCTACATTTTCATAGACAGAAATGTAAATTGATGGAATTATTGGAATTAACTATTAATTCAAACCTAACCTACACTTACCTGTTAGTTTATTCGAAACAGTAATTAAACTTCGTTTTTCGTGCGATCAGAAATTTTCATTCCGTTTCTTTGCCATCGAGTCATTTGAAAAATAGTCCCTGTTCGAATTAATTCTATTAACCCAGACCTAACCTGTGAATTACCATAGCAATGAATCATATCGATTTGACGTTAAGCTTAATCGATGTACTTAAAAGGCGATATGAATTCAAATAATATACTTTCTTGTTTACTTTACGAGTGATTAGTACTAAATTTGGTTTAAATAAATATATCCGGTCTTAACCTGTCGTACCAATTATTGGACTACATTTGTGCAACTTCGGCGCATTAGATTATAGTAGTTAATGCCTATTTCCGTCGAAAAGGCCACAACTTCCTTACCAACGAAGTTCCCAATGGTATTAAAAAATAAGTGAAATTCTACCATATAACGAGATAAAAAAGAATATTATTATTTTTGTTCTTCGAAAATGAATCAATATTTACAAATTTGATTTTTTTTAACACGTTGACTGTCATAGTCACTTTGAACTTACGTGTTACAATATTGTTTACAATGAAAAATTTTCAACAGTTGTAAAAATTATAAACAATAGCAGATATGATCAGTTAATGATAATAGAAGAAATCTATTGTAGAATCACAATAAATACTCGTAATCGTATACAATTATAGAAAATTGTTGCGTAATTTCCATACGTGTACGTCAACCGATGTCACAATTGTTTCCTTAATATCAGTGTCTGATGACTTTCAATGACTCCTATTATCACGTATGACAGTAGCGGCCAAGGCTTTTATCACGATAAGAGTCATAACTTGCCTAACAGAAATATTTGGTATACTTCGTTGAAATTTCCTATACATGTATATACACGTAGGATTCGTTAAAGTAATTTCAAAAATTAAATCTGAAATTTAGATGTGTAAGAAAATAAATTTGGATAAGATTCATGAATTTGTTAGTTTTATTAATCTTTGGTGAGATTAGATAAATAAGAACTGATACCAATTTTAGGTTATGTATCTTACAATTGTCTAAAATCAATGTTTTGGTCTTGCAAAAAAGTGGACGGTTTTTCCCTGAACAGTCAACGTGTTAATATTTTTTTTTGAATCGATCGATCAATTAAAAAGAATAAACAAACGTGACTCAATAAAATCTAATTACACGAAATTATCGAAGTTCAAAGACATTATTTGAATATGAATGACTCACGTATATGTTACGCTAATTTTAATACCCACTTTTCATGACATTACTTGTCTTTATTTTTTTTGTTGCAGACAGCAACCGCGTCACAGCCGAAAGCAATAAGAATGGCGGGTTCTCCGATGCTAGAAAACAATGAAAGGACCGAAGTTCTGGATGAGCCACTTTTTAACACACTCGATATCATACTTCTCAGCGCCCTTCTATTAGCTGCATTATGGTGGTTAATGCGTCGAAACAAACAAGAAGAATACACGTCCGTCGCAAAATCCTATTCTATCCAGTAAATACTACGTTTCTATAACTATTTTCGATATTACGAATTTGGTATATTAAGTTCTTCAATTTTAAATAGCTCTTTTCAACAAAAAATAATTATTTTTCAACTGTTTCATGTTAACAGATATGAAATATGACTGAAAAGCATATTCACGATTTATAGTTGTCTGTATTTCAAAAATTAAAAAATTTGCACTAAAAAACTTCATTCTCAAGTTAATATGTTAAAAGAATTAAATTTGAATGAAAGAGCTATCGAAAACTGAAAAAATTTCGATCCTTGAGCGAAGCTTCGTGGCCAACCAGTGTATTATTAATATTATAGTATTATTCAACTCGGTTCGATCAAATCGATTTTCATTCAGATAGAATGCAGAATAAATTTTGGTAATTTTTTTTGTAAAAGGCCAACGTTGTTCCCTACGGTAACGCCGGCAGAAAATTCGTTCATAAAAAAGCTGAAAACCTCAGGAAGAAGTCTCGTGGTATTTTATGGCAGCCAAACCGGAACTGCCGAAGAATTCGCTGGTCGGCTAGCCAAGGAGGGTATCAGATACAAAATGAAAGGCATGGTGGCTGATCCCGAAGAATGTGACATGGTATTAATTCACTTTCATAAAAAATAATCTTCTTTTCCCCAATGTTTGATTAGACGCAAATATTCAAGTTCCCTTCCATTATTAATTTTATACTAATTACTGTCGCCATTTTAGATAACAATTAGAACAAGTTCAGAATGGAAAGGAAAATTATTACAGTACATATCTCTCTGGGCTTGAATTTTTAATGAGAATTTTACGACTATACTGACATTAGACGACGTTAGTATCCACAGCTACCTATCGTCCTTCCACGAAAAGAAAGCACAGCGTGTTTACATCCCCTCTCTTGCCGCAGCCCGCTGATTGGCTGTCACCGATTTCGACCAATACCTGTGAGCCAGCGAACTGCAACAGGAGCGAAGATGTAAATACTTTGTGCCTTCTTCTCGTGGAAGGAAAATACGTACAGTATCGATTATAGATGGCATTCGATATTGCAAGGGTTAAATCGCGATTCTAGTAATTAAAGCTTCTATCGTAATAAATTTATATAAAAAACGTAAGCGTGTTCGTTGCTTTGTACGTGGGCAGAACTCGACGGTCGGTAAACTAAATAGCGACGTTGCTACAGAGTTAAATCGTGATATTTTTTTTTTTTATTGTTTTCCATTATTTTCCGTTATATTCTAGATTATAGATCTATAGGAGTAATGCAAAGTCAAAACTTATATCAGAATATTACCAAAATGTTATAAACTTCTAAAAGGTATTACGCAGTATGCAAGTTCCCTATATAAATCGCCAACTCATCTCTCACAAATAGTCTTATATTCTAATTAGAGTTAAGCAAATTTTAGTCGCGAATAGCGAATAAATATTTTAATTTCGTTTGTAAACTAATTTTTTTAGTTTAAAAAAAAACTCATTAGTGAATTCTAATTCACGAACGGAATATAAACGAAAGTTAATATACGAATGAATTTAAAATTTTTATTCGTTGCTCGTGAATAAATTTCACTCGACTCTTATTTTAATATTATTAATTTTATAAAAATTATCAGTGAATCGCGATACAACTATATCGACCGTAGACAATGCTGGTTTTTACTGTTCGTTCCTATTTTAAGAATAAATTGATATTAAGAGGGGTAATGGGACTATACTATTTTAAATTAATTTTATCGTACTAGCTCCTGCTCGAGTTATTTTTGAAATTATTCTTGACATTAAAAGTAAAAAAATAAAAGAGAGTAAATATTACTTTACCGAAGAAATTTCATCTTAAAACAGAGAAAACGTCACGTTAATGTTATGCTTTTTTAAAAATAATATATCGTTATTTATAATGATTGCAATTTGTTATAACAGGAGGAGTTAATAAATCTTAAAACAATTCCAAATAGTTTGGCAGTATTCTGTTTAGCTACGTACGGAGAAGGTGATCCTACCGATAATGCCATGGAATTTGTTGACTGGCTGAAAAATGGCGATGGTGATCTGTCTGGACTTAATTACGCTGTACGTATTAATTCTGTTTTCTTTTTAGAAATGTTTTTAATAGTCTTTATTTCGAAAAATCACCTGCAACAGAAATATTTACATTGAAATGTTTCGAAAGCTGGTTTTAGAATTTTTCATGAAGGATATATTTTAATATTGTCAATCTATTTTCTGTCGTCTGAGAATCGACTGGCCAAGATTTCCGATCATTATATTGTTGTCAGAAGTTTATCAAAATGGATCGATGAGTCACTGGTTAAGTCATAGTTCAAATGAAAGAATACTTCTACTCGTAACAATATGGCGTCCATTGATTTCCCCTCGCTTACGTATTTAGTAATTTTCATTCGATTAAATTTCTAAACAATTCTGAACTCCATAAATATTCGTTCGATACGCAATAATAATTTATAATTATGTTCTATTCGATGGATTAATACGATTTGCGTTTAGTATCGTGTTATGTGAGAAACGATGGTTACATAAGAAACTTTTATCGATCGGACACCACGTGTGTATGGTCGTAGTCACTAACATTTTCTATTAGTGTACTATTTATCCCGAAAAGTAATCGACTAAAGTAACGAGATTAGATAGTAATTTTAATAAATATTAATTAACTTCAGTGAATAAATAATAGATTTTTGGAAATTGTAATTATGGGCTTAAAAAAGTGCGACAAACTTGTACGCGTGTTTATTAAATCTAAGACTCGCAGCGCCCCTACGCGACGATTTTCAGCACTGATTTTGGCGCCAAAGTTCGAGGTACATTTACAACTACTTTCTAATTAATATTTATTAAATTAATTCTTTCTCACTGTTTTGACATGTTCTGTAATTTTCTTTTTTTTTTTCAATAATGAAATACATAATTCCAACAAGAAAATATATTATTAATATTATGCATTATTATGCTAATAAAAGATTTAAAAAATGTAAGTTTCGATTGTATTTTGAATTAAAAATGTTGTTACAGCTTACAAGATTTTTTAACTTTACCAACACTGTTGTAAACATATGATAGTTTCCATCCCATTTACTCAATACTTATTTTAATTTGTTGCAGGTGTTTGGACTTGGGAATAAAACGTATGAGCATTACAATGAAGTAGCAATTTATGTCGACCATAGATTAGAGCAATTAGGTGCCACTCGAGTCTACGAACTTGGCTTAGGAGATGATGATGCTAAGTAAGTTACCATAATTTTAAAAATCTCCAATGTAATTCAAATGTTTGCTGTAGATCTATTTAAAGAATTTTCCAAGTTCCACACAACTATTATACAGTAATAAAATTAAATAATTATAGTATAGAAGATGATTTCATTACATGGAAAGACAAATTCTGGCCCATTGTCTGTGACTTTTTCGGGATTGAAGGTGCAGGCGAAGACGTTAGTATCCGACAATACAAACTCACGGAGCATGTAGACTTGCCAATAGAACGGATTTACACCGGTGAAATAGCTCGTCTTCATTCGTTTAAAAACCAGAGATCGTAAGTTTAGCTCAAATTCTTTTTACGTATTATTAGAAAAACCACTGTACTTTAGAAAATATTCAATTGGTATTATATAGGCCATTCGATGCAAAGAACCCTTACTTGGCACCAGTGAAAGTAAACCATGAACTTCATGGTCCAAAGTCGGAGAAATCCTGCATGCACATAGAATTTGACATAGAAGGATCGAAGATGCGTTACGAAGCTGGTGATCATTTAGCCGTGTACCCTGTGAACAATAAAGAATTAGTTAACAAAATTGGAGAAAAATGTGATGTAGATTTGGATACTGTGTTCACTCTCACAAACACGGATGGTGAGTTTTAAAATTACATTTGGGCATTGAGTATTTTAACACTGTTTCTATGGTAGTTTTAGAACTAAAGGCATTAAATTAATTTGTGTACTTTGTGTTGCAGAGGAATCGACGAAGAAGCATCCATTCCCCTGTCCCTGTTCATACAGAACAGCATTGACGTATTACTTGGATATTACCGGCAACCCGCGTACTCACATTCTAAAGGAGTTGGCAGAATATTGCAGTGATGCAAAAGACAAGGAAAAATTGAAGTTAATGACGTCAACTAGCGCGGAAGGGAAAGCTGCATACCAACAGTGGGTGGTTCAAGAGAATAGAAATATAGTACACATTTTAGAAGACATTCCTAGCTTAAAACCAGCCTTGGATCATTTGTGTGAACTCCTGCCGAGATTGCAGTGCCGGTATTACTCGATTTCCTCCTCCCCCAAGGTAAGAAAGATTTGTTAGACGGAAATTAGTTGTACAAATGAATCAAAAATTTACATTTTTTAATAGCGAATAAAAGTATGGGATTAAAATGTCTTTAATGACATTTAACGTTTCAACATAGTTTTAATTTTTGTTCAGTTGCACCCGACCTCGGTTCACATAACCGCGGTTATGATAGAATACAAAACTCCAACGGGTAGGATAAACAGAGGCGTGACGACCAGCTGGCTGAAAGAGAAACATCCGTCGGATCCGCCATCTTACGTTCCGATTTTTGTACGGAAATCGCAATTCCGTTTGCCTACTCGAATGGCCACACCGATCATTATGGTTGGGCCAGGCACTGGTATAGCACCGTTCAGAGCATTTATACAAGAACGTGATCTTGCTAGGAAAGAAGGTGACTTATTGATTTAATAAGGAAATTATTTATGAAACGGAGGTCATTGAAATCTATTTATTCATTGTTGAAATAAATTGTCATTAACGAAATGTCGATTTGTTCTGTTTCAGGCAAGGAAGTGGGTGAAACAATATTATACTTCGGATGCAGACAGAGAGACCATGATTTTCTTTACAAAGATGAACTCGAGGAGTACGTGAAGAATGGCACTTTGATGTTACACACAGCATTTAGCAGAGAACAACCAGAAAAAGTATATGTTACACATTTATTGGAGAAAAACAAAGACGAATTGTGGAGGATTATCGGCGAACAAAATGGGCACATTTATGTCTGTGGGTCAGTATACAATTACCTAATAATATTCAAATTAGAAATTGAATGTTAAACTTGCTTCAGTTTTAGTTTATGGCTAGGGCTGGACGTACTAATGATTTAAAAATTTTAAAATTAATAGAAAATAGCTAATATTTTTTTTAGAAATAAATCTTAACATTTTTTATGAGAAAAATTCAGATATAGCCCGGCCCTAGTTTCTTCATTTAATTGTCTGGAATGTTTAAAACAATATTTCGATTTATCAGTGATGCTAAAAATATGGCACGAGACGTGCACAATATCTTACTGAAAGTGGTAATGGAGAAAGGAAAGATGTCGGAACTAGATGCAGGGAGTTACATAAAGAAGATGGACTCGCAAAAGCGTTATTCGAGCGACGTTTGGAGTTGAATGTTATGTAATATAATTTCCATAGTTATTTGTAAAACGAATAATCTATGTAAACTTTTTAACACATCTTCGCGAGGAAGGTGTACTTTTATTAACCTCCGTACGGACGTACGGATAATTCATGTAAACATTGAAAAGAATATCAAGAGATAATTATAAACGTTAGCAAAATCTTTTAATCTCTAATTGTATTTATTGTTCGTATAAGTAGCTAACGAATTGTGTACAAAAATTTAACTTCTATTTCGTCGTTTCGATTATATTAACATTTCTGTAGGAATCTATGCAGTGCAATAACGAGTTTAAACTTTTAAGCGGCCTACTGACACTGATACTTGACGCAACACAAGTTTCCCCATTGCTCGAGTCGAAACTAGCATTGCAACAAGTATCGGCATCAGTAGGCCGCTTTACAGTTTATACGTATATAACATCTGTATAATAAAAACGAACAAGAATTGTAGCATAATTAATAAGGGTGTGCGGGTAACTCGAGTAGGGCTTTCGGAACAGCAGAACTGGACAAACTTTATTCACAAATAACCGAATACAAATGTTAGACCAATTCATAAATTAACTGTTATGTAATCAATATTCTCGGACCGGCAAAGTTTGGTTACAAATGAATTAAACGTTTCTATTCGTTATTTGAGAAGAAAATTTGCTTTCTCGACTCTGTCGAACAGCGTCGGACAAATGGCGATTTTGAGATTATCGGGACCATTCGAGCCTAGGTGTCGGAATTGCAGATACCGATCAAATTTTCAGTAGTTATACATAGTTAATATTTCATTACTATTAAAGGTATTGTTTCAACGGTGAAATATACTCTAGAGAAAAGAAAATAGAATCGTGTAAAAAACATTTTAAATATGCAACATGGTTTCAGAAATATAGAATATTATTAATTTTAAAAAAATTGTTGTAAATTCCAATTTCAAGGTTTCCGGTTCAGATTTCGTTATAACGATTCTCTTGTTCCCTTTATTTTTATATTTTTCAGTAAAGCGAAATTTTGTGAAATTTGAACTCGTCAGAACCTTGAAACACGAATTTACGGATCGTTCATTTTAGAAGCCATTGCGATCGTTCGAAGAAACTATATATTTATATGTAACGATTGTAATGGTGTGATACATAACAATAAATCGGCAATGTGAACAGATTTTGTAAAAGTTAAATAAATTACTACACACGCGCTATATATATATATATATATATATATATAGAACTATCTCTCTGTTTATAACAAATCTCATTAAAAGCAGTTAGAAAAATTAATTTCTAATGTACTGACCTAGTAAATTTTTTGTTTGTTTTCACCCTATGTTACAGATCCATAGGTGTAGTACAAAGTACAAACTTAAATTAGAGTACCACATAACATTGTATACTTCTAAAAGGAATTACACACTTATCCTATATAAATTACAGACTAACATGTAACTAACGATTGATTAAACGTTTCTTTCTTTGGCATAAATAATTTTTAATTTATCTAGAATCTAGAAATTACTACGTGTAGCGCCCTCAGTGGCAAAAATATTAATTAATTTAATTTTGTACTATTTTGGGTCAATTTTAAGTTTAACTTAGAGTATACATTTGGTTAATGGTAAAAGTTACATTGAAATGATTTATACACAGTAATAATGATGTTACAAGAAATGATTTATACGCAGTAAACAGATCATTTCGACTGAATACACATTTCCTGTAAAAAATTCACGAAAAATACCGCTTGTTTTGTGTCCGCCAAGGTAGGGTAACAATGTACAGTGAAAACTCGATAAATGTCTTCAAGAGCTGTTCCATAAATGATACATTTTTATCCCCACCACTAGGGGGATCCCCCTTGAACCAGTGAGGCGAAGTGTAACCGGAGACGTAGCGGCTTTCTTTAAAAATCTTTATTGCCTTCGTCAACTTAGTTTAAATGTCCCTGTCAGTGTGACCACACTACTGTACAAGAAGAGAGTTTTTTATTTTTTACTTTTTTTTAATAAAAATTTTACTATCATGTAGGGAAGATTTTTCTAATTAAAATGAGACTAAACACGATATAAATCGGCCAATATTTGTTACCATAATATTTAATTAAATATTGTGTACTCGTATCTTCGCAAGGTCAGTGGATTGGTACATTTATCGAACAGTGGTAGCTAACGAAACCCCCTATTTCATAAGTGTTGCAGTTTTTGATCACTTACGAAACGGTGGAACCGTTCCGTTTGAAAATAGCCTACCTCCCGTTCGATAAATGTAGCCAGCACCTCGATGCGTCGTTCTTTGATATTTCCGAACATAGAAAAGGACAGCACAAGAAGGATAAATAAAGAGAGAAAGACTCGCAAGTACAATATTTAATTCAATATTATGCTACCAAATATTGACCGATTTATATCGTGTTTAGCCTCATTTTAATCAGAGAAATCTCCCCAACATGATAGTGAAATTTTTATTAACAAAAAGTAAAAAATAAAAAACTTTCTTCTGTTGCAGTACTGTGGTCACACTGACGCGGATATTTAAACTGGGGCGATAAATCCGAGTTTCAGTCCCTCTTTCTTCTTTAGCTACTGACTCTTTCTACGTTCGAAGCGTCGGCAAACTACAATCAAATTCGAAAGACGATTCTCCTATTCCGTAAGTGTTGCTGACCGGACCCGGAGTAGCGACATTTATCGAGTTTTCACTGTAGCAATAGAATTTCGTCAAAGTGGTCACTTCGACGTTTTCTTCATTAAATTTTTTCGAATTGTAGGATATATTGAATTTGAAGTTTATTTCCACTTAAACAAAAAGGAATAAGTTTATATATCTATGTCAATAGAACGCGTATAGCGAATGGAGAACTAATCTAAATCTAAAGAGCTAAAGAAGCTAAATCTATCTTTAGCTAAAGAACTTTTTTCGATCTAAGAAAACGGGTGAAAAACTGGTTTGTCGAGCAGTTATTGACCAATCAATTACCGGAAAGCGTTAATGTTATGAATAACGTTTCATAGCATTCTATCTGAATCAATAAACCTCCAATGGACCGTTACGCGACTCCGCCGCCATCAATAAGGTGACGGAAGACGGAACCGTATACATATGTAGATAAATAATACGGTCCGTTGGACTTGGCGCCTTGCCCCTTCGGCGGTCTTCCTGCATTGCAATGTCATCTGCATATTGTGTAACATAAATAATCTGTTTAAAGGTTTCCCATTATTTTTCTTTCATTTCACAGAAATACACGATTTTAAGACGATATTTTCGATATTTTCTTTTCATTATTATACTTATATCCTTGGACAATCGAGGCTCGAAATTTTATGCCGATTGCCAAGGTCGGAATTCGGAATTCAGCTGTTGGAAGAACGAGAGAGGTTGATGCACTCAATTATGTCAAATCTGGTCACATTGCTCGCAAGTCCCTATAGAAAATCGTTCTTAATGATCGGTAGCGGAATTAGTTGGAAAATTTTCGATTTCATACTGCATACATGATTTTCTATCGTACGAAACGAGAATTTTTCAACTAATTAATCATAATAGAGCATTAAGTAATTATTAGAAACAATGTTTTATCTTTCGTGTATTTTTACATAATGTTCCAAAAAGGAAAAAGCAATAGTTCTAACTGTTACAATAAAAAAAACAAATATGAAGTGAACTTATAATATTAGCCAGCAATATACATGTACATAAACGAGGTATGGAACTTCCATAATGAAATAGAGATATCATTCGAGGAACTTTATGTTACGTGAAAACAGAAACCGATTTCTTCGGTTTTGTGGTTATGTTCTCCAAGGCGCGCACATAACCAACGAAAACAAAGTGTTTGTACCATTAAATATTAATGCTGTATGTTATTAGAATGTATTGAAATAAGATTAATCTGAAGAGTTGTAAATTCCACTCGAAATGAACAATTTAGTAAGGTCGTGTCTTTTTACGAGAAGTTTAAACATTCGACGTTTGCATTCTATAAAATATACGCTAGACGCCGAAAACAGACAATTGTACGAGGATATTTTTCCTGATATATGTGAGTAAGTATTGTTAACGAATATTATTTACTGAAATATATTTATTCCTCTTTAAAAAGTTAACATTGTATTTACACAATCAGTCAACATAAATTAAATTTTTAGAAAGGACATAAAGAAATTGTGGAAGAGCCCTCCGCAATGTGTCTACACAGGGTTCGATCCAACTGCGGAGAGCTTGCACGTAGGAAATTTACTAGTTCTGGTGAATCTCCTCCATTGGCAACGCTGCGGTCATCAAGTGATCATTCTCTTAGGAGGTGGTACAGGTTTGATCGGTGATCCAAGCTTCAGGAAGTCAGAACGTGTCGAAATAGAGGATGTCGTGTTGCATGAAAATATAAAATCTATACGAAATGACATAAAGCAGATCTTCAGGAACCATGAGAGATACTTTTGCAAAAATGTGAGAAGTCTGACTCCTGTGATCGTACATAACAATTTAGAGTGGTACAATGATATGAATATAATCTCCTTTATTAGGGAGATTGGAAAATATTTTAGAATGGGCACCATGTTGGGTCGTTCCTCGGTCCAGTCTAGATTAGAATCCGACAGTGGTATGAGTTTCACAGAATTCAGTTATCCTCTATTTCAAAGCTACGACTGGCTACATTTGCAGCGTACATACAATTGCAACTTCCAAGTTGGCGGCCAGGATCAGATGGGAAACATAATTTCTGGCTATGATCTGGTAACCAAGTACACCAAAAAGCAAGTTTATGGATTGACATTGCCATTGGTCACGGCCGAAGGTGGAAAAAAGCTTGGAAAGTCTGTTGGCAATGCAGTTTGGCTTTCTTCTTCCAAGTCTTCCAGCTTTCAGCTCTATCAGTACTTTATTCGAACCGAAGACGCAGATGTGGAAAAGTTTCTTCAATATTTTACGTTTCTACCTTTGCACAGGGTGAAAAGTATCGTAGAAGAACATTTTAAGAATCCGGGTTTGAGGAAGGCGCAGAGGATTCTGGCGGAGCAAGTTACATTATTGGTTCATGGTGGTAAGGGAATAATTTAATAGAAACAGTGCTTAATAAACAAGTCCTTGGTTTTTTTTAATGTTGAGGAACTTTTATTCTATGCGATTACATTTTCCAGCAAGCGATCATTACTAAAACAATGTGAATGTAATTTTTGTAATTGTAGAAGAGGGACTACTGGGAGCAAAAAGAGCATCCACAATTCTTTACGACAAGTCCATCGAATCTTTGTCGAGAATAAACGCGAACGATCTGGCCGAATTGTTGGAAGGTGCCACGGTAGTGGAAATTTTCTCCGAACCCGGCCTCAGCATTTACGACTTGGCGATGAAATCAAAATGTTTCGAGAAAGAACATGATGCAAGGAGGATTATCGCAGCTGGTGGGTTCTACGTTAATTATTCCAAGGTTACTAATACAGAAGAGGTTCTCGTCCCTGGAATACATATATTAAGCAACAATATAACGTTGCTCAGGGTTGGAAAAAAAACTTATTATATTGTAAAATGGCTATGAAATGAAAGTTAAGGTCGTTAAAATACTGTTGGAGACTTCTAAGTAAATTTCAGGTTACATGGGTCATTCCTGAAATTTAGCAAATTTTCATCTTTTTATCAAAATACACACATTTAAGAAGAATAAATTCACGATTTATTTACAAAGCGATAAGCAAATCCTATAACAATGGAAATAAAATATGGGTCCGAATTGACCTATCTTCGTCGGTGTTTTGTTAACAAATCCAAAGTAGCAATTTTTTTTAGTCACATTTTTATATAATTATTATATTAGTGAATCTTCTGAACGAATGTACTCTCCTATATCAGCTTGGTGGAAACATACAGTTGCCATTGGATCCGCGTATTTACAATCCGTTGTGCTTTTCGCCGTCACGCCAAAACCCTAAACAAAATTTGTTAATTATACAATATTAACGTTCTTAGTAGTTGTATTGCTGGTAGAGATATAGAGGGCATAGGTTGATCATTAATATTTTTTAAAATTACATATGCTCAGAAATAAAGTTTAATAATATACCAGCGGTATGTCGCTTGTCGAAAAAATAACCACCCCCTGATACTTGGGGGTATTTTCTGTAATACGGCTCAGTCCAGACTTTGAAACATGATGCCCATAGAGAAATTGTTGCTCCGCGGATGCTTTCAGCCAGATTTTATACTGAAGAAGTAATTTCAAATACAATTATATTCACTGTATATTATTCATAGACTTAATCTTTAATTAAGCTTCTCAACATAATTTCTATTAGGATACTGAGAGGAATATAGTTACTTGTGAGTATGGAGCCAGATGATATAACGCAGTGACATGTAGCCTGAATTTTCCTGACTTTGTGAATTTTCCAAAACAAGTTCCAAAGCTTGCTAGTCGATCCGGGGTTACCATGCTAGCTAATGGCAGGATCTTCTCCGAAACATAATACACCCTTCCCTTCCTTTCTCGGAAGCAATAAATACCATCGGGACGGTCAATCAAGACCTTCACGTTGTCTCCAATACTAAAACACAGGTTTCTTATATAATACATCGATTTTGACTATCATACAACAATCGAAATAGATTTAAAACTACAGAAGCATCTAAGTAGTTCAATGTTTTGTTATAAATTTACAAACAAAAACATATACAAGTAGAGGTTATGACACTCACTACTTGGTTAACTTTTCCAAAACAAGCTTCGTCTTTTCTTCGGTCAAACGTTTCATTCTTCTAATATATTATTAAATACTAAAGATATCGAAGAAAGATTCTGGAAAAATTAATTAGGTGTCATTTACTAACGTTTCACCGAATGATTTATTAGCATACAACAGTTTATACTGTTCATCTGGTTATACTATGCACGTGTTTCGTGCATCTACAGTTACAGTGCTCCGCTGACTTGAAATCTCGCGGGACGGCACAGGGGCAAAGGGAGTCGAACCGCCCATTTATCTATCTCGCTCCCTTGCTCTCAGGCAGTCCACATGTGTGTGTAACCGCCGCGACGAATAGCGAGCCAGAGATCAATGTGTGCGTGCGCATACGTCAATCCCTTCTACTTCTCCCGTAATTCTTCCGCGAGTCAGCGGATCACAGTACCGTTCTTCCGCGAGAAGAAGGCACAGCGTGTTTACAACGAACTTGAATTCGCGCGACATCTCATTATGCCCCACTTTGTCATTCCTACGGTATCACGACGTAAGTGCAAAAAGGCACAACATTCCGCGTCATAATCGCACTATTTACAGCAATCAATCACATTAAGCAAAAATTTACAGCAAAAAACTGATTAATAAAATGCAATAATATTTACAAGCATCCAGCGTGCGCATTGTTGTTTTACACATCGTTACGTATTATTTTTGTATGTAACGTTAAGTAGAATATATGTATAACATTTGATTCTGTGTAAAAAAAGTTAGTATTAATCTGATCTTGTAATAATTAATTTCTCTGTTTAGGTCATGTCTGTAAAAAATATTTGCTATTGAAGGTTGCTATAGTGTGAACGATATTGGCCAAGAGTGGGCTCTCTTTAACAAATTTTACTAATAAGTTCAGTTTCGAAATATGTATTTTTTAGTTAATTAAATTATTTTCTTCTTTGCAATTAAACGCGTTCCTCGCGTAGAGCTGTTTATACTTTCTACCAGTTCTCGTTGAACTGGGTTTATATTCCGGGCCTAGGGACTTTCTTCTGGATTCTGGTGATTCTATGGTGTTGTTGGGGAATTCCGTAGGTCTGACAAAGTGCGGCGCTGAGCGTGTCGGACCGTTGGCAGTGCGGCTTACCATACTATCTTTTGTATCTTGTTGGGCCGGCGGCGTGCGTGAAAATTATTGCCACTGAGAGTCAGCCTTGCCCACCGTGTTCAACGAATATGATAGTTTAAAACGGCCATACGCGACTCTCCTCTTATTTATTCGAGTCCCCGTCTTTCCGTGTGCACAAACCAAGGAAAACGACAATCCTCCGTCAATCTACCTTGCGTCGTCTTCCTCCATCGACACGTTCTCGAAGCTGCTTCCTTGGCCCACTCGAGGTATGTATCTTCGTTCTCATCTTTTGCACAATTTTTCTATTTCCTCAGTTACCGAATCATCTATTTTTCAATCTTTCTATCCTGATTCAATTTTAACTTTGCTATTTCGCAAATTTCAAACCACTGTGAAAGTTAGAAACCTGTCCGAACCATTTATTTGAGAATTAAGTGCATTTTTTTCAACGTGATTCCTCGTAATATTGTTAAAATTGTCGGTACCACCGATATAGTACTTATTTCTAACATTATTATTGTGTTTTCGTGTGTCTACATCTTACATTTTCATTTATAATTATTTTCATTAGTATTTTCCTTGGGATTTCAATTCGAACTAAATATTTCGTTACTTTTGAACATTCCACACTCTTCTGACCCACGGTTATTTATATAAAACCTTTGATTATTTATTTTTCAGACATTCCAGTCTTTATTTTATTATTTTTTTACTCAAAACTGCTGTGAACATTTGAACCTTACCACTATCTAATGTTAACTACTTACTTAAGAATTTTCGGCATTTTTCTTAATTCGATTTCTTGTAATATCGTTAAAACAATCGATAGTATCGATATATATATTCCCATTTCTAATTATTGTGTTTCACTTTCATCTTACACCCTTGTTTGCAATTATATTCCCCAGTATTTTCTTTGGAATTTCAATCGGGACTAAAGTTTTGTTGCTTTTTAACGTTCTATTCTGTTCCAACTCACGATTATTTATATCAAACTTTCGATTACCGTTTTAATATTAGATTAGGATATTAAATCCTTCCAGGTATCCTTTCTTAAATTATTTTACAATTTCTTTTCCTCGAAATGAAATTAAACAAATTTTTTTTTAAATCGAATGGAAAAATGTAGTAAAAATTGTTCGATCGCGTGTTTTATATGCCGAAGTATTCTTTTGGTTTCATATCGCACTGTACCACCGTAAGTAAATAACGATATTATATATAAACGAAAAGAAAACATATTTTGTTATCGACTAACGCGTAATTTGTAAAATACTTATTATAACGTGATTCCTTATGGCGAAATTTGATAAATGTTGGAAGTTTATCGATGTTTCATTATCGTTTGTAAAACCTGTTTATCAGTGTTACGCAGAATCGTCCCCACTTTATTCTTATAAACATAAGTTTAGCTGCGTTATCGACAATAGCACGTGGTTAAGATTGCCTTTCGAAACAACTCAGATCTATACATACTATCTTCCCTCGATTACCATAATAGTTGGCTATCAATTATTTTTCATATTTTCTTACGAAAATTTCAGATGACCCAAACCGAAAGATCGAAAACATTATCACCGTTTTGATAAGAGGAATAAACATTCTAAATTTCTATCAGATCACAATACCCCAGTAACTTTCATGCAATAAATCACAAATGTTTAATTCATCCTACATGAACGAGGGACGAATTTAACGGTTTGAACTAGATTATTTTTTAATTTTCTAACATAATCGATAAAATTATAAGAACATAACCATCTGGCATTAGATTACGAAAAAAAAACCATAAAAACGAGCGTGTATAATTTATTACGTTTTTCTTCACTATGCTGGCTAATGTACGCAAATGTATACGTGTATAAAAACGTGAATATATTTTACTGTTTTTCCTTAACGTAATTTTTTTTAGGTCATCTAAAATAGTAAGGCCCTCATTAAAATAGAAAGTGACACTCCATCTTTGAAAACTCGAAAGCAAAGGCACTCTCCGACACCGTGAAATATAAATAAACGGATTCAGAATAAGTACTTAATTCATCGATGATAGAATCGAAGCAAAGGTAAAGTAAAATTAATACCGAACCTACCGTACAGTATTTTATATTATCGATCATTTTCTCCGTTGAATTATTTTCAGTCGACTGAGAAAACAAAGTCGACAATATTTTTGCAAGTTTTTAGAAATTAAAACTTTACATTATTACACCAGAAACGTGTATTGTATAATTATAGTCGACATTTTATTACTTATTTTACGTTATTTATGAAAGAAAATATTTTATTTGTTGGAAAAATTTTTAAAATAGTATTTCGTTAAAATTTTACTGAAAATTTGTTTCTGTTATATTTAATCTATTATTAAAAAATGAAATATCTTAAACTATTAAGAAAAGTACTCGGTTACAACTAAATGCAATTGATTTACTGCGTCTCGGTGAATCTAGTATTTGCAAAATGTATAAATTAAATTACGGTTCGTCCATTATGCATTCTATTGTTACGTAGATGTGCAAAAAAATTACATATGCAAGTATAATATGCAAATACGCTTCATTTGCTTATAACATTCTAAATAAAAGTGTGCCAAAATGGTGCGATTCAAATTTCTAACGACGGACATTGAACATTTAAATTTTGTTTACTTTGTTCTATTTAAATTACCATACCTTTTTAAGAAAATGTTATATCACGGGGAGGATATGCATTTTTAAATTTTTAATCTTATAAACAAGCGCAAATTTTATATCTTATGAATTATTGAGCGTTTCCTGTCGTGTGTACCATATTCGATACACGCTGAATCTGATTTCTACGCGAAATGATATTTTTCTTATCAATGGATAAAAAGATAAATAAATAACTTATTGATACACAAATAGAAAATTTAGGTAAATTTTGCAGATTTATTAAACCTCATAGCGTGTACAGTTTTCAATTTTCACTTTGTTAATAATTACTAAACAAAGCTGCTTCTCATTCGATTAAAATTTTTAATACTATTTTAAATCTATTAAAAAATATTTTCTTTATCAGAGAAGATGGAGAATTATTATTTATTTATTTCATAATTTTTCAGCCTCGCTATTGTTGAAAATTAAATTAAACTTTTTCTTAGTTCGATTAAAAAAATCTATTTGCAATCTAATGTTGGCAAACTTATTTTATCGTTCAAAAAAACGTGTTCCCTTTCCTAACGATACTAGGCGAGGGAAAATTAACGCGCGTTTAACGGTATAAAGGACTTTGTACCAATCGGACGATCCGACATCGTCACCGTTGAAAAAACTCGGTTTCTCTCATTCAACAATCACGATATCGAACAAAACATTGCTTTGTTATGGTGATTATTTTAGATCTGAAAATAATAAGATCGAATAATAGGAAGTATAGATTTTTGAAACGAACGTTAACAAAAATATCAATTCTAACCTAGAATTAATTAAATCGTAGATAGTGTTTCGAAATACTCGGAAAATTAATAAATATTTTTAGTCAAATAATACAATTAATAACAATACAAATAATACATTAAATAACAACTTGGCAGTAATTAAAATTAGCGTCGTTAATGTTTATCGATGCTTCTTTCCTAACAACAACAAAAAAATAAAACTATTAATTCTATTTAAGAATTGTAAAAGTCGCGATAGTTCGATAAAAATATGCCGATCATTTTATAGATAAATTTCGAGTTCAATGGTCGAGCAATATTTTATTTTAGATAGTAAGTGTTCGTTTGAATTTAGTGTAATTTATAATTAAAAAATAGAGATAGGAAATTGGTAGAAAAAAATTAGCTTTTTTGGTAAATAACGGACAGAAACGATAAAACCTCGAGTTTTTTTTTTTTTTTGTGGTATTTAAATTGTAGAACAAAATAGAGGGTTAAAGGTGAACAGGTTTATCTGCCAGACTGAAAAAAATACGCGGTTTCTGATATAATTTATGTAGATATTTCGTGGCATTGGTGTTTGACGCAATCGCTGTGGCTCCGTTTAAATATGTATAGCACCTTTTTGTAATTTAATAAATACATATACGCGCCGAGCGGCTTTTTTTCGCGCGGACAGAGTCCAACACAATTACAGAAACCGTATGTTCGCTAATACGCGGACAAACATTTTCCATCCATTTTCCACGAAAACAAGCACGCGTATGTATAATTTAAGAGCCGCACTTTTCAACGGAAATATTGTTTTTTTTCTTAAAACGAGTAAAATCTGACTGGAAATTTTGTAAATTTTTCCGCGAAAACTAAATCGAAAGGATTGCCTATTTCCAATATTCTATACATTTAAAGATACTTAAATATAAACAATTACATTTAAAAATGCTACAAACAAACTTAAACATATTATTACACAATTTTTTTTTTTAAACCTCTTTACACTCTTGGCCACACATGTGAACGTTTAATTGTTTTTTTTTTATAATTATAGTAACTGTCAATAATAAATAGACCAGAAAAGAAAGAAAAATTCGTCCCTGAATAATAGAATTTGAAACGATGAACTTGAACTTGAATTTGAAAAAGAATCTTTTAGTGTAAATTGATGTTTATAGTAGTAGCGAGAATAGAGGATAGAGAATTGATAAAATGTATACGTTTGACCAGTTATAAGAGAAGTGTTTCGAAAACAATGTAATTTCTATCCTATACTAGCTATTTTTATTTGTCGATTGGCTTCAAGGCCCACTCAAAAGGCAACTTTGTTACATTTATTCCATTCTACGCCGGGCAAAAGAAAATCTTTCGTACAAAGCTCCGTATTAAAAAGATATTTAATAAAATTAAATATTTCTTTTTGGAAATTTACGATCGATATATGTATTTCGATAATAATCCATTTAAGAAATGTTCGAAACAAAAATTTATTTTTAAATCTGTTCATTTTACATTTCCTAAGCGTTTTCAATGTCATTTAAAAGTCAACTTTTTTTAATTTTTTTTTTTCCAAACGGAAACGTGTATTACTATTCACGAATTCTCATTCTATAGAAGAAAAAGAAAAATTTGTTGAAATCATTTCTTCATTACACTTCGCGTTAAAAGAATATTTTGCGCATGAATGTGTTAAATTTTTCGTTTCGAAAGTATTTATTAAAGTGATGCATACAATTAAACGTTAAAAAATTAACAGACTAGCCAGAAATGTCTACTTGTAATTTATAGTTTGCTAATAAATTAATATCACGGTTTTCTAATGTTAACAAATCTATATTGCTCAAGTTTGAAGTAAAATTATTATTTTGGCTTATTTGTAGCGAAGTTTGTTATAAGTGGAAGGTAATGTTAACGTAAGCGCAAAAGAAATTAAAGAAACCTAAACTTTTAACGAAAGCGATGATTGTTGCTTTCTAGAATTTATGTGGAGATCCGTCAGGTGGTGTAGAGGTCGCGAACCTAACGATTTATTATGCGATGAGTCGACCACCTGTCGTTCTTCGTTTATTCCACAAACGTAACGACATGTCGCATTATCGAAAAATAGTACACTCGATTTACTTATGCTTGAAAAGTTCCGTCGAACCGGTAATCACAGTCAATCTTCTTCACAGACCCCCTAAAAATTTACCAAATTGCAAATAACAAATTCTTTTTATTATTTTAAAATTTTAACTATTTAAACTATAAAATAGTATACTTTCTCCGTTTGTTTTATTATGATTTATTTGTAGGAATTCGTGATTCAAAAATAAATTTAATAGATACAGGCTGTTGGTGGTTAACAAATATATTTTGTTTAAGGTTAAAAAGACAGAAATTATTTCCTGATAAATTAAATTAAAATATTTTATACCATTTTTCAATAATCTTAAAATAAAATAAAATTTTAATATTTAATGTATTATGAATATAATATTTTATTTTGATCATTTGAAACATGATACAGAATACTGTTCTTTTGTTTAATAAATATTAGTTTACAAGAGTTAAAGAGATAAAGACCTGTTAGTATATTAAATATGATAGAAATGTTTTTCAGTAACGTTCGATTAAAATAATAATCGAATAACGAATAAGATTCCATTCTTCCTTATTCGAATGATGATTTATCGAAGTAAATGAGCGTTGGACAGAAGTTCATTTCGAATAACGAATAAAACCAATTTATTCGTAACTCACGACTAGTGAATAAATTGATCTTATTCGTTGGCTTTCATTTGTTCTTTGAATTATTGATTATACATGAATCTGTAGCGATCTGTTCAATCAAAATTTGATTAAATAGAACTTAATATTTGCAAATTGTATAAATTAAATTACGGTGCTTTCATTATGCATTCTACTGTTACGTAGAACTGCAAAAAAATTACATATGCAAGTACAATATTCAAATACGCTTCATTTGCTTATAACATTCTAAAGAAAAGTGTTTCAAAATGATGCGACTAAAATTTCTAACGACGGACATTGAACATTTAAATTTTGTTTAATTTGTTATTTAAATTACCGTACCTTTTTAAAAAACGTTATATCAGGAAGTGAATATGCATTTTTACATTTTTAATCTTACAAACAAGTGCAAATTTTATTTCTTATGAATTATTTAGCGTTTCCTGTCGTGTGTACCATATTCGGTACACGCTGAAACTGATTTCTACGCCAAATGATATTTTTCTTATTAAGGGATATAAAAGGTAAATAAATAAATTGTTAATACACAAATAGGAAAAATAGGTAAATTTTGCAGATTTATTGAACCCACGTAACTCACGAATAACGAATAAATCGATCTTAGTCGTTGCCTTTCGGTTGTTCTTTGAATTGTTGGTTATTCATGAATCTATAATGATTTGTTTAAGCAAAAAAGGTAAATAAATATTAATACACAGATAGAAAAAATAGGTAAATTTTTTAGATTTATTGAACCCACGTAACCCACGAATAACGAATAAATTGATCTTAGTCGTTGCCTTTCGGTTGTTCTTTGAATTGTTGGTTATTCATGAATTTATGATGATTTGTTTAAGCAAAAAGGGTAAATAAATAATTTATTAATACACAGATAAAAAAAATAGGTAAATTTTGCAGATTTATTGAACCCACGTAACTCACGAATAACGAATAAATCGATCTTAGTCGTTGCCTTTCGGTTGTTCTTTGAATTGTTGGTTATTCATGAATCTATAATGATTTGTTTAAGAAAAAAAGGTAAATAAATATTAATACACAGATAGAAAAAATAGGGAAACTTTTTAGATTTATTGAACCCACGTAACTCACGAATAACGAATAAATCGATCTTAGTCGTTGCCTTTCGGTTGTTCTTTGAATTGTTGGTTATTCATGAATCTATAATGATTTGTTTAAGCAAAAAAGGTAAATAAATATTAATACACAGATAGAAAAAATAGGGAAACTTTTTAGATTTATTGAACCCACGTAACTCACGAATAACGAATAAATTGATCTTAGTCGTTGCCTTTCGGTTGTTCTTTGAATTGTTGGTTATTCATGAATCTATAATGATTTGTTTAAGCAAAAAAGGTAAATAAATATTAATACACAGATAGAAAAAATAGGTAAATTTTTTAGATTTATTGAACCTACGTAACTCACGAATAACGAATAAATTCATGGATCTATAGCGATCTGTTTAAGGAAAATTCTGGTTTATTCGACACCGCGAGAATTACAGGAATAACGAGAAATTACGCGTAACGTTTTAAATCTATATTTTAAATACTCGTTGAAAACGTTTTTCCGTCATATAAAAGTCCAATCCCGACGATCGTCAATCCGCCGTGTCAGTTTCTTTTTATTCTATGCTCGCTGTTAATGGAGTCGTCCGGGTAGCATTTGTATTTGTCTGAATTTCTGATGCCATTAGTCGTCAATTACACTCGGGCGTCGCTTTTATTCTCAGATCCTGTTCTTGGTTCGTCTTACCGAGCATCTGTACCAGAACAGAACCACTTTCTTCATATAATATTCGCGATTATATTTGCCGGTTGTGCAACAACATTGCAAGGTTAATGAATTTCTTTCGTAATGATTTCTAATAACGACGCTTGCGAAATCATTTTCTTTCGACCGTTTCTACTCGTAGCAATTCGAGATTTCAATTATTAATCAACTAATCTATTATATTTCTCCAGTTGTACAACAATCGTCGTAAATTAATGGTAAACAATACAATTTTTGCAAACATTGCAAATATTCTATCTAGCTGGCTGATTTTTGAAAATCAATTTATTGAATTGTATAATGAAATTAAAAAAAATCGATCGAAAGTGATTTAACTTTTATTCTGCTTGACAGAATTTTGCAGCCTTATCAAGTATTAATTTATTGCTCAATTTTGCATCGTTGCAGAATATTGTAAATAATATTTTGGAAAAATTTGAACGAAACTTGATTAATTTCACAATCGTAACAGAGAAATGAAAACAGTAATACATTCCAGCCAGGTAAACAATAAAAGTTATAATAATAATTGTAAAAATTAGGTGTTTAATATACCAGATCTCAATAGAGATAAATCATTCGATGAAAATCAATTTTCCTTGTTAATTTTCGTATTTCGGGAATATTTTTGCCAACAAATATCGTCGAAATCGAAACATAAACAACAATTCCGAATGTCATTACATCATTACGTAACTTATTTACCGTAATTTTTCATTCTCGTTCAATCTATTTACAATTTTTATATTTTTCTCTCAAAAATATGGCAGAAACTTTATAACTTTAAATATTAATCAAAAGGTTTAGGTTCCAAGTGTATACTTTTTCAAATTATTATTGAATAGTGTGTTTCTGTAATTTATTTATGTCGAGTCATGAAATAACATTAATCTTGTTAACGAAACCGAGTCAATTATCATTTAATTACGGTGTAATCTTAATCATAAATGTTTGAAGCGTATTGTAAATGATTAATTATATTTTAATTATCGCGTGATTACGTGCGATCATAGCGTGACCGAGTTATCGCGAATGAAAATACAAAAACCAATAAAAAAATGCAGTTCTTTCAAATATAATCTCGATTAATCATCGTATATAACAAATTCATATTTGTGCTATACTCTCTGAAGATCAGTTTTTATGTAATGTATAATGCAAAACGAAATGCAATTGACTTACATGTTACCTCGCATGATCTACCTTTCTGACGCGAAATTAAAGCAATTTTTACGAGAAACAACAAAACGAAAGATTCAACATTCGCGACGAGGCTGAATTTGTCGCTGAACGTGTTAACGTTTCAACAAATCAATAATTTCAGATTCGTTAAATTATTCAAACGTCCCATAAATTCCTCTTTGTACTTTGAACAAAAAAACAACGCGGCTTTTTGTGCTTTCTGACCGAAAGTCGACATCCTGAGAATATTTCTCGATAGTATGGACTTCCAGGAAGCAAGCATTGACTTTAAACCAAACAACCATTGTTTCGTTTAAGGAAATTTGTTACTTGACATTAGTCTATTCATGCAAATTATGTAAACGAATTCAAGGCTTTCGTGCCGTGAATAAGGATTCAAAACTGTTTCGCGTGTACGATAAATTGACATGACTCCTGCTCTAATGTTTCCGCTTCTTACAAACTCGGGATTACTTTTTTGCAGTTCTTTTTCTTTCCATTCGCGGATCGAAAAATTTCGAAACGCGTTTCGATTCAAATTTAAATCAATTGAAATTATTATTACCGTATTATTTATATTATTATAATATTACTTTAAGGCTCGTTTAGAAAAGAAAATATCTTTGTGCGACAATAATAATGTGGATTATAATAGTTCAAAACAAAATGATGCATTTGTATACAAAATAAATGTTGAAATTATCACAGTTTTTTTCATTATATTCGTACGTAATTATGAATTCCATGTACGATAAGCGAATAATTCCTATTAAATGAGGAATTATCGTGCATCTTTGTATTCCGTACAGTCGAATTAAAAACATTTTAACAATATTTTCGGAGAATGATTCTTCAGAGAATGCTAGACTTTCGAATGGAGGAAATTTAATTAGCACGAATCTGTAATTGTAAAGCGAAAGTCTAAAAACTTGTTAATTTTCTGGTTTTAGTAAGTTGGAAGTAGAGAGGTGAGGAAGGCCGTGTAACGTTTTATGGGAAAGAGACTAAAGAAGAATATTCCAAGATGAATAAGGTGGACTACATGGAGGTCACAGTACCAAATTATTCATACATTTTCAACTTCGAGGAAACTTTTAAGCACATGGACACGAGAATCTGGATGATAAATAACTGGACAAATGGTTTCTACTATTGTGCCATTTACATGATTATAGTGTTTGGTGGGCAGCGTTACATGTCGTCTAGACCAAAGTTTGAGCTAAGAGGCTTGCTTGCACTGTGGAGCACACTGCTTGCAACATTTTCCATTATTGGATTTACTAGAACAGCGCCAGAATTGCTCCATGTGCTAAGGCATTATGGGTTTCACCATAGTATTTGTATACCTAGGTAATTCCACCTCTTTTTTTTCCTCCCCCCAATCCAAATAATTTTGAGTCGATGCATCGTTTCCTATTTTACAAATATTTATAAAAAAAAAATTGATTTCATTATGTTTATACTCGAATCGTATACCCTGGCACAGTATATGCTAATGCTTTTACATTAATGGAAAAGTATCGTTTCACGCAAGAAATAGTTTTCTTTTTCTTTCTATTATATTGCTTTCTAACGTTTACACCTTACCTTCCTCTACTTTTCGTACCTTTTAATGATTTTTTCAAACAAACTTTGCGTCGATGCATTGTTTTCATATTTTACAAATATTTATAAAAAAAAATTGATTTTATTATGTTTATATTTGAATCGTATGCCCTGGCACAGTATGCTAATGCTTTTACATTAATGGAAAAGTATCGTTTCGCGAAAGAAATAGTTTTTTTTTCTATTATATTGCTTTCTAACGTTTACACCTTAGTTTCCCATACTTTTCATACCCTTTAATGAGTTTTTTTTAATGAATATATAATAGTCTGAGATACGATTCCGTTTAGATATATTTAGGTGTAATTAAAAGTTGTAACAAATTTTATATCGATGTCTTTCCCTTACATTTGTGTATTTATGATGTTCCGTTATTATCGTTCTGCATTATGTTTTTAGTATTCGTCGGCTTGTTTACTTGTCTGAATGAGACCATACTAAACGATTGTGTTCATATTCATTAATGACGAATGTTTTAAGTACACAGTTTAAAATACATTTTTGATGTTTTTCGATCATTCGAAGAGAATTTACTCTAGTAGTATTAATTTTTTGGCGAGGAAGTAAATTAATTCTGCTGGATTTGAGCGTTAAGTAGAAGAAATTGCAGAAGAAATTTTAATGGGGGGTTTTAGAGGTCAAAATAAGACGAAAATCATGAATACCAATTTGTTGATGGAAGCTCTGTTAAAAAGTTATTTACGTTCAAAGTTCCGCTCATACTGAATTTTTTTCTCGAAAATGCGCAGGATTTCGGGGGTATGTCTATTCATCAAAAATAATTGCAATCGACCCCCACACACGAAAATAATTTTTTCAGAACGATTTGAAATTTTTTTTCCCGTCGAAAAATTTCACACCTTCTCGAATTTTTTTCTAGAAAGTGGATAGGATTTCGAAGGTATGTCTATTCACCAAAAATGATTGTAATTGACCCCTGCAAACGAAAATAATTTTTCCAGAACGATTTGAAATTTTTTTTTCCATCGATAAATTTCACACATTCTCGAATTTTTTTCTCGAAAGTGGGTAGGATTTCAGGGGTTTGTGTATTCACCAATAATGATTGTAATTAACCCCCGCGCCCGAAAATAATTTTTTTAGAACGATTTGAAAAATTTTTTTTCGCCGAAAAATTTCACACCTTCTAGATTTTTTTTCTCGAAATTGGATAGGATTTCGAAGGTATGTGTATTCACCAATAATGATTGTAATCGACCCCCGCACTCGAAAATAATTTTTTCAGAACGATTTGAAATTTTTGAATTTAATTGTTAATAACTTTTTAACGAAGCCTCCATCAACAAATTGGTACTCTTGATTTTCGTCTTATTTTGGCCTCTAGAATGCCTCGTTAAAATGTTTCCAGTGGTGGCCGAATACCCTGTATTTTATACAGTTTCTTTTAATCGATAGTTTGTACCACTTAATTAAAATAGTAATTTAATACTTCGTAGAACTTTACCAAGAATCCCTTGCAATGTCTATAACATTCTACGATAAATTAAATCCTATTGCCAAATAAGAAACTCAATGGCGACCATCGTTACTAAATATGAACTACTATACTATCAAACAAATCCCATAATTTAGTGTTTTAGTGTTTTAAGTACAGTGGTGCACGGGATTTCGAGATTTCGAGTTTGGGCGGAATTTCGAAAGTTTTGGGATCTGAGATTCGACTCGGAATTCGAGATCTCGAAACTCGACTCGAATTCGAATTGACCTGTAATTGTCAGCGATCGAGCAGGATATGTGAGATTGTCTCGAGTTCATGTAGCTAATTAGAGAAGATTAAAAGACGGAAAGGAAATATGATAACAATTCAAAAATAAATTTGTATTTGCTATATTTAAAATTTGCAAGAAAGATTACTTCTCTTAATATTAATTTTGATTAGTATAATACGAGATGCTTAAAACTTACGATTGGTAAAACTTAAAATTGAAATAAGAAGATGTTGAATGATTAAAAACACATTCCATATAAAGTTTTACACAAAGCAAAATCAAATATTTTATTGACTATTGTCTTAAATTAGTATGCAAAAAATATAATTATTTTACATTTTTAAGCAATAGCCCTGTTCCCTTGTTACTGAGAATATTTCCAGCAGTTGAAAACAAACGTTTTTTTTTAATTATTGTAATTATATTTTCATCATTTTATAATATTAATTTTTCGTTTTTTTTTTTCTGAAAAATAAGACTATCTCTTTATTCTCTCGTGAAGCAAACGTTTCACTTTCTAGTGTCGATTCCGATCCTAATGCTAAAAAATAAACAATTTTAATGGGAGATTGACTGAGGCTTTATTAAAAAGTTATTAAAAAATTAAATCAAAAAATTTCGAATCATTCTGAAAAAATTATTTTTGGTTGAGGGGCTCAATTACAAGCATTTTTTGTCAATAGACATATCTCGAAATCCTACGCACTTACGAGAAAAAAATTCGAAGTGTGAAATTTTTGGGCAAAATTAAAAAATTCCAAATCGTTCTGGAAAAATTATTTTCGATTGCGGGGGTCAATTACAATCATTTTTAATCATTAGACATACCCTCGGAATCCTATCCAATTACGAGAAAAAAATTCAAGAAGATGGACATTTTCCGCGAAATCGAAAAATTTCAAATCGTTCTGGAATAATTATTTTCGGTTGCGGGGGTCAATTACAATAACTTTTGGTGAATGGACCTACCCCCGAAATCCTACTCACTTTCTAGAAAAAAATTCAGAACGGTCGGAACTTTAAACGTTAATAACTTTTAAACGAAGCCTTCATCAACAAATTAATATTCTTGATTTTCGTCTTCTTTTGGCCTCTAGAATCTCCCGTTAAAATTTTTCCCAGGTATCTTGAATCCTGAATCCAATCTCGGGTCCTGAAACTTTCGAGATTCCATCCAAACCGGAAGTACAGTAATGATTCTTAACATGAACCTCAGGCGTGATTCGTAAGTTGAATATTTCTATCCATTCCAATTTAGGGGGTGGTGGAGGGGCAGTGAAGTGTGAAATATGAAATTTAAAAAATGATACGAGCTGGGGTACAAAAACGATGATTTGTATAAAAGACAATACTCTTTTCTTCAGTTTCCAAACACTGGCCATCTGCAAAAGATAAAGCCAACTTCGAAGCTCAATAATATTACTATGCATAAATATCTGCTGTTGTTTAATTTCTTTCAAAGTTCATGTTAAAAATTGCTATTGTACAGAGATTTCTCTCGATCCCGTTTTGGAGTACGTTATAACGAGATTCCGGGACAATCTCCTCACACCTCCGCCAAGCAACGATTCCAAATGGCATCCATCGTAAAAGGCTTGATATCCAATTACATAGGAAGTGCTGATTTAAAACAAGATTGCAAAAATAGCTCGTATCCGTAAAGCTCGCTTATCAAATCAATAACAGTTTTATTTTTCTTTTCAGCTTCATAGAGAATAACTGCGTGTCTGGTTTTTGGACATGGATGTTCGTGCTATCGAAGCTTCCCGAGCTCGGCGACACGATCTTCATTGTGCTGAGAAAGCAGCCTCTCATCTTTCTACATTGGTATCACCATATAACAGTGCTTCTTTACTCGTGGTTCTCGTACGCGGAATACACAGCGTCTGCCAGGTGGTATATCGTAATGAACTACTTCGTTCACTCCATAATGTATTCGTATTACGCTTTGAAAGCTATGCGTTATAGGCCGCCTAAGTGGATCGCGATGTTGATCACGATGCTGCAGATAGCACAAATGGTAACTGGCTGCTTTATAAATATTAGAACGTACCAGTACTTGGAGACTGGTCAGACCGACTGCCACGTGTCGCGTATGAATGTGAGAATCAGCCTGCTGATATATTCCAGTTACTTTATTCTTTTCGCTAAATTCTTCCACGACTCCTATCTGGTCAGCAAGAGTAGCAAGAAACCGACCAAAAAGAATTACACCAACGGGACGTTGGAATACGACAAACTCAAGGCCAACTAAAAGCGCACTGACTAATTTTCCTCTATTTTTTTTCTCTCTCTCTCTTTTTTGGAAACATTTTCTAGAGACGGTTTTGCTCGTGATATTTCTCGAAAATGCTTTCCGAGTCATGATTTTTTTTTTTTTTTTTCTAAATATACAGTTTGGGAACGGTTTTTATGAAAAAACGGCGTCTTGAAAATGTATTCGCGAACTCGAAGTCACAAAAAGTTTTGCGTTAGGGGTGTGAGAGTGGGAACGCATTGTTCAAAGAATATAGCACACTGAATTTTACTGATAATATCGAATATTGCACACTGAATTTAGTATAATAAATTTAATGATAACCTATTTAACATATTTAATGTTAAATGTGTCGTCGACAGCGACGGAGAAGCTTTATTAGTGGCATTTCTGGATGGGAAATATTTGTTCGTTCTAGAAACAATTTCTAAAGAAGTTTCTCGACAACGTTTCGTTTTTTTTTTTTTTTTTTTGTTTCCTTTGGGTAATATTTCACGGAGTTTAGAGTTTATTGTATAAATCTTTGGTAGAACGAGGATAGTAAGGAGCGTAATTATTTAAATATATATGATACGTTGGCGTGGATGGGTTATTTAACGACGGAATTATTTAATAATCATGGTATATGTTGACCATAGCGCATTTAACAGTAAATATGATATATTTTCTACTAAATTTATGAATATTTGACGTATTTATAATGGTACGTAACACGGAGATGAACAAAAAAAAACATGGTCGATTATGATAAGGAATGTATGGCATTTTGTACAAGTGTAATGTAAATGATGCTCCGAAATATGTATCGTGATCTAATAGAAATCTTTCTTTACACCGGTTTGCTTGAAACTCTTTTTTCTTCTAGTATAAAGCGTACTAGAGGTTTTTTTTTTTTTTGTTTTTTTTTTTACACCGGTAATGTTTAAACATCGATACGGTGGAGTCGCATTATATAACCGGAGGAAGCTTAAATTATCAAGAAATGGTGAAACAACGCGACTGAACGTATTAGTAAATAGTAGGAAAGAAAAAGACCATTCCGAAGCCTCGTACTAGTGAAAATAAAATTACAAAGTTGCATTCGTCGAGACCAAAAACAAAAAAAATTACAAAAGATCAGGGTCTACCGAAATTTCATTAAACCTAAAAAAAAAAAAACTAGTAAAGCGGTGGACTCAAGATTAAAATTATAATCCTCTGAAAAGAAAAAAAAAAAGAAATTTTTTTATTTACTATTTCCTATCACGATCATTTTATTATACCACCAATTTAATTGCGAATATATTCTTTTCCCTATGAATTTTTTGTATTGAAATTTGTATCGTGAAATAATTTGTTTGCCTTTTCGCGGTAAAACGCGTCAGAAAGAATTGAACGAGGCTTTGACGAATGGGAGAGAGTGGTTTTCTAGAGAAGATCGTGAATTGCAAAGACTTTGAGAGCCTAGAAGTTTTCAGTGAAAACATAAAATTTAACGGAAGAAAATATTCGAGGAGCGTGTAGTTTCTCGTTTTCTTTTAGTCGAACGAATTAGTAATTTTTGCGGAGCTGGGCGTAAAACTGACCTATTCTAGTCGTACGGTCAGGGTGGGAGCATTTATTAGCTAAAAAGACGGGAGTGTTATTCGAACGTGCTTAAATGTTTAAAACGTTTGTCCACGCCGCTGATCGATGCACACTTTCGTACCGTAAATTATCTACCTTCCTCTTTTTCTTTTCTTTTTTTTTTTTTTATGATATTATAAACATGACTTTCGATTGGACGTAGAGTTTCATTTAATAAAAATTTCCGGATTCGCACAAATATAGAATTTCGATGCCAGTTTACTAATGTATATATCTATACTCGTAATCGTAACTTAAAATATTGTTTACGAATAGTTCCTTTATTTAATTCAGACACGATTGATCCTACTCTTTCCCTCGACTTAGTTTTGTTTTAACAAACACCTTCGAAAAATTTGAATTCTATTGGGAGGATAGCAGGGTCAATTGTTGTAAATAATTATGCTGTTTTGATAACGGGTATCCTATTTGTATGAAACAGGAAATATTACCGATCCGAAAAAACCTTTTCTTGTTCGTTCAAAGTTCGATAAAATTTAGTCCAACGGAAGACCATAATATTTAATTTATCAGGAAACAACCGATACGTTAGATCCAAACAATTCGATTGCTTCGATCTGTCTATTTATCTGATTAGATAATATTAATTATTATAATGATGTCATCCGAGTGTGCGTGTTTCAATTAGTGCGGTGGTTCTTAACCTGGGACTTCACAGAACTTGCACATAGCGATTTTTTAATACTTAGTATTGTCGCGTACATTGTGCCTAAAAAAACATCTAGTTTATTCAGTACTTTGAAACGACGATATTAGAGTATAATGGTTCTTTCGATGTTCTTAACACTGGGTCTTGTACAAAGATATTACGATCTATCGATCCTCCTTTTTAAGAAATGAATTTTGTAGAAGCTACGAGAGCTCTTAAATATATTTTTTTTTTATTTCGATGATATTGGATAAACGATCTTTCACTGTTTGATATGAGTTGTATCTAAGATCGAGACCTAATCAAAGATAAATTTGTCGATCTTAGAGCCAAAGGTCATGTTGGATTTACTCTCTGATATAAATCTCAGTTAAGAACTTTCAGATCAAAAATTGACTATAATTAGATCTAAGAAACGAGTTACATTGCACCTACGATCCTTTCCTGTACAATTTAAGTTTCACCAGAAGATAAACTCATTGATTTTAGATCCAAAAATTAGCTGAAAATCAATGACGTTGGATTCACGATCCTTCCCTGTCCGATATCGATCCAAACTAAAATTGGGGCCCAGCCAAAGATAGGACTCGTTGATCTTAGATCAAAAAATTTACTAGAATCGAAACTAAAAAAATCTCAGAGGATTTTGATGTTCCTCTTAAGCTTATCCGTGCAAGTTTATGGTCGAAAAACGCTGTACGAAAGGGTCCACGATCTCCTATTAGACTGCCATAAGGGGCTCCGTGGGAAGAAAGGTTGAGAATCACCGATTTAGTGGATAAGAATTGAACGTTCAATTCCAAATACTATCCTCGAAGAGAAGTCTTTAGAATAAATGAAAGAAAATAAAAAACAAACGATTTTATAGGCAATCCTTTCTAGCAATGAATTTATAATTCTTATTGTAAATTGATTGTAAAGCGCGGGGAAGTACGAAGATACGTAATAAAACGAGACAAATAAAAGAAAATGTGTAATTATAGTCAGTAAAAAGTATTTGCAATAAACTAAGATCCTTTCTTTTACGTTTTATTCTGTTATTACCTTTTAGTGTTCAAATTAATATCACTAAAATGGTACTAGATAGAATAAACAATATGCATTTTATATTTACTGTAAAAATTGTCAATAAATCACAGTAATCCCATTATGATACCATACTAAAAAAATGATACATATACAGGTTTTCATTCCATGGAGCAAAATATTTTAAATTATCACTCCAAACACCATTCTTTTTACGAAATAAAATAACATAAAAATTTTAGGTTCCAAGAGATAAATTCGAAAAATTACAATAATTCAATTTAGCACTGGACGTATTATAATGTTAATATTAAAAAATATTTTCAAACATTCCATTTGATCTAGCTTTGCTTAATTTCATGTAAAAGAAACTGTTAATTTCAAGTGTTTCATTTTCTGCATTTCACACTGAAAGCGAGAATGCAATGGAAATTATATTCCATTTGCAAGCTTTAACAATTTTTTTTTTTTTCCCATTCAACGTCCTTCTGTTGGAAACAATTATTGCAAATACTTAATTTTCTTTAACATATCAGTCTCGTTGTCAAGGACTTTCCTTAGTCACGATTTAATAATTAGTTGCATTTTCTGTTGCTACTAATTTATTACAAATGATTAGTTAATCCAGTGTTACTATTCCCAACGAGGAAACGAAATAAATTTGCAAGTGAAATTGGCATTTGTACAGTTAGAATAATAATTAAGAGCTAATTATTATGTTATGCCAGTAGAATTGTAACTGAGTCATTCCATCGCAAATCGATCACCTTTTTTTTCTTTGATGTCTGGAATTGTATTTAAAATTTAACATGACATAATCCATACGACATTAGAGATAATCTAAGTCTATTGACCGTAATAATTTTCATCGACGAAAAAATTTATTTAGAAAGGCCAATTTTCATTTGATAAATTAAAATAAAATAAAATAAATAACCCATTTTCATCAACGTTGTAAACTTCAGAGGCCTGTATTTATTAAACAAATTTGAAATTAATAGAATAATGACTTAAATTATCTTTAATGTCGTATGGACTATATCATATTTAATTTTGAAGAAAATCCCAGACATCAAAGAAAAAAAGTGAATCGATTCGACGTGAAATGGACCCACCAATTTGAGGGTGAAATTTTTGTGGGATACGAAAACTAGTTTTCTAGAAGATAAACGAATAAAGACGAATCTAGTTGACTAAGAGTTTCTATTTTTTGTTCATAAGCAAAACATGTTCACCACTGTTATAAGTACAAATACAAACTACGAAGTTTCAACAATGTGCTTTGGGCACTCAAAATTTTTCAATTCCATTCGTGTATTCGGTTTTTCTACTTTAGTGCCCTCCAAACGAACGAAAAATATTTAATTTACTACAGAATATTACTATATTTCGAAGGTTATAAAACGTTTTCTTTTTTTTATTATTATGCGACCATTATAACTGGCTTTTATGATTATCTTGTGAATTGTATCAACCATTATTTGTATATTGTAATGTGTGGTAATTTTAGGGCACTCGTTGGTAGAGTCTAGCTTTTCCAATCATCCGTAAGTTATAAATTTTGAATAGGAACGAGGTTTACACGAAAGGGTACAAATTTTCTTATGTTTATAAATATTTTCTTAACTTTTCAATTGAATCGCGTATCGCAAGCGGAATTCTTACCAGCCATTAAACGCGAAACTAAGTTGAGCTTATTATTTATATAAATTCTGCTAAATTTGTACAATCGAACCTTTGAATATTTCTGTACGGACATATTATCAATACGAATTTGAATTCTTATTTCTTTGCACTAATAATAAATGTTACGTTTCTGAATACAACAATTATAAAAATTATTCACCCCAAACCTTTCCCTGTTCGAATTAACATTTCAATGTTTCTCAACACTGTTCCTACCAAAAGTGTCGAAAGAATTAAAATTTTAACATAAAATTATTTTCCAAATTTGGTTCTCTTCGATAACACGATGTTAAAAGTAACTGAATTCGTATTAATAATTTTAGTAATTATTCGGAATTATGGCCACCTTATCGATTTGGATGATATTGAAGTATGTTGTGGATATCAATATTCGGTTTTAGTTTTTGAGAGATTTGCAAACAATCGATTCTCTATCAAATTTAATTCTAATACCGTTAGTATTAATTTTAGTATGAAAGGGAGTAGGGCCCCATCGAGTTGTGGGGCCTAATCCTAGGGTTAGCCCCTCCAAATCCCCCTTGGCATCTAACTCAGGCCTAACTGGTTTTTTATATAATATGTGTTACAACATGTACACATTAAATTATCATAATTATCGCATATAGTCAAAAATTCAGATCACTTCTAGCGATTCGTACACTTTAAATGTACACCTTAAATGTGTTAATTCGTGATGACCTTCCATAATCTTGAATTTAACATTAAACGTCTCGGTAACCTAATTATAGCGCAGAGAAAAGAATGAAATAAAATTCCGTTGAAAAAATAAAGTAACTCGAGAACCTTCCAATTCTCCAGATTGTTTCAAATATTGCTCGATAATCTAGAACATTCATAACTTTTAAATATGTATTTCTATTCGAACAATCGTTTAGATCATGATACAATTTCCTTACACCTTGTTCCAGATCGATTCCCTATGTTGCGACTCCGAATCCTGTGTTCCGTTTCGATTGCCGCTAAAGGAAGTTCGTCGTTATTAATGTCGTCGTCGATGCACTCAATCATGCCAAATCTGGCCACACTGGTCCTGATCAGAGATGCCAGACGGAGCCCCGGGTGCACCGCGGACACCTCATGGTTAGAATAAAAATTGAATAGTTTCTTATGCTTTTTAAGGAGTTGTTATTAAAACAAATTCCTCACTACCATGATCAAAAATAAGTTGAATTTTTCATCTTGTTGAAACCCTTATTATCAATGAAAACGTATATTTTAAACTTTGTTGGACAACATGGTTTGTCAATAATTTTAACTGGTATGGTCATCTTGTACATTCACTGTTACGCTTTGTATGATCATCAGTTACCATTGTACTTCTTTTTATCACATACATTTTCCTCCAACAACATTCAAGTGTTAATTATGTGAAGAATGACATTCATTCCATTATTGCTAAATTAGTGCATCTAAAAAAGATTTTCTTAAACTTTGTTATTAATAATAGAATACACAAATGTATTACAATTATTATTGTGGAAAGCTGTTATTGTGTTAACCAAGTGTAATACAGACAATGTGTTACTTTACCATACTATGTTTTACCATGAAAAATACTTTTTACACCAAGCAAATTGCAACAATGTGGGGTTTTTTACAGACTGTATTTTCAACCTATTTTAACCATACATGAAAAGATCGAAAACATGTAGACGGGAGTCATAACATGCTATAGCAAAGACGAGAATCGTAACGCGTTGTAATAATTTTATTATATAAAATATATTGTGACGAAACGAAGAAATTCGTGTTTCGAATTTGCCGCGGTCGGAAATGTTGGCATCGATCGACGCACGTTAACCGGAAGCCATTGTATAGCAGCGAACCTGTTGGCGGCTTTTCCAGTTAAAATTTCTTTTCTGAGGGTACCTTCAGATACCTTGTTATATTAACCGAACATCATTGGACTGGTATTCGTTTTTTTCGGGCACAAAGACCACGTTTATGTGAATTCTACTTACCGGTACAAATCATCCGGGTATTCATAACAGGATTTGTTCGCCTCTTCATCGAGGGCCCAGTATCTGTGACAGAAAATACGTAGTTATGGGCGTGGATGTGGAAGTTATCTCTCCTGGAGACGGTAATTATTCTGTGCACGATATTCCGCAGTCTTTCACTTTTCTTATACGTTTGTTGCTCCTCTCTTTCCGATTCGAGTACCGCCTATCTCTTTTCTATCTTATTTCGTTCGGATCTCATTAATCATGTTGCAATTAAAATATGCCGTGAAGTCGTGTCGACGCGATTTATTTACAACCTAAAATTCTATGAAAAGCGTGCTTCGTTTATGATCCCATTCCAAATAAGGTGATTTCGATTGTTAGTTAATACGTTCGACGAATGTACAAGTTCTTACAAAATTAGTACGTTTTATGTGTAATGCAATTTTTCTCTTAATCATGTTTCGTGTGTTCAGGTCAGACATATCCGAAAAGGGGACAGACTGTAATTGTCCATTATACAGGTAAACGTGTTTAATTGCATTTCCGAATCAAGTTGTATATTTAAAGTATGTTGTATATAAATTTGTTATACATTTTATACAAAATTTTGTTATACATTCGTATACGATCTTATTAAATATTAATTATTTTGTGTAAAATATTGTATGGAATTGTGGACTGTTCGATGTTCACACTTTTGTTGAGATCAATGGTTATATAAATTTAGATTTGAAATTATTATAAAAGGTCGAATACAGAAAAATTTTCTCAAAATAGTCTACTTAAGGTTAAATATAAAATATTCATTTTATCGAACAAAAGTTTTTGGTCTTCAAAAGATAATTGAAAGTAGGTACTTTTTAGTATATGTACTGCCGAAGCAAGTACTGAAAGTAGGTACTTATTTCATACGTAACTTATTGCTTATCAAAAAATTTAAAAACATATCGTAAAGCATAAAATTATGTAATAGTTCGAATAATAATATTTTGACTTCATTAGCAGTACTATATCCATTTGCGTAAGCCACAATAAAGTCAATACAAAAAACAATTATAAATAAATAATAAAACTATGAAACATGATCATCAAGTATCTTTATTTATCGTAACAATAGCAAATGAAACATATTTGTGATCAAACTAACACAGAAATAGCAGAGAATAACAGAAAAATTTGTTAATTTATTTAGGCTAAAACTAAACGTAACATATATATTTTCAAACGTCTGGATTAATTTGAATCAACGGAGAAATAGATTATAGACAAGTTCAAATATACTTAGGTATAAACGTTAAGCGGTTAATAAACTGGCAAATTATAATTTATATAGAGATTTTATCATTATAGAATCGTTTGCTAGGAAATTTAAAGTTATTTACATTAATTATCTGATAGGTACCTTCCTGAATGGGAAAAAATTCGACTCTAGCAGAGACCGTGGGATGCCATTTAAATTCAGAATAGGTAAAGGAGAAGTTATTAAAGGGTGGGACCAAGGTGTTGCTCAAATGTGTGTCGGAGAACGTGCTAAGTTAACTTGCTCACCAGACTTTGCCTATGGTCTCAGAGGACATCCTGGAGTATATCCTTTAATACGAAGTAGAAATTTACAGTATTATTAATTATAGTAACAAGTCTGCTTAAAAAGAAAAGACTGCGTAAAGAACAAATTTTAGCAGTAGGTATTAAATGAATATTAAAATTTTTATTTTTGTTGAAGTTTGATTGAAACATAATATATTTCATTGTGTTATATAAGATAGATTATTCTTAATAGTCTAGAGAATGTTCGCGTTGCTGCTGTTTCCATGTCAAAATGTGCATTTTGCATGCTTTTTAAAATTTTGCATTGGGCGGGTATTAGTATTAAATCAGCATCCATTGAATTTTTTTTAATTTACATTTGTTTTATTAACACGTTATAAAATGGCTGAAAATTCTGAATTATAAGAATTTATATCTTAATAAAAAATAACTAAACGCGAAGAAATTAATCCTTATAAAATCGTTTCGATTTAATAATTTTATTAATGACATAAATTGTACTGTTGTATTATCCTTGACAAAGACACACTATTCCACCAGACAGTGTTCTTATCTTTGATGTGGAGTTGTTGAAGGTGGAGACTTGAAGAATGTTTCAGGATATACCAAATTGACTACACACATCAGAACCACTGATAATTAAACGCTTCAAATTGCATTATATTAAGTAGTCATTGCATAAGTGGTATGTCTCGCATACTAATATTAATTCGATTGCTCATACGAAACGAAAAACTTTTAAGATATCAATTCTGTGTTCCACTGTTGCACAATTATATAAACTATAAATTACAATTGTACACAAACGTCGAATGATCAATCGGGTGTGGAATTTAAGAACACTTTTTGCATACTTTTACTACTAATATGATCACCGTATACGTTACATAATTTGATGATAATCGACTGCATTTCTACTATGAGTAATTGAATTAAATAAATCTTAAAGTATTTGATATATAATCCGATGCCTGTGTTCACTCCAATTACTTAGTACTTGGTAAACAATCACCTGGATATTTTGTTCAAAATCTTTCAATAACGCAATGAAGAGTAATTGTACTGATATTGTAATAGTATGAACCTTTACACGAAAAAATTCAATAAAAAATTGTCTTGTCACAAAGCGTGTGTTTATTAACCTACAGTCAACAGTTTTGCATTATAATTATGATTTTCTAACTTTTGATTGTATACATGTTCAAAAAGGAACGTGGCAGGTAAAATTAAGAAGTGAAAGACATGATTTTAAATAAGCTGAACATGTTTTGGATACAACTTATACAAATACTTTAACTCTCTCATAATGCGAATATTTTCTCATTTATAAGTTATTCCTACCTATAATATCGATACATTTTTATACAATTCATACCAGTGGTGTGCAAACGATAAAACCAATTTAGAAATATGTTATTTGGCTTATCAGTAGCATGACACCAACATTAAACTATATCAGTGTTAGATATTATAGATCGTATTGCGACACAAATTGCACACCACTAGTTTACATGATGTCACGAATTATTCATTGTATTCTCTGACTTATTTAAAGCATTTTTACAAATACAATATGCAACAAGTTTTATCAAAATGAAAGTAATACTAATTACCTATTACTGGAAGTAAGCGATAACAATTTTTACATAAATTAAAAACGCATACGTATACCTATATACATATGTATAACCGAACGTACATAATATAAATAAATATTACGATCCATTATTCGAGCCATAAAAATGCACTATATATAAAAACATTTTTCTTTACATATCTTCATGAGAAATATATAAATAAATTAACGCAATTATAATTGACATTTGTCTAACATAACATAAAACTTATTAGTTCTTTCGCTGCTGCGTGTGCTTACCTAATTCTAAAAGCGTTTACTCTCACTGTACACAGAAAACAATACTACGTAATGTTACCTCGTATGTATTGTCGATAACAACATTTTATCAATTAAATATAAAGATAAAATAGCGAATTAAATACAATTCATCGCTATATTTATACGTTCTTTGCAATTTGAGCGTCACTTGTGCACATTTAGCAGCGAAAGGATTAACACTGTTACAAAAATATGTTATTTTAATAAACAAACAACTCGGGAAAGTGTATTTCGTAAGCTGGTGGTGCTTGATTAGGTTTGGCATCTGTTGGCGGTCCGCCTGGTTGAGTTGTATTACGTGGATCGACGGCCAACGTATTAAATATTTCTGATAATTTACTTTGAAGAACGTCATGCTGTAAAGTTATCCACAATATTAAAACTTATCTTTGTATTTTCCCCAGTCAGCAATTTATATTTTTTGTACCTTCGGTTGTGTTTTTGACACCAAATCTTGGAATGGTGCGTTTCTAAAGAAGTGCGACAATTGTAATCGCTTTTCTCCTTCCACCGCGTGATTACTATTATTTTCTGTTAGAATTCGTTTCATACTTTCGAATGTTAACTCCTCTCCTAGCAATTTCTATAAAATATGAGCATTAAAAAAATTAATAAAATTATACATAGCTATTGAATATTTATAAGGCCTCAGTTATAACAGAGCTAAAAAGTTGTGTTGATATAGCGCCCAATTGAATTTTTTTTTGGTTTAATCTAAATTAAAATTATAAATAAAAAATGTACCTTCTGTACGCCAGGAGATGAGCCACCACTGTCCAATTCCGTAGCACCAGAATTAATATCTGCTAATGAATTTCGACCGGCACTATCGACCCACGAATGTCTGAAAATGTTATGTTGATACTGCTAATTTAATATCAAAACTTTATGTAATGTTATGAGAAGAGAACACGTTAAAATATTGTTATTTTTACCGATGTTGTAACGAAGTACTGCTATAACCAGATCCCTGTTGCAGCTTCCCACTGTCCAGACCAGCTCCTTTCAAACATTCGCTCAGAACAGCTTGATCAACTAAAAGAACTGGAGCTAATCTAGAAGATAAACCGGGATCATACTGAGATTGCAAATCAGGTAACAGATGTGGTGCCTCTTTCCGCCGTATTTCTACAATCTTGAAACGTATAAATTAAAGACATAATACATTATTATAATATACTGATACATTGAGTAGATTACAACTTACTTTGTTTGCATAATCCATGAGCGACGTAATGTTACAAACGTAAGATATCAATACTAGCAAACTGATGACAATTGTGTGCAAGTTGAATTTTAGCGAAACGCTAATTTGACCACTTGTTAGAGCCAAATCTTGAAGACTCAGCACTAATCTTAGTAGCTCTAATATCGTTTCCTCGGAAGCCAATTCTACAGCAAGTAGTGCCAACGTTGTGTATATAGATTCCACATTTTCTACCGTGTTACTTGCCAATTCCAACGACTCATAAAGCGCCAAATAGATTTCAGAGCCATGTTTCCGAATAAAGATCACATCTGGTCTGGATGCTTTTTCAATAGTAAGATCAAGTGGCGCCACGTTTACTCTATTTAAAAGAATACAGTCATGAGTAGTAAAAATTATAAAAATTGATTAACGATAACTTACGTAGGTTTTGCAAGTTTCCTAATATTTTGATGTCTGTCAATTAAGGTATGGAAGATCTTTTGTACTAAAAGTCGCATCTCAGCGTCTGCTGCCAGCGACATCCTTAATAATGGTTCCAAGAAACTTGGCGGGAATGTTGTATTTAAATGTATAGTTTGATATTTTGTGCCGACCTAAAGACAATGAAAAATTTATTTTATAATTATACTCCGCCCGCATTAAAGAAGTAAACAAGACATAAATTACCTTTAAAAGAGATTTTAAAAGAATACTTTGAAGTAACACATCTCCTTTTCCAACCGAGACTATACGATCCGGTTGACTGTATGGAACCTTACTCATGATAAACATCATAATTTCTATTTTCTGGTAATCTGGAAGATGGTTTGCAAATTCCCCAAGAGCATTAATAAGCGCTTCTTGATACAACTGTTCGTCGCTACTAGATGGTTGGTTTCTTGTTACGCTAACTCGGAGGTGAGACAGTAGAGAATTTATTATTTCCAGAACGGATGGACCTTAAAAATTATTTCATTTTTAATAACGTTGCGATTTAACGCTATAATTTCTGAGTGAAAGTGTTAGTGAAACTAATTTCTTTTCTATACACTAAACATACCAACACTTTCACCAGCTGCAATTGAAATAATTTTTGATAAGGTATCCGCAATACTAGTTCGAATTTTTGCGGACGATTTCGAATGATCATCGAGATGCGTCATTAATGCTTCCACAACTGTATAAGAATATTGTGACTAAAAAGAAAGTATTAATATCTTCGTACATTCATTAATTATTGTCTATTCATAGTTCATTGATCTTTCACTAACCTGAATGGAAAACATAATTATCCTAAATGTATGAATAGCAAAATAATTAGGAACCCATAATTGATGATTGTCTAAGTGCCTGGAAATAATTTTTATATTTTATAACTCAAGGTAATAGTTTATGACTTTTATTCGTAAACATTGTCAAACCTTAAAACTGGTCTAATAACACATCGGATATGTCCGAACGATGCACGCCCAACAAGTTCTCGCATACAAGTTTCCGCAAATTGTGGTGGATCAGTCCGCTCTTCGGTCGGGCTGTCCGGTGTTGCATCTTCTTTACTCGAATATCTATTAGAACAGAATTATGGATGTAGAAAAAATCAAGTACATTGCACACATATGCCAGCTTGTTTATATACCAATGTCTCTTCGATACATTACCTCGAATTTTGCATATTATATAGCAATGATGGAACGATCTTATCCATATGAACAGGTTCCCAAATGTTTTCCACTAAATCATCCGAAAGTGTTTTTCTTACGACCCCCTAGATGTAAACAGTTTAAATTGATTAATTGGTTTAAAACAAAAAGTATTGATACGAATAGAAGTTTTATTATGATACAAAAATTTGTCAATTTGCTACTTAGTGAGTATAAAAACCATGCCTGTAAGCCCTGAATTCCAGCAAGTCGGATTTGCTTGCGGATCGCAGGGTCATCGTTATTGGAGTGGCACATTGCAGAGTACTTTGATACAAAGAAATCGTAACGTGTGTGATAAGACGGCGTATCTTGCTCGATGTTGGCAAATCGGACAAACTGGAAGAAGCCAGCACTTTGTTCAACTGAATTCAAAGATGCCAAAGATACGATTATTTTTTATATCAATGGTAGATAATTGTCGCGTACGATAAAAAAAAAATGAAAAATACGTTATACCGTGACTTTTAAGTTCAACGATCGAGCGTCAATATCTAACATCGTTTGTTAAAACTTACAGATTGCGTTGCCAATATTTGTAGCTGAGGATCAGTGGATTCCAATAATTTTTGTATCATTTTTAAAAAGCTTTCGACAAATAAATTCAATGTTTGGGCGTGGCATGCTAGTAAAAGCTGATCCATCGCTTCCATAGCGATTACCACGAATCCATTTCTTCTCCTGTTGATTCACACGCATGATTTAAAATTTTACATTTAAAAGCAGAAAAAATATCTAGGATATCTCGATGGTGAAGCTGTTTACTGTAGTCTTGGATAGTAATTTATTGGTAACATGCAATTAATCGTATGACTAGCGCATAACATAAGTAAACAACAATTTACGATAATCGCATGAGCATGCAGTTTTTACAAATATCGGATTAATTATACGTGGTTCCCTGTTATTTAGATCGTATATGTTGTACCTGTAAATATCCCTGGAAGCCCTTTGAAATAAATATTCTCCGATTCTATCTAATTTTTCAGGGCTGCTTAACGAATAAAAGGTCAACTTCTCCATATTGTTTTTGACCAAGCCATCCTAATCGCAGAAAAATATCGTATTAGATATTATATTAAACAAAATATACAGTAATGTTTTTACTTAAAATTTGTATGTACTCATTTCGTTAATATAACAGGAACATATGGCAGAAGAATACTTTGAGAAAATTTATAGAAAACTGAAAGTCAATCTTGAAAATATTATTAATGTCTTACCAATATTTATCTAAAACGTTACAGAAATATAAAATGAAATTTTTATTATAACATATACATTTTTTATTTTATATTTAAAATTATGATTCGCGAATATAATTAAAGCGATGTTTTATGATTTTAATTACATACGGATGTCTTTAATATTATAAACAATCATGTTCAGTTTTAATGCTTTAACACGAGAATAAATACATGAGAGAACCAAGAATAGAGTTTCTCGTGATTATAATAAATATAAGAAACGTGTTTCGATCTGTCATTATTGTTGGCATTGCACTTAAATATATGAAAGTTCAATTGCATAACAAGAAACCCATTATCCTAGTTTTGTTTATTTGAAATAAATGTTCGAAGAATATCCAGTTATTAGCGATACAAAAATTAGAAAGCAACTCACTTGTGGGTTGACCGGAAAAATATTGTCGACGAGCCTCTTGTACCGTGGACGTAAAGCTGAACAGCACCAACAACAGCCTAGTAAAAATAGAAAGAAATGATTACAAACGAGAAACAAGGTTCCATAAATTGTCTAAAACGATTAACGGGCACTAGTGGGACATGGCCAAGAAAATAACGCTTCGCGGAAACACACGTTTCAATAGGAAATTAAAATATTTACCGAACATTTCGATAGGATCGAGTCACTACAGTAGAGACACGAAAGGACCTCGATCGACTGATATTATCAATAGAGTGCAATTTTGAGCCACTAGAAAAATCACTGGACGATTAGTAGCATGACATTTTTATTTTATCCACCGAGCAACGGTAAGTTATTTATAAATCATCGTGATAATTGAGCGAATAGATCAAATTATGAACAAGATACGTTTACACGTGAATTTATATTCATTGTTAACGACGATAGAATTTTAATGCTGCGACAGGGTGAGTTTGATAATATTTATTCTGTTTCTATTGATTTCTAAAAATTAACACAGCAGCAGTGTAAAAACTACGTGATGGATGGCAGCACGATTCGTATTTTTGGACGAGCGAAATTACGTCTTTTAGCACAGATAGACCTAGGGCCATAGATGAGAAATAGGATAGATGGGGGCATACAGTAGAGCTTTCTGTTTCGCGACTTTGAAAGCTAAAAAGTGATTAGACTAAAGACCCCGTTGCTATTTTCGTGTCACACCCACTGTTATCGATTCAGAATCAAATAGAGGCTAGCGCGTTCAGCGGTAAGAATTGAAACATTCATTTTCATAGTATCGTAATACGATAATATTGGAATTGGAAATTTTTAACAATAGAGTAGCACAGACGAGGTATACGAGTAGGCCTTTCACCTAATGTATTTTTTCGGTCCGTTTTTCTGGGGTCCCGGGACCCCTCTTAGCATTTTCGTGTCACTCGCAACGTTACCAACAGATTCAGAAATTAATTTCAATCCCTTCCATAGTCAACTCACATGGATTTACGCAACTACAGCTGTATGGCTATCAATACTAATTCAGTGAATAGTTTCTCAACTGACCGTCATCCATGAGAAGAGGACGTTGAAATCACCTTCGAATTTTTCGCCCACGTATGGGAATTGTTCGAACTGACGTAGAAAAAGACAAAAATTAACGAGATACACTCTTCCAAAGTGGAACAAAATGTTAAGAAGGTCATGCATCAAATTGTAAGGGGATCCTCGTAAGAAGGCTTTGATCTTCGTAATGATTTTAATGGGTCAATGATCAATGACTTATGGTCACTGGTGGTCAACAGCGAGGTCGACATCAAGGTCAGCGGTCCAGTGAAGATCCAGAAATGGTCAAGAGGTGGGACCAATCGAAATAGTTTCTTTGTAGACAAGACAGTCTTAACTGTTAACTTTATCCTTGGCTCTGATTAGTCTCCCCACCCTTTCATCACCTCAGACATATAAGCAGGGTCACTGCGAAGAATTCTTCAGTCGCGTCGCGAATTCGGAAGTGCGCGGACAGCCAGGAGAGAACCGGGGACCGCTGCTGACCTCTGCTGGCCAGCGCTGACCATGGATGACCACTACTGACCAGTTCTGACTAGTGCTCCTACCACTACTGACCACTACTGACCACTACTGACCAGTGCCGGACGGTGATGACCAACGGTAAGAACTGTTTAAAAATTCTCTCCCCTCTTCTATTCTATCGTTTGATACCAATTTCGCTTGAATAAACTGATTTTGCGATGCTTGCCCAACCGACGTTGTTATAATATGAATATTTTCTTACTTTACAGCTGGCCCAGTGGTAACTAACCTATGTACTGACAACAAGTAGTAAGTCCACTCCACTTATTTATATTTTATTATTTTTATTTGTTTGTTACGAATGTTCCTTTTCTCCGTTTCTATTTTTATATTTGTAATATTGTTTTCAATCATATACTCGTAATATTCTACGGAGGTACTTCGTTTGATCCTTCCATTTCGTTTGATTGTTTGGCGTTGATTAAACTTGGTGTCTCGATCCAAGTTTCTTTCATTACAATTACGAATGTTCGTTTTGATATGTACGACATTGTGTCGATGCATATATCATATTTGTTTCGACGACACTGATGAATATAAGAATGTTCCTTTCGATATGAATAACATGGTGTCGATGCATACACCATATTTGTTTCGATGACACCGATCAATATAAGATTCTTATTTTTACGTTTCAGCTTAAATTCTTATCACATTTTGCTAATATACTCTGTTCAATTCCCTTTAGCTAAATTCCTTTACTTAAATTCCTTACCGTATCTCACTAATAGAAATATTAGTTTTGATTTACCTTCACCCCTTTTTAACCTCTTAGTTTACAGTGATGTTTCAGAGACGTGATAACTCTACCGGACCAAACATGAATGAGACGTCTCAGAGACGTGATAAGTCCACCGGACCAAACCTTGGTGATGCTTTTGGCACGCACAGTTGGAAATTAAATCGTAAGGCAAAGTGTTTTAGACTTAAGCTTCGGCCGGTTGTGTACGTGCTTCCTTTGGCAAGTGTAGTTAGTACCTTTTGCTTAAAATTCTAATCTTCTTGCACACCGCGATTTTCAAGATGACAAATGTCATAGTAGATTCATTTTTAATTTGACACTCGTTTTAAAATGAATATATAATGAGTATAGATACATATATGAGTAGTATTACTTTCTCTCGTTCGCTTGTTCTCTGGTTCTCGCTTTCCGAGATTATGTCTCGACTGAAAGGACCGGGAGAGTTTTGCTCGATCACCTCTGTTTGATAAAATGAAACACGTGACACCGGTGTAGTAGGTGTGATAGCTCTTACCGCTTCAACCCTGGTGCAGCTTGGTTCAGCTTAAGTGGGGCCTCGCCGAGCGCATATATTCTCCTCTTTATACGGAAAAGAGAATGACCTCCGGCGAGAGTCCCTGACCCATATCCGTTCTCGAGTACTAAGCGGGTCCTGTTGTGACCGTGTGTCCTCCAGGGCCCGGCGGTTGTACGTAGAGAGGTCCGATCGACGTGGGTCAGGGGCGCGACTTGCTTTTCTGATAATCAAGGCCGGGGGGGATCAATCTGATACCCACACTCACTGCACACTCGCTGAGCACGTGTCGCGTCGCGTTTTATTTAAGCGTGCGATGTTTTTACACGCCGCAATTTTCAATATGACAAATATCGTAATATCAATCGAAAGTAAAGTCATGATTATAAAGATATATAATATCTTTCATAATGCTTATAATTATATTAACTTTAGAACGAGTGTCAAATTAGTAGCTTCCGATTGTTCTTTACATTCTTCGATAATTAAATTCACTTTCATAATTTAGTCGACGACTTTGGGTATCTTCGATATCGAGGATACCCAAAGTCTTTCTTTACTTATTAAAATATATCATTAGATTGACGTGCAAGAAGATATTTCGCGACGAATACATTTTAGAGTCAAAGATAACCTCGTATATTATGTACCATTTTTACTTGCTCACTGCACTTGCCTGTAGTTGTAGTATTTGTAGTTTTAGATTCAGTGTTGTTCTCTTACTAATCTATTAAACAAATTTCTGTTACAGAGTCCTATGGAAGTTTTAGGTTTATGGAAGTAACAATTAAGAATTGTTACTATTTTATTTGATATCGCTCTGTTTGTGTTTCAGGAAATCATCGTGGGATAAATAGAAGATAGAAGAAAGAAGAAAGAAGAATGTATTCCATGTATTTTGTTTCAGATTGCTTAGTTTATGTTTTAATAATTTAGATTTATAGTTAGGTAGAATGTAAGTAAGAATATATTTTCTGTGTATTTTGTTAGATGATTAGATAGGTAGGATATAAATGAATTTAGATTTATGGTTAGGCAGGAGTTTGGTTCTCTGTATTAATCATTATATCAGGCAGGCAATATTTTGGTCTATTTCTCTGTTCTGTTGATGAGAATTTAGACAAATTGTTTCTCGAAAAACTCTTTCGTTGGTTGCACTTTCGTTTATTGCTTCTTCGACCAACGATTGTTTTATTAATGGAGGGTGGTTGGGAATCGGTTAGGGCGGGTCTCCATTCGCAGCAACCTCCACGTGGTGAGACCTGGGTAATATTATTTAACGTTTAATTAATAATCGTATCGCTCTTAGCTGGGTAATGCAATTATTAATTAAATACTGAATAATATTAGCAAATTGGCTGCGATCCGCTTTGCATAGATCATCATAAATATAGAACTTCTTTGCTAAGTTAGTTTTGATTCCCATTGATTCATCAAAGATTCTAGAGTATTGTCACAGATGTGGTATAGAAGTAGATCCTTCATTCTGTATTTTTGCGGCCTATTTTTATGATTACCATTCTCGTGTCATTCGCAACGTTACCAACAGATTCAGAAATGAATTTTTAGTCTCTTCCATAGTCAACTCACATGTATTTATGCAAACTACAGCTGTATCAATACTAATTCAGTGAATAGTTTCTCAACTGACCGCCATCCATGTGAAGAGGACGCTAAAATCACCTCCGAATTTTCAGGTCGGTATGGCAGTCAGATTGGGCCACGAAAGTCCATAAGGTTGAAAGGTCAAAATTTTCATAATAAATGATATGTAAGTAATGAACATTTTTAGATTATAAACGTAACAGAACTATACCTTGGACTTGCATTTTACATCTTTTTAAAATTCTATGTATTAGTTTCTTTGCTTTCTATTATTCCTTAACTATTTCAATATCCCTGCCATTTCTCATCTGTGATGCTGGATCTACTCTGTACCTCGTCTGCAATGCTAGGTCTATCTTGTACCTTATTGTATTTTTATCAATCGACATGGTCGTAGTGTAAAAAAGAACTGCAGGGTGGTAGCACAGTCTGCATTTTAGTGGGTTTGTAATTTATGGTCGAAGTAAGGAAGGAAGGAAAAGGGGGATTTACGTTTTTCCCAGGGTCTGCTATATAGCTAGTTACATCAATAAATCTAGTAAAAGATAAACTGAATTCAAACGTTAATATTCAGTCAATCTAAAGTTATTCTAAAATTTGGTCATTTATCGCGATACATAACCATAATTATAGCATAACCGTAATTCAAATGAAAGCTTAAACGTTCCTGTTGCACTCTTTAAGTATAAGACTTACTTAACAGAATCTCCTTCGTCTGTCGGCACATTTGAATGCGAAAGGATGCTTCACGGATTATTTATGGATTACTAAAATGCAATTATGAAACGTAGGATGTCGTCAGAAAACTTTTGAAAATCGTTTCTTGCTCGTAGCCCTCTAGAGTCGAAAGCGTCACCACAATTCTCTAGTTTGTTTTTTTTATCGCTTAGCATATTTCTTTTCACCACTTCAGGGACGATTTTTTTTTTCTTTTTGGGTCTATTTATTACTGGCAGTAACTATGATTATATAGTAAGACGTAGGGAGAAATTATTTGAAAGGAAATGGGGGAATACGAGAAGCAGAGTTTGTAAAGGCAAGATATTCCGGATATTGACACGAGGCTTCGGAAATCAATAATAAAGGTTGACTGTTTCGTGTGGTCGTGCGCGGCGATTACATGAAAAACGCATTACCACTATTCATTACGCAAAGGGTGGTGAAATTTTTTGGCAAAATTAAACAATTTCAAATCGTTCTAAAAAAAATATTTTTAGCCAGGGGAGTCAATTACAATTATTTTGGGTGATTAGATATACCTTCGAAATCCTATGCATTTTCGAGAAAAAAATTCCAGAAGGTGGAGAAATTTTTCGTCGAAATTAAAAGGTTTTGAATCATTCTGGAAAAATTATTTTTAGTTGCGGAGGTTAATTACAATCATTTTTGGTGATTAGGTATACCCTCGAATTCCTATGCATTTTCGAGAAAAAAATTCCAGTAGGTGGTGGAATTTTTTGGCAAAATTAAACAATTTCAAATCGTTCTAAAAAAAATATTTTTAGCCAGGGGAGTCAATTACAATTACTTTTGGTGATTAGATATACCTTCGAAATCCTATGCATTTTCGAGAAAAAAATTCCAGAAGGTGGAGAAATTTTTCGTCGAAACTAAAAGGTTTTGAATCATTCTGGAAAAATTGTTTTTAGTTGCGGAGGTTAATTACAATCATTTTTGGTGATTAGGTATACCTTTGAAATCCTATTCATTTTCTAGAAAAAAATTCTAGAAGGTGAAGGAATTTTTCGTCGAAATTAAACAATTTCAAATCGTTTTAAAAAAAATATTTTTAGCTAGGGGAGTCAATTACAATTACTTTTGGTGATTAGATATACCTTCGAAATCCTATGCATTTTCGAGAAAAAAATTCCAGAAGGTGGAGAAATTTTTCGTCGAAACTAAAAGGTTTTGAATCATTCTGCAAAAATTATTTTTAGTTGCAGGAGTCAGTTGCAATAATTTTTGGTCAATAAACATACCCTCGAAATGCTACCCATTTTCTAGAAAAAAATTCAATACGGGTGGAACTTTAAACGTTAATAACTTTTTAACGAAGCCTCAGTTAAGAAATTGATATTCTTGATTTCGTCTTATTTTGGCGTCTAGAATCTCCCATTAAAATTTTCTTGGACTATAACTGCACAAGAACAGTTTTAACAAGTAATGCATGGTATATTATTAGTGTCGATAAATCGATGAAATTATAAATTAAATAATATCTTACATATCTTTAATTTGCGATCGTAAAATAACAAGAATATTTAAACGTAAAAAGAGTGTTTGGACAAAGTTGTTCGCGAAAGCAAATTTTGATTCACTCATTGGAAAGTTGTGTGGAAGGTTTTTAATAATCAATAATCTCAATACTTGTTGAGCTTCATGAAGGGAGCTGATAAACCATTTACTTTGTCCAGGCTGCTGGCATTATGTATTTTTAAAACAGTGGCGTTTATCTAACACACGCTTTTACAGTTAATTTATCATTGTTACAAAAACTAATTATATCAATTTTTAAAATATTTACACGATTTACAAGTAACCGCTACTTCTTTAGATCGTATCGATATTCCATAGAAAGATATTTATAATATATCGTTTTAATTTTCTTGTAAAAGACACTATTGTTCAAACACCAAAGTCAAATTAACCAGGAAAACTATCACTAATGGATACGATGATATCTGGTTCACACGTTTCGTTCTTTAACAGTTCAGTATATTCAGAAAATGTTCGCGACATAATGGGTTCGCAATGTTTAAAATTTTCTGTTCTTTTTTTCTCGTTTTCTAAGATAATAAATAAAATATAAAAGTACGATCTTTTACCACTAATAATGTCGAACTTAAAGGGAAGCGAATGTTTCGTTGATCGTGCTTCGGTTACTTCGATCGAACCGTTAAAGGGTTTAGACGATTCGAATCGAACGACCATCAACGAGCACGACGTTTCGATGGGGAAAAATAGACTGATTCTAGAACTCACAGCCAGGGTCAGTGCACTTGCTCGCGAGGGACTCGAAGACGTCCGGCACTTCCGTTTCGAAACAGCACCTGATCATGGCCATCTTTCCAGCCGGCGATGTGTCCCATGGGTGATTTAAACCGAGAACTTAAAACTTTTCCGATCGTTTCACATCCCCGTTTCCGCGGAGTCCAGGCTTCTTACGTAAAAACGCGACGAACGCGTAGACCAGCCCCGAAAGATCGAGCGGGTAATACCGACGGCGACGTCCGACGCTCGGCGTCGCGACGCCCGTGCCCCACTAACCCGCATTTCACTCGCACGAGGCCACCCTTGACAGTACTTTCCCCGACTACGTCACGCGACTAGCACGCGCCTGCGCGGTGGGAGGATTCCCGATGCTCGAAAACGCGCCGAAGGTAGCGAAGGGTGTGCAACCCCGTGACGCTGATGGAGTCTGCCCCTCAGGGTCGTGGTCCGCGTAAATCAATGCCACATAGAGGATTGGAATCTTTTACGGTAGAATAAATATTGGGTGAGTCGAGAAGTACAGTTCGGAAACTCATTTGTATTGGGTAGTCGTGCGGTCCATAAGTTCCTGTGGGTTTCATTTTGTATCAAATATAACTCGTAACATTTGTCGATCGACTATACAGGGTGTTGGGTTATCTCTGGGAAAAATTTTAATGGGAGATTCTAGGGGCCAAAATAAGACGAAAATCAAGAGTATCAATTTCTTGATTGAGGCTTCGTTAAGAAATTATTAAAAAATTGACAATTACAATCATTTTTGGTGAATATACATACCTCCGAAATCCTACGTACTTTCGAGACAAAAATTCTTTACCGGAATGTTGTGTAATTTCATTTTCTGTCTCACTTCCTCTTGGGTTATTTGTGTAACCTCTGTTGGTAATGTTGCGAGCGACACGAAAATGGTAGACCCCTCTGGTGGCGAGTATGGGAGGCGGCAACACAGGGCTTTAGTGACCCAAAAAATGGACCGAAAAAATACATTGGGGTGAAAGATCTACTTGTGTACTTCGTTTGTGGTTAAAACATAAACTTTTATTGAATCGGTGATGTAGATAATACCACAGACGAGGTATACGAGTAGACCTTTCCCATTTTTATGGGGTCATTTGTATTTGCACGGTGTTAAAAAAACTCATGGGATTAATCGTGCCTTGGAAAGCCGAGAGACGAACCCTTCCCTACCATTCGTTGATTTGCCGACGAGTAACGACGAGTGACGACGGTTGACGACGACTGACGACTGATAATACGAGGACGTCATTCAGTCGATCGAACTTGGTGTGGCCGGACGTGTCAGTAGCTGTCATATAATAAGGTGTGCACTCTTAACTGTAACAAAGGGTTGAATCTTGAAAAGAGAATACATAGAAGTTGGAATATCATTTGTTATCCTCTAATATTTATTATGAGAGCATTGTAAAAATCATATGAGTTATTTCGACTTTTAGATACATTGGGATAACGGTGTAGATTGGAACAGTTCTTTGTCGTTTAACCCTTTGACTGCTAAAGGCGTATATATACGCTTCCACAAGTCTATCAATATATACGAAAAGCGTAAATTTACGCCTTCTGCATTTTTTTTACTATAACACCTTTTACTGTTTTACCAATTGATTCGATATGGAATTGGATAAAAATTGGATATTTTAATTTATTTGCATTTATTATTTTTTTAAACTCTCTCTTAAATCTCTCCGGGTACTTTTTTGGTCACCAGTCGCAGCGACAGGCATGTGACGATCGCGCCATCTATGTTGATGGATTCTTCCTAGGACGCGCCGCAGTCAAAAGGTTAAATAAGACAAATGAAGCTATATGATTTTCATTTCAGTTAGTATTTAGATTAAATCGCGACAGAATTAATTTTGTACTCCTTTAGTTGTATTCCTTTACCAATTGTGTGCTTAATAAAAGTTGATACTCTGGTTTTGTTCTTACACGACAGTGGGATATGAATGTACATTGTTACGATTTAGTTATACAGACGTAAAATACAATTTTGTTTATTAATGTTAATTATTAACATTAATTGCATGCTGTTATAAAATATGTGGAATTATGTATGACATTATGGCATTTTATTACTGAAAATGTTTGGTATTATGCTCATTTATTTATTTCAAGTTAATAACTGTTACAAAATATAGTTTATTCTGGGATTTCCATCTTTAACTATTTTAACATTTTCTCTTACATGTATGAAGAAATAATAGCTATGTTAATAGATAATACAAACTTATCAATGGAGCAATATAAATTGTCAATATATCCATGATATTTACATGCAAACCATAATTGTCCATATATACATGTAACGCAAGTAGCACCAAATAGGAATGAAAGTTGTAAAAAGATTTATATATTCATAGAGTTGATGGTTGGATATCACAGTAGAACGGTTGGAATTCTATGCATTTTGCGGGGGGATGTTTTTTTTTTTTTTTTCACTGCTGCCGATGTAAATGTATTGTTTGTACGATTGTTTCGATCATTAAAACAATTTTCCCCGTAACAACGATTGCAGTCTGTGATTACTGATAACTGGTAGAGAAAGATTAAGTGGAGAAACAATAAAGCGATGTGAAGATAGTTAGAAATAAAGATTATTATTACAAATATTTACAATTAATGTGTGTAAGTAAGATCAGGTCGATCTATGCACAATAAAACATTTAGAAATTATACATAACTGCTAATTATCCTCTTGTGCAACATGATTGTTGCAACACGATTTAATAATATTTTTACTTTCACGCTATTACGCTATAGCTTATCTTAACACATATTACCTGTTATATTTGTAGATTAAAATATCTTGCACGTTCAGAAATTTTGATTTGTCTTGGAACAGTGTGTACAGACTTAGTAGAACGGGAATGGCACTCTGATTCACGGTGAAATGAAATTTATTTCTTCCGTTTTCATAAACCACATGCTCTACGTTCACAATTTATTATGAACACTATCGTGGAATGGTTTTTGTCAACTTGAATGCAATTATAAACTTACTAGATAGTAAGTAACATGTTCGTTATAAGGTAACGTGCAACTTTCTCGAATGCATTCTCATCTTACTCGACAAATTTAAGTTGCTAAATTTGGTAGAGAGAAGGCCCTAAGTATCGAAGGTAGAATACATCTTCAAAGGTTGTGAGGCGAATAACGAAAATCGTGTATTTCATTCAAGTTTTCATATTCCAGCTATATTGCTCGTTCGATGGTACCTATCGTTTTTTTTTTTTAATTTAAATTCGTTTATTATTTCACGAGAAAGGATAATGTTAATCAAAGGAAACAAGAACATGTTTTAAATAGGTGTACATATTTAGTCGATTTTACATATCGTTGCCATAATTCAAATCGTGGTCATAATTCGTTCACACAAGTGGTTGCAAATACGGTTTAGTAATTCACTGGCATGATCAAAAAAAATTTACATCGTTCGTGGTTACAATTACGCATTAAGATCGCCAAATTTTTTATTCGGTTAATAAGATTATTAATTATTTCGCGTTTCGACGTTTTCCATTGTACATTAGAAGAATAGAGCAAAATGGTAATAGTAGCTCGTACAATTGTTCACCGCGAAGCGCGGTGGTTATACGACGCCGTGTATATTAGATCCCTTACGATTACGAATTACTTATGAAACTCAAGACTAGCATTGATCAATGGCCTCCCCTTCAAGCCCGGGACTTCTTGCTTTTCAGCTTGAACCATCCCGCGCTCTTGTTCGGATCGCGTGGAACAGACGTGGACCTGCTTAGTTCTGGTTTCGAATTAACGCTCCGTGACTTGGTGGCCAACGATTCCGTAGACACAGTTCTATCCACCTTCTGTTTGTCCTTTGATTTCAACGTGCTGCGATTGATCGTGCCTGAAAAAGTAAGCGTTTCAACGTTAGTACGATTAATTAAAACAAATACAATTACTATGCCACGGAAAGAACAGAGAATCAACTAGAAACTATCCCCCATCCATCTTCTTTTGACTTTTATTTTTAACGCTACCGCCAGGTACACTGTGATTTGTAATTTTAATCTAGTAAGTGTCCATTACCATTATGGGGCGTGATAGTAAAGTGCATAATTTCAAGTTCGATTCCCCATAGCTGCTACATAAGTTTTTTTCTCTTAAATACAGATAAATTATCTTTATTTATAACACTAATTATTCCTCACTTGTAAATTGCACGTGGTTTCTCTTAATTATTTCCCTTTTGTTTTCAATTACTGAGGAATGAAGGAATTTTACTTGATTAACAATACCAAATTTTTATATACGTTATATATTTTAATAAATATAGAGACTTTATTTAAAGAGTTAATTAAGCATTTCTATGTTTAAATTTCATTATTATATTAAGAGAAAAAACCCTGTGTAGTTATCGGGAATCGAACTTGAGACCCTCCTGGTAGGAGTCTTTTACTTTACCACACGTCCCATAGTTTTAATTAATAGATTAAAATTTTATTTCCAGGTAATAATGTAACTTTAAATATTTAAAAAATTATTGAGTATCTGCCCCTATGATGTTATATATTCAAAAACCTGATAATTAAATCTACAAGTGTGATAAATTTTTCAAAGTGAATTTTCTCAATCGGGAATCCTCGAATGGGGGGAAAAAATCATTTCACAGTCTCGATTTATTTCTGAACGATGAATCGCCATCCCTTGAGGAATTAGACCGCAGCCTGAGGTTTACCGGTTTTCGAGAGATTGTCCTTGCTTCGTCGAGCGTCTTTTCCTCGACGACTTAATGTCTCGCGACTTCTTTGTCTGCGCCTTATGGTCGCCATTGGCTTCGGGTGCAGTTGTTGGTCGTAATTTATTTCGAAAGGTTCTCTGTAGTGTCGCGGCTTCCATGGCGCGAGGACGCTCACGCTCCTCGATACTGTCCTCGTGTGCGATTGCAGAGGTCGATTTAATTCCTCCCTGCTCGCTGCTCTGCGTCTCTCGTTTGGGCCGGGTATTTCGCCCACTGAAAGAACGCGAATTGAAATAGAAGTTGTATTGAAAATTATAATTGAAAACTATTGAAAACAGAAGTATCAGAACAATTTAAGATTTTACCCGGTGCTTCGGTTGTTTAGAAAACGCAAATCGATATAGAATTAGGAGTTAGAAGGTTCGCCATGAAACATCCTGTATATTATTTCGTGGCCATTATAGCTGATCGTAATAGAGTTCAGAGAGTCTCACCTGTAGCAGCGTGGAGGTATACAACAGATCTTTGCGATCTCTGAGAGTTTTGGCTCTGTTGGCTACTGTCCCCTGTCGTACTCTCACCGGAAGACAACGCGCTTTCGGCCAGTCTCGGTGGTTTCCGCGGTGGCGATAAAATGCCCAAATTGTGGCGACTGGAGTTCGTAACATCACGCCCTGAACAGGCATGGTCGTCGGCTCGTTTGTTTCTGTAACGTGGGAATAATTACTATAGCACCGGTGATAACTGATTGTAAGCTTAACGCTGGTTGTAATATTCAGAACTAAATTTTTTAAGTTTCATGTTCCGTACACATCGAGTATCAATGTTTCGTTAATTAGGCGTAGTATCCTGTACGAAACTTAAGGGCATAATAGGTATACTACTTTGATCAAATTCATACCTATTTCCCTGATCTGATCTTAATTTTATCCGCGACTGTAGACAGCACGATTCTCTGTGAAAAGTATAACGCGTATACCTGCGATCTCTGTTGGACGAGACGGACTCCTGATCCGTATCGCCGAAGAAACGTAGGTTCTTCTGCACCGAGACTCGTTCGGGCGCGGACGAGACTTCCTCGTCCTCGGTGCCAGTTGTCAAGATCTCGCTCTCCGGTATCCGGGGCTTCTTATCCACCGCCTGGAACAACGAAATCGTCGATTATCGCGGCGGTAACGGTCACGGTTCGCGGAAAAAATCGCCTCTTTGCCTCGGGCAGCGCGCGAACGGGGAAACAACGGTGGTAACGGAGAGATTATTTGTATCAGCGAGCATCATCGACGAGAGAAAACGTGCACAGAACAGACTTTCTGGCTTCGATCGGGTCCCAAAACCTTGATACTGAGATACCATCTTGGTAGTAGCCTGGTGCGTGGAATTTCGGTACCTTATCGTTCACGAGAAATTGGCTAGGATGGAATAAAGTACAAACAGAATACTTGTTTCACAGGAACAAGGAGACTTGGTCGTTTGCTCCACCTAAGTTCCACTAGAAAGCTCCATTTTTAGCTTCTTAGCAGTTGAACTAATAATTCATAGCAGTAGGATCTCCATACTCGAGAGAGATACATTTTTATTCTATTCATCGTTGCTATTCCGAGCTAACGACTACGTCAATACTTTGTTTCGATTAGTTACGGTTAGAATTCAATCAATTTTGCGAATATGTCGGAAGCTAAGACCGTTGAGGTCCCCTAAAGTAAATAATTCCCATAATTAAGAATCTAACAAGTGGAGGGGATTCAGTTTGCATGTAGTCTATCATCATCTCGTCTCCTAATAGTAGCCACCAATCGGATCACACCACCTCCACACGAGGCCCCCAGAACCCTGTCTGTACCAACTTGTTCGCGACTGATAGGAATAAAACAGATCATAGACCCATGGTGTTAATTTATAGACTTAAAACGTCGAGAGAGCTGATTGAATTCTGGATCATGGGCCTCCGGTGTGACACAGTCGTGGATTCTTTGCTTACGCGATCTAGAGATCCTTGCAATCGTAGACCTCTTGGTGTCTTTGAGCGAATAAACGCGAAATAGAATAACGCTGAAGACAAAGGTATATTCTTCGGAGCTGGGGTATAAAAATGGTTGCTTCCCGCTCGTTTCCATCTGTGGCGCCCTCATGACTCATGATCCACGTTCTCCGTACCGTCCGACTCGCCCGATAGATCATCGTCCACGGGGAGATTCACGCGCACGCAATCATCCCGAACGGGCCTCTATCGAGGCGGCTAGGATCGGAATCGGGGCCCTGGACAGAGATTATTCCGCGGACCGATGGTTAAGCTAGGCAGCCCCCTGGATCGGCACTTAATCTCGCGATTAAATTAAACCACAGAGCGCGGAGTTAGTTAAGCATTTAATCAAACTGGTAATTGGAGGTTGTACTGGCCTAATGGCTCTGCTCCGTAGCGACCCGCGTTGACTGATGAATGCACCGGCTCACTCGGCTCCGCCGCGAACCCGATAACCGGACCCACGATCCATCCGTACGCTCGTTATCGGATTTAACTCTCAAAAAATGTTCGACTTGGGATTTTTAGGCTCCCAACGCCCACTACCTCTACGTGGGGAGCATCGAGCGTCAGGGAATTGGAACTTGAATCGTGCAATGTGCCGAAAATCACCGTATTTTCTAATCGTTGCGTCTCAGGAATTTCGAGATAGAGAAACAGAATTTAATTTTCACACCTGGAATTTGGAATCGAAAAATCGGAAAAAATTCTTGAACGCGTGTCTCGATGACCAGAATGCACCAGATTTTTTACGTAATTTTCGTACTTGATTAAGTACGGAAAATGGGCACAAATCCGATAATCCGAATTTTTCCTGTAACTACCCTTCCGAACAAGATAGAGGGTTGAAACTTGGCACAGAATGTTCGATTCTGATCCTCTATCGATCGATCCATTGTATGTTAAATTTGGTTTAAGGGCACATTTAACCCCCCTATTCGGCTGTACCCTTTATTATCAAAATTTTTATTCAATGATCGACAAAATTGAGTAGTAGTCTAATAAAGGAAATATTTTAAGTATTTAAACCATGCAATTTTTATATAAAAAATTTTTTCGTGCAATGCATATTTTGAAAGTTATGGAGCACGTGTTGTGTGGACCACCCTGTATGAATTTAGGCGCTCTTGGCTAATTGAGAGATATATTGTGAACGTGTTAGTTGAGATAGTTTCAGAACTTTTTATTTACACAGCTCTGAAATTTCAATTGTATTTATATAAAGTACACAATCATCGTTATTGATAGTATGATGGCACTTGGCTGGTATTTAAAAGAAATTTACATAATACGTTTAAGAATATGTTTGAATCAGTAAATATCGTTAATCGTGTATTTAGAAAATATAAATGAATATGCTTAGAAATGCACAGGTAAAAGAAACGGCCATTTTTGGGCGGAGAGTTGATTTTTGCGCGAAGCATGTATCGCGTCACCGCGAAGGCGTTTATCGTATTATTATACATAAACCTAATAAAGTTTCATAGTACAGAGAGTCCATTCTCTACAAAAACATCGCCCACTCGCTACCAGTTTTGGAGCGAGTCTCATGCATACATTTGCTGAATTTGATTGCTTTAGAGAACCGTGCCCAGTGAATGATGTCACGAACGAGAATACTTCACGTTGCGTGCTCTTGTTTAAACATTTAACATATAATATTTGTCAATATTTACAAAATAGTTTATTTACGATCAACGGATTAGCAAAGAAATGCTAAGAATTAGAACATTTTTATCAGAGAATGTATGTACATACATATGTGGTTGACTTAGAAGTTTCTTGTTTCTCATTGTTTTCTATCAGTTTTTTGTTCACCCATTCAAGATAATACGTCGGATAATTGATAGAGAATGGACTCAATTTTCGATCAGTTTGTGAATGGTTGGTATTTGAAACGAGAATTTCATCTTACTTTGATATTCGATTTGTTCTTCCTGGATAACGACTTGAACCAGCCCTTTCGTTCGGCTTCCTGTCCCTGATTTTCCCTGGTGAGGGTGTTACTCGACTCGCAAAAGGTTTCCTCGTCTCTGGTGAGCGTACCCGTAGATCTCGACAGCCTTGTTGGCCTGGGTGGACTCGGGCTGCCGCTGGGAGTGGATAGGCGTCTGCGTTGGCTGTATTCCTCCTGCGAACATACGCAAAATACAAATAAGATATAAGACAGTAATTTCAGTTGCGCGTACGGATTATTAGAAACAATTATTTATTACAAAACGATGGAACTTTGCGGGAAAAATGTTAAAAAACTGTGACAAAATCAATATTTTCTTTCAACACCATGTCGAAACTAATTATTCGATCAAACATTCCACATCTACCAAGTCTTCTGCAACTTTGTTACTTTTGAGAATTTTACCATTGAAGAGACAAAAAAAATGTCGATTTTTCCAATCCGTCACAGTGGTTCCCCCCCTCCCCATGAAGCAACCTGTTCCTTAGAGCATCCATAGGGCGTTTCTGTCCGTTGTTTCGACCATCGATCGAAACGAGAAGCAGTATTTGCACAGAGCATTAAGATCTTCGATGTACCGTGTCGGTCGAGGAACAAAACTGGATCCATCGTCCAGGTAATCCGATCAAAGGGGGGGGGAATCACGTGGGTGGTACAACTTGATTCGCGCATTGGTAGCTGGAGGGTTCGGTTCTTTTCGTTCCCCTCCAATTATTTCGTTGCCCAAAGTTCGCGAGGGGGGTTTAGGGGAATTAGATGAGGATAACGATGGTTCCCGCAGTTCCCTCCCGATCATCGTCGTTTCATTCCGCCTAGCCGCGAGATGATCGCAAAGCGCGTCGACTCGTACGCGCAAAACTCCGCGCAAGCGGACGCGTGTCCGTTTTATTCCCGACGACGTCTACGTCGTCATTATTATTATCATGTTTTGCATCACCACCATCATCAACGCTGCCACCTCCGTCATTTACCCTTGGCCCATCGCATGCATAACGCGTCGGGAACGGATCGCTGCGGGCGTTTTATCGCAACTCTTGCCTGTTTATTCATCGATACTCTACAAAAGAGCCGGCGGTACGGCAAGTAGGCTATCAAACGTGTGCTCTATCCGTGTTCCCGCTACAAGAAAATACTAGCTCTCGTGGAAGATCAGAATCCCCGCCGGGAAAACACGGTTTTCTTACCTCGATGCGTTTCTTCGGCTTCGCTGAATTGTGCCCGATTCTGTTCAACATTTTATACTAGTATGAAAGCACCCCACAGTGACTGTCACTTAAAATTGTACAGCTAAAGATCCACACGATTTTCATTCATAAATCGTAAAATTTAATTGACTGAAACACAGATACAGGCATATAGCTCAATGCTGCTTTGTTTAATATGTTACTAAAGTTGGAACCTTCAAGTTAGTATAACAAATGCAAATTCTCTCTATGAAACCAGTCTGTTAGCAAAAATCGTACAGTACTTATCTTTGCTTATATTTGATATATACAGCTTATGTTAACACATTACCGACAGATAGCCTATTAATCGACTTTTTTACCGACCAACGCTTACCGGCCGATAGCGTATTAATCAACTTTTTTACCGACCAACGCTTACCGACCGATAGCCGATTAATCAACCGCTACCGGTCGGTAAAGTGTTAATACATTACTGACTGATTCATCGAAATATAGTTTTTCTAGTAATTTCTCCGATAACGGTGTTATTTGTGACAGTGGTGCATTTTTACATTTATTCCACGCGTTGCAACATATATTTATTACTGTTTTTCTGACTGTTGAATACATCATAGTAGTCAATTTAAAAGCTTATGTACTTCCACTTTCATATCTTCTCAACACATAGAATCTATGACAATCATATCACCACAATTTGCTTTGAGATCATAAACGAATTGTGGACAGTCAGAATAAACTAGAGACATGTTGTACATTTTGTGTGACTGCCTCCGTTGAAGAGTAACATCCGTCGCGTCGATTGATTTAAACGTCGTGCAATGACCCAGGTGTGGGTCACGTCGTGGCGAACGCGTAAAAAAGTATCGACGGGAACGAAGGTATCGTCAGGTTGGCGGGCCCCGGGCGATTTACGACGAGGAGGAAGCCGGGCGATACAACAATATAAAAGCATAACTCAGACGTTGTTCGCGCACGTTTGCAGAAGGAGCCGAAAGACGGACTCGGCATCCGGCAATACACCTGCACTCGTTATATATTCCAGGAGAAGAGGGCAAACGCAGTGTTCGCGGCGCGGACGGCGCGAAAGACCGCGAGCTACGATCGGGCCCGAGAGCGGTGCATGCGGTTACCAGCGTACCTTTCGATACGCAATATAATAACATATCGCGCGTACGCGGCCGTGCCCCGTACCCACCGCATAAACTCTTAAATGACTCACAATGAATAGCCCATATCGCGGAATCATCTGCATAGTACAAGCACGGCGCGCTTCCCTCGTACTCTCCATATATACGAGCAACAATATCCCGTATGCTTTCCATAACGAGTCGTGGCACGTACCGACGACGACGACGAAGACGACGGGGACGCGTACGACGACGACGACGACGACGACGGTGAGGAAGACAAGGAGAAAGAAGGCAGAGCAGAGGGTTTTGTACCCTGGAGGCATTGTGACCCACGCACCGCCCTGTTAACTCTTACAGTACCGCGGCACTGGTCTTCCTCTTCCACCGTTTTCTTTCCCTCTCGGTCGATTCTTCCTCTCCTCTCCGCGCGTCGGCCTTCTCTGTACACTCCAGCTTCGTACAGGAACGCGTTATACCGCGGCTACTCCCTCGCAGAAACTGGCGTGGGCCGTCGAGATTGGGCTAGGTCGGTTACGTACCTAAGCGCTCGTCCGCTCGCCGCCATCGGGCGCGTGTAGGTACACGCGTGCTGCCTGCACGCACCGACGGGCCCCGTTGGGCCTCGTTCTCCCCCCCTTCTCCTCCCGCCATCGCACGCGCGCGCCACACTTGCGCGTCGCGCGTGATCGTTCAAAAAATGACGAACCAATTGAGAATTACAGTTCTCAAATAATTACATTGACATATCAGGTGTACAACTTTGCTTCTGAATCATTCCCATGGCTTCGAGGCGTCTTGAAATCGCTTGTTGAGTTACTGTTAATTCTTCTTACGTTTGACACGAGTCGTGATCAAGCAATGAACTTTTCTTAAACTGTCGCGAACAAACAAAATTAATGGCGCGAACACCCTGTATACAAATTATATCGTTTCGTTTAACACTTTGACTGCCACGTCACTCATATATGGGTGACAGAACTTTAAACAGTAGAACTGTAATAATGGATTCTCAAGTTGAAATGTTAAAGAAAATAAATTTTAAGGCTTCGTAAATTAATTTATAATTATTTATAATTAATTTATAATTAAATTAGGCTTCGTAAATTTTAATGAGGTTACGAAAGCAACTACTACGACAACTTCTAAGTTGTGTAGTTTACAATTGCCTAAAATGAAAGTTTTGGTCCCGTAAACAATTTTAGGATTTTAGACTGGCAGTCGATGTGTTAAAATGAATTAAAGTTTCGAATTTTGTTTCTCGTTTCGATCATCGATTCGAGACATCGTAATTTCCATAAAATACAGCGAACTCTTAGCCTCTTTTTTTTTTATGTACTGTTCATTTATGGGAAAACTGTCGGGCGAATAATGGCGCGAACACCCTGTATGCATATTTGAGCGTATATCGTAACAGGCCGCGCGCTCTCGCCCTGTTCATCCTCGACGCATAACTCTGCAACATTAAACCGTCCGCCGTAGGTCAGCGTAGATTACGCATAAATCCAAGGGTGAGGCGATTTACGACGTCAACCGACACCCCTTTTAACCCCGCGGATTTTCTCTTCCTTTGTCCGAGCGAGCTTTTTTGGAAGAGGAGGGAATCCATTAATGCGCCAAAGATTCTCCCCGGCGACGTACAAAAGAAAATAGAACCCTCCGCCGGAGAGCATTTGCGAGTTACGGTCCAATTGATTACTTTCATTAGCCATGGTACGGAACATTTCGAGCTGGTTACGCGTGTAATAAATTATCCTATGATTTCAAGATTATATTAGAATCTTTCGAATAATTGCAAATTACTTCTATTACTATATGTTTCGTATTTCCGTGGTACCACAGCCCTTATCCTCCCCTGATTTCGATTCACGTAACTTTTTCCAATTTCTAAAAATTAATATGCATCTACAGAAGTCGTTATTTTGTCGAAGGCTTCTGGAGAAACGTCGATTTATAATTAAACATATTACTAAGATTGCATATTACACGTTACACGATTATCGACCTCAAAACGTCGTGCACGCATACTTTTTTTACCGCCAGCCTCGAAAATGATATTCCAATCACGACTGGTCATCTTCTTTGATCAACCAAGCACTTCCTTCCCGCCAGTTATTAAAGATAAACGCCGTTTGATTATAATAATTTAGAAACGGTCGTATACGAGGAACGATTGTTCCAGATATCGCGTATAATCGTTTCTCTCCCTACATGCGCGAAAACTAGCCGCGAGCGGCATGGAGATACGGTTGTACGACGTTTACCCGCAAACTATGTTGCTCATGCCCGCGGTACTAATACGGTCAGATCGACATTAACATCTACAAGATTCTCATAATCGATAACACGCAACGAAGTGGGGCTAGAAATCGCCGCGTAAATCCTCCCAATTAAGCTTCTTCCCACCCTGAGAATCGCTTCCCGAGAAACGCACGCGTTTTAACGAAGTTGATCAGCATCTATGTACGCCGACGAATCCTTCGCCTACGTCCTTTTTCCCTCCTTTTTTTCCCCCCTCCTCGGTGGTATGGGCGCACGAGAACGAGGCGCAAATCGGTCGTGCGGCAAAAAACTGTTCATCTTAAATGGAATATACGCAGATTGAAACTAACTCTCTCCTCGCCAGGATCCCCGGCGGTCTTGCAATTTCTTTTGGAATCGGCGCGGCGAGAGAGCCTCTGACGGGGATTACGGTGTGGTATCGTAAAACCGAGCTCCGGGAGTTTAAGGGAATTGAAAGCGAGGGAAGCGAGAGACAAGAGGGAAGAGCACGACGGAGAAATAGAACGCGGACCGTATAATGTCGGCGCGATAAAAAGTATAATGAGAGGGTGATCCCCGCCGCTGTAAGTACAAAGGA